CGTGAAATCAATGTCGGAAACGAGACTTACGGGGTGAAGTATTAAGGATTAGACCGCGGCGGAGTAAGGAGTAAGGATTACGGATTAAACCACCACATGCAAAGGCCAAAGAACTCTCAGTGGGAAATAAACTTAAAGTAGTTAGAATTTCACTAGAATGAAGAACTTACCGGCGGCAGCGGGTTCTGTAAGCGGCGGAGACAGCGGGTTGTGTAATCGGCGGAGACAGCGGGTTGTGTAATCGGCGGAGACGGCGGTTGTGTATTCGGCGGAGACAACGAAATCGCCTCTAGCGGAGAGCGAAAGGTCAGACACAGATTAGGGTTACGAATGAGGCTTACCACAGCGGTTTTCCGTATATATATGTCGGTTAAATGGTTTAACTTGGTTTTCTTCGGTTCGAATTAACTGAATCGGTTTAACTATACTCGACTAATTTTTCCATTCGATTTGGGTTTATCTTTTCTGATTTCTTAGTGTTTACGGTTAAATTACGGTTTCCTCTTTTCATATAACTTTATTCCCAACTTTATAGTCCTAACGGTTAAATTAGTGTTTAGAGGTCTCAATCACAGTGTATACGTTTGAGGTCTACGTTTGAGGTCTACGTCTGAGGTTTACGTATGAGGTCTATTTGGAGTTCTACGTAAGAGGTCTCTGATTAGGAATACGATGATTTGCAATACGCACAACCAAATTAAGTGTTTCAACCCGAATAGCTACATTCATCAACCAAACACAACATAGCTACATTCAACAACCAAACACAAAGTAGCTAATGAGACAGACAAGCACGGCAATTACAGTAACCGCCGTCGTCACCTCGACTCTTCTTAAACGCTTCATCTTCAGAACTTGGTTCTTCACATCAGTTAACTCTGCCTCAGTCCGAAGCAAGGTTTCGCGTTCTTCAGATTCAGGTTGGCGAAAGCCAAAACGAGGGTTGTCGACGGCCCATTTGAGTTGTAGAAACTCCTCCATCATAGCCTCGTCCCACCATTTCATAAGATGTGGGAAACCAAGCTACAATGATGAAAAAAACGAATCTCTTCAATATTTTTGGTAAAACAAAGCCACATAAGATGTCGAAAACTATTTACAGTTAACATTACCTTATAATTCTTGCATCCAAAAAACATCCGCCCTGGATGCTCGTCCGTATGGTCCATCATTTTCAGCGGAGTTAACAAACCGCAGTAGCATCTGCTCGGTATTCCATAGCTTATATCTCGACTGGTATGAGAACTCACATCTTCTTCGTCCTTACTAACTACCCTAGCAGAGCTTCGAGTAGCCAGCTGGTCAGAGCTACTCGAACCCTCCGTTAACCAGCTAAAGCGCCCCATTCCTGTGTACGATGAGAAGATATCAGTTATTTTAAAAAACAGTAATTATTCAATGACCAGATCTCACCCACAAAATGAAATAGAAGCAAACCTAACCAATACGATCGCCGGAACACTTGATACTGTCGACGGCGGCAAAGAAGACGGATGAGAACAGCGGCCGGAGGATGAGCGGCGGAAGGATGAGCGGCGGAAGCCAAATAATTTATTTCTAGAAAATTAAAATTAGGGTTTACATCTCTATTTATACACCCGAGGGAGCTGCGGTCTAGTACTGCGGTCTAAGATATTTGAAATTTTGGTTCGCGCTCATAATTCCCGCTCGGTTCTTTTAAAAATTTTGAAATTCCCGCATTTGTTTGTTTTCGCGGTCTACAACTGAGGTCTACATAACCCTAAACCACAAATTTTATAAAAAACATGAACCAAATATCAAATTTTGTTTGCCATTTACAATATTTATGGTTTGGATAACAAAACAATTAAATATAGACAAAAAAACCAACCAAAAACAAAAATACAAATTGAAACTATCTAAACCCTAAGAATTGGACAACTAAACCCTAAACTATCTATCCAAACTCTTATCAATTTGAAACATTTACTCATGACATTTATAGACTGATTCATTTTTCGTATAATTTATTTTCAATAGATGTCAAATGTATAAGAATTAATTATGCATACAAGTTTTTTATCAAATTATTTTTTATCAATTTTAAAAATTATTTTTAAGATTTCATTTTCCTGTAGACCTCGTTGCTAGACCTCTCACGGTTTTGCAAGTTTCTAACCTAATTTGTTTTTGTCAACCTAAATTCACTTATTAACATGTATGTTTATTTTATATGGACTCTAATTGTCTTTGTCTTGTTTATGAATACAAATTTTTCATCTAAATATTTTCTATTTATTTTATAAATTAAAAGTTTCATTTAATTAAACCGTAGACCTCATCCGTAGACCTCTTACGTTTTTACAGCTTTCCAAACTAATTTGCCTATGTTAGTTTAATTTGACTCATTTGTATGCAATTATAATTTTCCAAGATGCAAATTACTATTTATGATTTATGTATGCAAATGGTTTCATCAAAATATTTTTTTTGTTTTTCCCAATTAAAATATAAAATTAAAATACAAGGTAGACCGACTATAAAAGTCTATATGTAGACAGCAAGCGTAGACCTACGCTCCGGGTTAATTTGGTAATCGCGGCAAATTTTTTTTGTTTGTTCATGAGGGTGACCTTTGTAATTTCGCTACCCAAACAGGTTAGTTTTGCAATACTTTCAAGTTTCGGGTTATGGTTATAGAAAAAAACAAATTTCGGGTTATATGTGGAAATTCTCCCAACTTAAACAGTTAAAACTTAAAAAGTTCTGCAGTAATAGACCAAGAACAAAATATCTCGAATCTGTGGTCGGGTTGGTATTTCTAAACTCGAAGATAACACTATACGTAGAAGAAGCAAGTTGCCAAGGACAAGATATGCCGTTTGATAACATTATTTCCATATATATATGCAGGAGAAGCAAGTTGCTCAGGGTAAACAATGCCTTTTCTTAACATTATTCTTAAGTGAATTCTAGCATATTATAGCGTTCAGGTGATGATATAATCTTACGACGTTATATATTGATGTAAATTGTAATAGAACAAAATGTATATTTAACCCGTGGAAAAAATAAAAGAGTGAATTTTGCAAAATAGCCATACTGGCATATTGTATTTGAATGGATCAAAAATGAAAACGGTAGTATAATAATCATCAAACAGCTTTAAATGATAGAAAGTCTTGTCTAAATTTAAGGTTAAATAAATGTTTTCACATTCATAGAGCTTATGCTTTGATCTTGATATGCAAGGGAGACGAAACGGCCACAATCTGGAAATGCTTTGAAAACGAAGTCTCCATATAAATCCAGTATGAGTGGTACTACACCGCTGGTGATGAGGCATGTTCATTGCACGTCTTCGAGGCTCTTCAATTAGTTTCTTAGGATTAAAAAGATACGATTTCTAAATAATGTAAAATATAAAGTTACATCATCCACATTTGTGTATGTGTATACATGTAATTGGACTATTTAGATTGATTCTATGATTTTTCTTTCTTTTATTTTCATCGGTTAGGCCATAAGCGACGAGAATATAGCACATGTCTTTTGCACGTATTCAACTTGAATTAAGAATTTGCACCACACAAATACGTGTACGTGATGTTCAGTTTATAGAATTCTCATATTCGAATCCTTGTTTACAAAATGACAAGATCGGTTTTGTTTCAACGACCTCGATATACATATGAATTCATCGAGAGATGATAGAACCTTAGAGTGGCCTAACCGATTACTAAACGCTGTTTTCGCGTTGTGGATTCATTTCGATGTGATAATTTATTTTGTGCATTACCCTCATTCTCTCATGTTTGTCAGTGTTGCTTTTTTCCTGCTACATAGGACACTTCATTCTGTTAGTGTTATCCTATTTTTCAATGATTTTTCTCCCGTTGTGCCTCCTTTTCAATTAGTTAAACAAAATTTATTGATAAAATATTAGTCAAGAGACAACATGTGTCTCTACCAAATATTAGGCTTCATCTTTTAACGTCTCTTATAATTTTGTGTTTTTGGAAGCCCATTACTTTGGGGTTTTGTGTTAAAAAGACACACTCTCGGATTTCCCAATATTTCAAACCACACTTGTTTTTTTTTTTGATCTTATGTTTATACCTTTTCTCTTATTAGCTTAGTATGGACCATTCGGGGGTAATTTCAAACTTTTTAGTACTGTAATGCAACCAAAGTTAAACTACTTACATCAGGAAAAAACAAACTAAAGATAGTAAGAGTTTGGAAGATAAAGAAGCTTCAATACACTCGAACGACTAGTCCCTAAAATGATTGTTTTTTTATGCGACAGATGGAGTTTGGAAGAAACTTTCGTATGGAAATAATTGCGGTTGTATAATATCAGATTTGGCTAGTCCAATACAAGACCCTCTTTGGTTAGATGCAGCAGGCTAAAGCTTTTCTCCTTCTTGGCACCTTGTTTCAGCTAAAGCTACTTCCGCGGTCTTGAAAGAGTAGCTTTAGCCTATGGACGAATAGAACGCGGAGTAGCTTTAGTTCGGAGTTTGTGATACATATGATCCCAATAAGAGAACCACCACCATCATCATCATCATCATCATCATCATCATCTATATTATATGTTTCCTCCGCAATGTTTATTTAACAAAAGAAGTACATAATGTATACGAATTTTAACATTTGTCACAAGATTCCAAAAATTCTTGACATGTGTGTCTGTGTTACGTTTCTCAATTGTAATTTATTCCAATAAAAAAAAGAAATTACAGGTCGAGAAAATAGGAATAACCGATTAACAAAAAATTTGGACGACCTCTTTCCAGTGGTTGGAAAGACTATTCACCCGAGAACAAGCAAACCATTTGTCTATCTTCCAAATTAGGTAAATCGGTTGACTCATAAACCGAGTCAGCGACTCGTCCGATACCATAAAACGATTCCAATTCGAGGAATCTCACGAGTTCCACTTTTATATTTAAAGCGACTTTTTGTGACTTGGAATCGAACAAATGCTTGTAGAAAAGCTAATCGAGTGAAGAGAGCGAAAAGGGGAGGCGAAAATGGGTAGTATCGGAGAAATCGGCGGAGCTGAAATGGTCTTAGATGTTGATGAGACGATCTTCGTCGCGGTGTCGGAGGAGGTGGAGAGGAGCAGAACGACTGTGTTATGGGCGGCGCGGAACTTCTCCGGGAAGAAGATTTGCTTGCTTTACGTCCATCGACCTGTCCGGCCAGCCTCGTGGAGTGAGATCTTCTGCTCTCCTTCTCTCTGAATTACTTCTTTGTGCAGAATTTATGGTTTATGGTTTTTACAGATCTGTCTACTGAGTTCTAAACCTAGACAAAATCGAAATTTCGTGTTTTTAAATATTCCTAACCGTGAAATTTGGGATTTTTGAAACTGTTCTGGGAAAATTGCATAAACCTTTCTATAATTTGTTCATGAATCATACTTGTACTTTTACATTTTCATGGTCAGCCATTTAAGAGTTTGGAAGAAGAAAACAAAGGATTTCTATATCAAGTTGAAGTAGACAACACCAAGATGATACAAATAATTTGGTTATGATAATGCCCATAATGTAACTAAGATTAGCTATTGGTTTTTCTGTACATTGTACAAAACTTTGCAAGACTGTTGATTTTGCTTGTCTTAGAACTTGAAAATCTATAGCTGGAAATTTGATGACTTTTTGTCTCCCTGTATAGTCCATTGTCAATAATGTTTAGGCTTAGTAACTTGTGAGAACATTTTGCTTACCTACAGCGCAAAAGAAACTGGTCGGTGGTACTTTCCGGAAACATGCGGTCAAGGTGATTGAGCGTGTTGATAAACAAAAAGTGGATGAGATTATGGATTCTTATCTTCGCCTTTTATCTCAAGCTGAGGTATCAAGTCTCTCCTTTTCTCGTGTATAGTTAGTCGTGTTCAAGTTTACCTGAAATAAGGCAACTCTCCACTGAATATTCATGTGATCTTGGTAGATATAATAGTTCATGTAAAGATATAAACATAAATGGAAAAACCTTTTTGTCCTGTCTTTGCTGGTCCTTTCATATGATAAGCTAATGAATTGACATAGTTCATTTTAGGTTCAAACAGATAAACTTTGCATTGCGGGGCAAAATGTCGAGGAAGGTATCGTAGAACTAATTGCTCGACACAATATTAAGTGGTTCGTAATGGGAGCTGCATCAGATAAACATTACTCATGGTATGATATGATTTTATATTTTATCTAATACAGTACGTTATACATGTTTCTCATCTGACCTCTGAAACTCATATCATCTATTTAATTGAAATGCCAGGAAAATGACGGATTTAAAGTCCAAGAAAGCCATATTCGTTTGCAAAAAAGCTCCTGATTCCTGCCATATTTGGTTTCTCTGTAAAGGTTACCTTATTTTTACAAGGTAAACTTTTTTTCCCTTGCAAAGGTTGCAGAAAGAGTGAATTAGATATCTCAAATCGCCGTCTTTGCCAAGCTAAATTATTAGCATACATCTGTAGAAACTTCGGTGTAATATATGTTACGTCATGGGACTTTCTCTGACTTAGTTGACTGCTTCTACTATCTGTTTTTGTTTTCTCTTCCTCTATTCATATAACTAAAAGGAACACTCTTAAAAACAGGGCTACCAATGACGTTAGTAATAACAGGCAAACAATGCCTCCCCTAGTACAGCTGGATTCAGATACTGAGACAAGGAAATCTGAAAAAATGGAATCCTCTTATATGAGGAGAAGATTAAGATATTGGCGTAGCCTCCTTGAACAAGGTAAGGTCTCTGCATTTCATTTATGGTGCTATCAGTTGTATACTGTCTCTGTATGGTAACTTTGTTACAGAATTTTGCAGATGGTGAGAAAGACACAGGTCAATCGGAGAGAGAAAAGGTGGAACCAAGAGCAACTTCTAATGTTTCTTCAGGTTCGGGTTCTTCCTTTGGAGAGCCGGTTGGTCCAGAGCCGCCGGCTGGTCCAGAGCCATCTGGCCCAGAGTCAGCTCGCTTAGATACTTTAACCACCCCAGATATTGAGGTAGGAGTTTGCTTCATCTTTCATACTGATAATACTGGTCCTTTGCATGGAAATACTTTACTTGGAAAATAATTACAGGGGCTGGTTTGTCTTAACTTTAAAATGTGACTTTGTGGAAATGGTTTATGAATGTAGTTTTGTTTTTTGCAATATATTGATATCTCTGCTTTAAGTGAACATGATGCTGTCACTTTCTAGTATGAACAAGCAATTAATCCGCCTGGTAATCATGCATGCGATCCTGTGGAATTTCAGGAGAAGAAGCGTGAAGGAAATGTAGCGCGCGAAGTTCATAGGTATGATAAAGCCATGCATGATATTGGCCAATCAGAGAGAACTGTCTATGGAGAAGCTCGGAACGAATTGAAAGAGGATGACAGTACCATGGAGGCTTTATGCAAGGTGATAAATCCAATCCATTTCTCAGTTATCATAGAAATAGAAATATTTCACTGTATAGATTCATAAAATGCTAAAATATTTCACTTGAAAAAAAGGCTTAATAACATAGTTTCTCCTGGTTTAACTTTTTTGTTGTCATGCAATCTCACAGGCAAAGGCTTTGGAGGGCTTATGCATTAAGGAGTTGAGTCGAAGAAAGAAACTGGAGGAATTGCTAGAGAAGGAAAAGGATGAAGTAAATAGGGTAATAGAGCAGAACAATGGATTCATGAAAAAGCTTCAGATGGTTGAAGGTGATAATCTCAAGCTGGAGAGGCAGATCAGGAGACTGCAAGACTTGGAGAAAGAACATGGTGAGAAATTTGATACGGCTATGGAGCTTTTGAAAAGCTTCAGGCAGAAAAGGGACGAGATCCGGATCGACCATGAGAACGCGATGAAGGAAGTAAACGCATTGAAGAGATTGATAAAAGGAAAGACTGTAGAGTCCGGGTCAGAGATGCTCGATTATTCTTTCATGGAGATCAACGAAGCCACTAACGAGTTTGATCCGTCGTGGAAACTTGGAGATGGCAAATACGGAAGTGTCTACAAAGGGAGTCTCCAACATCTTCAAGTAGCTGTAAAGATGTTGCCCTCTTATGGCTCCCAGAATCACTTCGAGTTTGAGCGTCAGGTAAAGAAACCTTAACTATTACATATAAGTGAACATCCGTCTCAGAGTTTCTGATTGTTTTTTTCGGATTTCAGGTGGAGATTTTAAGCAGAGTAAGGCATCCGAATCTGGTGACATTAGTTGGTACTTGTCCAGAGTATCGGTCCATCATTTACCAATACATTCCTAGTGGAAGCCTCGAAGACTGTCTTTCATCAACGAACAACAACGTTCCTGCGCTTTCTTGGGAGTCTCGGATCAGGATCGCCTCTGAAATATGCTCTGCGCTCTTGTTTCTTCACTCAAACGTTCCTTGCATCATTCACGGAAACCTCAAACCGTCCAAGATCCTCCTTGACTCTAACCTCGTCACCAAGATCAGCGACTACGGGATCTCTCAGCTGATACCGATCGATGGAGTCGACAAATCCGATCCTCACGTTGATCCGCATTACTTTGTCTCCGGTGAGATGACGCTGGAATCAGACGTGTACTCGTTTGGAATGATTCTTCTTCAGCTTCTCACGAGAAGACCTCTCTCTGGCGTGCTGAGAGACGTCAAGTGCGCGGTTGAGAACGATAACATCAGCGCGGTTCTGGATGATTCAGCTGGAGAGTGGCCAGTCGCACGTGGCAAGAAGCTAGCTAACATAGCCATCCGTTGCTGTAAGAAAAACCCATTGAACCGACCAGATCTAGCCATGGTTCTAAAGTTTATAGATCGGATGAAAGTCCCGGAAGTTCCTTCGTCGGAAACGTCGTCGTACTCTGACCAGAAAGCTCCACGCCGGCCTCCTTCTCATTACCTCTGCCCTATTTTCCAGGTAACTTTCAATGCCTAGACATGGTTTGATGATCGTTTGGATTAAGACAAGAAGTTATAAAACATGTTTGTTTTGTTTGTTGTTGAACACAGGAAGTGATGAAAGATCCTTTGATAGCGGCAGATGGGTTCACGTACGAAGCGGAAGCGATAAGGGAATGGTTAGCGAATGGGCACGATACGTCGCCGATGACAAACCTGAAGATGGAAGATTGCAATCTCATACCTAACCACGCTCTTCATCTTGCTATCCAAGATTGGCAAAACCAATGGTGATTTTACCTTTTGCCTCTTATTTGTGGGACATATATTTGCTACATTACTATGAACTCCCAATTTTTTTTAGATTGTCACTTTGTAAATTCACTCCCCCAAACCTATGGAAATTGGAAAATAGCTAAGCGCCACATACATATATGATATATCGCAGTTATATAATTTGAAATGAAGATTACTCTCAAGTGTCAACCGGTTTTATAAAGTTCTTACCAATCTTTCTCAAAGTCTTCAAGTTGTTTTCTTAACAAATCACAACTTTCTGCTTGATATTCTTTTGCCCGCCAAAAGAATATTTTTTAAAAAATAAATGAGCCTAAATTATTAGGGCTTATAAAGCGTTGAAGAGATGTTTTACTCTATTTGACTGTTAGGTATTTGGCTAATTAGATTCAGCAGACATACTTTGCGTCTTCACTAATAGAGAATTTCACCAGACGACGTCGTCATCATCGTCGTCATCATCATCTCCAATGGATTTCACAGATACCGGAATCAACAGCTCGGATACTCTGATCTCTTCGTTAGACTATGACCTACTCCGACTCCGTAGCCAGATATTCGATGCGGTTTATCGGAAAACCGATTTGATTAGAGCTAACCATGAGTTATCTCACGAGAGAGATGCGCATAAGCGAAGAAACCGGGAGCTCGAATCTGAGTTCTCAGAATCCGAGATGATTAGAGAGGAAATAACGAGAGATCTGCAAGTTTCTAAAGAAAGAGTCAGTGAATTGGAAGAAGAAACGAAGGAGAAATCCAGAGTACTTTCGGAAATTTTACAATCTGTGGATGCTCGCTTGTCTAAATCGATCGGAGAAGAAGAGGAATATAATAACTCCAGAACAGTCTTGGAGTTAGTCATGGAGGTTGAAACGAAGGTAGAGAGGGTTATGGAATCGATGGAGAAGAAGAAGATGGAGCTACGTAGAAGTGTGGAGTTGTTGGAAGATGAGAACAGAGACATGAGTGTCTTGCTAAGGGCTGCTTTGTCTGAGAAACATACTGCAGAGAAGCAATTGAAAGAGACGAGTGAGCAGAAGAGATGGGCGTTGATGCAAATCGCAGAGCGAGGGTGGCAGAGAATAGGGTTTGGTTTTGGTGTCAGGGAATCAGTACAAGATAGCTCAGAAATGCAAAATCTTGGCAATGACGACGAAGGAGGAGAAGAAAATGGTGTGGTATGTTCTTTATTTCTTTGTACACATTCTTGTGATTATGAGGTTTTAGCAACAAGGAATCAAACAAAGGTTTAATACATATGAGAAGAACAGGTTATAGCAATAGACAAGACAATAAAGAATCTACGCAAAGAGATTTCTCAGCTGAAGCTTTCATTGGAGGAATCAAGGTGCGTAAACTTTTTTGTTCTTGATGATGGACTATGGTTAAAGAAAAGAAAAAAAATGCAATTTTGATTAATCTGACAGGTTAGAGGAAGAGCGATTGAAGAAATTTTCAAAGAAACAAGCACAGAAACTTGAGGAGAACGCAATGTATATCGACAAGCTGCAAAATCAAGAGAAGCTTCTAACTCAAAACGTAATGTATTTTCGAGTGTTTTGCTTCCATTAACAATGTCTCTCAAACTTTGTGGCTTATGACTTACTCGACTGTGATTTTTCTGAAATGAACGAAAAGGTGGAAGAGCTAGGGAAGGTAATAAGAGAAGCTGAAACAGAAGTAAGAAGATGGAGAGAAGCTTGTGAGCTTGAAGTTGAAGCTGGCCAGCGCGAGGTCGAAGAACGCAATCATCTCGTAAGTTTCACTCACTATTCCAAACCAATACAAACATGAAACACCATAATTAACAATCAAAAGAAACGTTCTTTCAATCAGATAGCGGTTTTAAAGGCAGAGGTTGAGAAGAAGAGATCCGCATTGGCAATATCTGAAGGGAAACTAAAACTGAAAGAAGAATTAGCCAAAGCTGCAATGGTAGCAGAAGAAGCAGCTGAGAAAACGCTGAGATTAGCCGAGAGAAGAATAAGTGAACTTCTCAGCCGCATTGAACATCTCTACCGCCAACTGGAGGAAGCAGAGTCTACAGAACGCAGACGCAGAAAGTGTAGGTACATTTGGTGTTGGCCCTTGTGGCGTTTTCCTACAGCAGCTTCTGGTGTGACAGCTACGGACGATTTTTCATGCATAAGCAATAGAGCATTGTTGCGATATGATGTATGATCTTAATAGTGATTCTCACAAGAGTTGTGTAGACTACATTAGTAGTAATAGTAGTAACTAGTAAATATGACCATAGAAGCTCAAATATTTATTTACACATGCATTTAAAATATAACATTAGATCTAGTGTTTCAATGAAAGACAAGTAATAAAGTTAACACTGGAAAAAAGAGCTCCCAGTTTCTACGATAACATTTTTAGGCATCTCAGCCAACACTCCAAGCGTAGAGGAGAACTCCTTGTCAGCTATGATATTAGCTTCATTTGATACTATGACCAAATCTGCTCGAATAGGTTCCAAGTCAACTATCCATAAAAGTATGTCATGTAACATTCTATCACGTCTCGCCGATTTATCACCTCCTCCGGGAAGGAAGTAGATACTTGATTCCCAAGTCTTGTTCGTCAGGAAATCCCCACCCCAAGACCCTTCCTCGTCATCAACATACGCCCATATCAACATGTTCCCCAGCTCATAACCAGAAGCAAGAAATGTTGATTCGATTCCCTTATAGATCGCATCAGGAGTCAAACCAGGAGGGAATGGAAAATCCTCGAGGTTCCAGAACACGAACACGAACTTGCCTGTTGCCCCTTTCTCGAATGTGATAGGCTTGGAGAAGTCTTGGATATCTTTAATCTCTCTTCTCCCTCTCCCGATTTTTTTCCCTTCGTAGAAACCATCTGTACACCCAAGTATTAAATGTGCATTGTGTAGAAATTTAACATCTTGCGGGGTGCCTTCATCAACAGGCGGCTTTACTGAGAGAAGATCGTAACGTCCCTTTCTCTGCAACGAACGAAGAAACGTTGGGTCTAGTGTTGGTATTATCATCAAAGGTCCTGGATTCAACCGTAAGAAAAGTTGCCAAGCCTTTGCATATAACCCTTGTGGTATGCGTATGATTCTGGCTTCTTCGAAATAGTCAGCATCGCGCCTCAACGTCACTTTTTCAGCACCCAACGCCAGGATTTCCACACAACCATGATGGCCGAGTCGTTGAAGAGCTTCTCTGATACCGGTTCCAACAGGTATGACATTGGATTTAGTAGGGGTTGAGTACTTGGCCACGTCCCAGAAGACGAACGCCGTCCTCCCAGGACCTTTAGACACAGATTCAAACAGAGAAACGAGACTGCGTGAATCTTTGATCACAGGAGTTTCATCTCCCATCCTTATCCCTCCAATGATAGGCTTTCCTCCATCTAAACCTTCTGTACAATCAACTATCGACTGTCCAGAGTCAAATACAAATGGACCATCATGCACCTTAGGGTTCACTAGGAAAATATTGTTATGTCTCGATTGTAAACCCTTGAGAACCCTGTGCAGCTCACTTTTAGTGTCTGGTCTTGGGATCACAATAAAATTCAGTGGAGACCACGGGTTTGCTCTAAAAAGAAGGTCCACAGCCAATTCACCTTGAGGTAAGTGTAAGATGCGGGAATTGCGCAGATCATCTTTGCTGTGGCTCATTCTGTCACCATACGCAAAGATAGTCTCACAACTATAAAGTCCCAACTGATCGAGAGCTGCTCTGATACTAGTTTTAACGTCTGCAAGATTGGCACCAGGAGGGATTGGGTACTGCACCACGTCCCAGTAGACGTGGTTCTGCCTCTCAGAAGAACTGGGGTAAAAACAGAACTCGGTGAGATCTTCGCCATCTAAGCAAACAGTTTCGTCTAAGAGATTGACAGAGATCTTACTGGAGATATCTTCTTCGTCCATGGTTCGACGGAGAGAGTTGGAGAGTTTCTCGCTAAATTATGGCTAGATTGGCCTTTGTGGGGGTCTACTTATAAGCCCTAAACTATGGTTTTTCCTTTCTTTTTCAAGAAACTTTCCTAATTCAAGAAATCCAGCTTAAGCATGCGATGATGTAGATACGACACCGTTGGACTAAAAGAATGAAACGCCGTAAAATAGAAAGTCTCTTTGCAAAGTCAAACAAAAAAAGTCAGCGATAACAAAACGTCGCGTTTTGGGAAATTTAGATAAGTCTCTTCGTTTAACGGCATCGTTTCAAAGAAGTAGAAACTACTGTACGAAAAGGTATCCGTCGTTCCTCAGCAGCCAAAAACGAGTCTCCGAACTAAGACGACGACGACAAGACAACGATGATGGGAGAAGAGAAGAAACTAGAAAATGTTACGGTGAAGAAGATAGCTTCGTCGTGCGATGTGGAGGCGCTGAAGAAATGTTTGGAAGAAAACAAAGGAGATCACTCAAAGTGTCAGTCTCAGGTCGAAGCTTTCAGATCCGCTTGCGCTCTTCCTCAACCCTCCAAGACAAAACCCTAAATTCCCTATGCTGTGATTCGATTCGGAAGTAGAAGAAGATATCTTATGTAATAAACTCAGACCAATGTGGTCTGTATGATATATGATTGTATGAACAACTGTTTTTTTTTACACATACATAGAAATTTGATCGTATCATTTACGCAATTCTGATTTCTCGAATGTCAAATTACCAGACTCGTCTCTCTCAAACAGACTTTCGATCAGCTCGTCCCAACTAAGTCCACGGTTCCGTCTTCTCTTGTTCGATGGACGAAGAGTAGATGCTGATGATGATGATTCACCCACCATTGGTGCAATCGAATCTGTTTCTTCTTCTTCTTCCTCCTCTGTTTCTTCTTTCTCTGTTTCTTCCTCTTCGGTTTCATCTTCTTGAGCTTTATCGAACGTTCCGTATTCAGAGGACAACGAGTCCGCGTGAGGAACGTCTAACGTTACAGCTCGTCTTAACGCTGCTCTGTACTCCAAGTTGTGCTCTCTAGCTAATGATTCTTGCCTCTCCATCCTCTGCTTCTCCGGGATCTCCATTGTCTTCTCTTTCTCCACCATCAGCTGAACAAATTTCAGCAGACGCAAATCTTAGCATCAATCAATAACCGGTTAAAAAGATTTATCATCTTGTGAAGGTTGGTGAACACTAACGTTGAGAGCTCTATGTGCTTCTCGTTCGATCCAAATGATGGCGTGGTCTGAAGTTGCATTACAAGACAAAACAATGTGTTCGAACCTTCCGTCTACTGGCACTGCTGTCTTCACCACCGGTGGAAATCTTCCCAATCTGCAAGAAACCAATTACCAAAAATATTATATGCAAGAAACAAGAAAGAACAATGTGTTCGATGTATCTTCAATGATACTTTTATTAGGACACTTGAAACTGCAAAACTTAATGAAGTCATTCTGTTGAGAGCATGTGGGTTGTGTGTTATTAGGTACCGGCAAGGCCTTCTTTCGACGATGTGATACATGCGACCAGGAGCGTAAAGCCTTCTAGGATCTTTGAGCATCTTCTGTTCTGGAACACATGTATCCTTCACGCACTGTATACATAGCAGACATGGCAAACTGTCCACACACACAAACAAAAAAACACAAACCCCATTACAAGCAAGCAGAGTAACGGATGGTGTTCTGTTTTTACCAAAAGCCCTAAATGTCCCTAAAGAGCATTCAAAACATATAAAGGACCAATTTTTAAGGGGATTCTGCTTTTGTGAGAGTGTTGTGAGCTATCTGTTGAATGTTTAAGAAAAGAAAAGAACATACTTTTCATAAACCGTTGAGACATTATGAGAATAGCTTTACCAGAAAAGAGACTTGAATATGTCTTCTAAAGGCGTAGCTGTCCTTGGCAAGAAATCATCCTAAACCAAACACAAACAACAAAACAGAGACTTTAGATTCAACACTTAGATCATTAGCCATGTATTAATATAGACACACCTGAAGCACAACAGAGTTGATGACATCAGCATATCTAACAGCCAGATTCAACGACATACACCTCGCAGGCGCGATAGCGAAACACCTGACTCTCTTCCTCTCAATATTCCCCAACCTCTCAGGATGCTTGACCACCAACAAAGCCAGCATCGTAGCCACACCAGACCCGAGAGAATGTCCAGCGAAAGTCAACGTATAACTCGGATACTTCACCACCAACTCTCTCAACACTTTACACTCCTCATCCAACACCGAACCAGCAGACTTCAACAGCCCGTTGTGCACGTAACCGCCATCAAACTTCCTCTCCCCGAGCTTGTTATCCAAGAGCACCGCGTAATCGCTCTCTTTCGCCAGATTCAGTCCCCGGATAGCCACAACTACGTCTTTGTAAACATGGTCTAGATACAAGATGTAAGCAGGGGCACGACCTTGAGTGTCTTCGTAGGTCTTCTTTAGAAGTAGCCAGTCAGGGTTTATACCATATCCTTCAGGAGGCTCCCATAGAGGGTTTCGGATATCGTCCTCGTAAACCGCTAAAATGTAACGACAAAGCCGAGGGATTGGTTCGAATTCGTCGGTTGTTGCAAGCCCCCAGTCTTTACTGTCGTGACCAGCCGTGTAGAGGCAGCGTTTGTAAGCCCAACGTGCACAGCCGAGACAGTAGACACATTCTAGTAGAGGGCAACAACCACATAGAATCGACATTATACAGAGTTGTATAACACCATTTTCATCATCATTATAGAGACACGAAGCACGCCATAAGGATTAATGATCAAACCACCACAAACTATTTTAAAGCAAGAAGTTTTTAGTAAATTAAACTGAAGAGTTTTTGGTAGAACCTCAACTCTATGGCTCGAAGATGTAAGAACAGAACATGAAAGCAGCAAAAAAATTTTGTGAGATTTAAAAACCAATGAATTGAGAAATGGGAAGGAAAAAAAGTCAACTTTGTGAATCAAGAAACAATGTAATGGAGATAATAATAGGATGAAGCTGAAGACTGAAGTCCTAATTGCTACTCTCAAAAGAAAATTCAGAGTTTAGGATTAGATCTCTGAGTAATTGGTGGGATTTTTTTTGTTGGTCTGCTGGTCTTATTAAAGAGAGAGACGAAGCAGCTTGAGCACAAATCCACGTCAATGAATTCGAGCGGAAGCTGTGGAGCTAAAGAGCTGAGAGACGGTGGAAAGGGGAAGGGAAAGGGAAGAGTGTGAGGAAGAAGAAGAAGAAGAAATGGAATTCACGCGATGAATTTGTGGTGGACTCGCCGGACTCGTGGTGGCAAACTCGCTGGACTCGTGCTCGCTTTTATCTCGTTTCGTGGCGGAACACGGCAGTGATTTTGGTAATTTTTGCAGAGCTTTTTGAGTGTGCTTTGCTTGTGGTAAGAAATGTGAAGTAAAAATATAAAGTTTCTATATTTGTTAAATAAATTTCACAAAAATAGTCAATAGAAATGATGCTAATAACTTCATCATATTACTAGAAATAAAGAGAGATTAGCACCATAGAATTCATCATATAACTAGGAAAATTCTGGGAATCATTATGGATTTCACGCAATAGTTCTTTTAAGAAAAATAAACAAAAGTTCATTTATGTAATAAAGTTAGATGGTATCTGGCCGCTAAATGTAATAATCTCCCTCGTGCTTCAACTAGTAAAGCTGATCATCTGGCTAAGCTTGCTAGGTTGTACCCTAGGTCTTTATCTTTTGTTGGTTATTCTGTTCCGGGGTGGGTAACCACACCAACTCGAATTTGAGTAATAGAATAGCCGTTTGTCGTAAAAAAAAAATGTAATAATCACCAACCAGTCAACGTGAGGAAGCTTGGTTGGACCAATTTTTATTGAACAGCTCAGATGAGATTTTCAGTCACTCTCAAAATAATTAAGAAACAAATGGCCTACCCAAATGAATAACATAATATTTACATGTTCTACATTCATCTAAAAAGCCGTTACTTTTCAAAGTCCTAAATTCAACTATAAGATCTTTAGAAAGAGATATATGTAATCGATGTTCAAAAAAAAAGAAAAAAAAAAAGAGATATATGTAACAAGAAAAGGAAACTATAATGTTTTCAGAGCTTATAAAAAATGTTCATGTAACTACAGCTCACAAAAATAGTCAATAGAAATGATGCTAATAACTTCATCATATTACTAAAAATAAAGAGAGATTAGCACCATAGAATTCATCATATTACTAGAAAATTCTGGGAATCAATATGGATTTCACGCAATAATTCTTTTAAGAAAACCAACAAAATTTCATTTATGTAATAAAGTTAGGTGGTATCTGGCCGCTAAATGTAATAATCACCAAGCAGTCAACATGAGGAAGCTTGGTTGGACCAATTTTTATTGAACAGCTCAGATGAGATTTTCAGTCGCTCTCTAAATAATAAGTAACAAATGGCCTACCCAAATGAATTACATAATATTTACATGTTTACATTCATCTAAAAAGCCGTTACTATTCAAAGTCCTAAAATTCAGTAGATCTTTTAGAAAGAGATATATGTAACAAGAAAAGGAAAAGAACATGTTTTTAGAGCTTATAAAATATGTTTCATGTAACAAGCTCACAACATTCAGCAATGTTTTATGCATCCAAAATTTTAGAGCTTCAAAACTTGAAGAAAAACAGTTTGGTTTTGTCATGAAATAGATATAACAAACTGCACTTATGTTTCTGTTGCAAGTTGCAACTAAATACAATTTGTTTTAAGCTTTTTTTTTCCGTCCTGTTGTCACATTGTATAAGCTATTCTTGAGAAGATCCTATTCAAAAGGAACCGTGTCATATTCGAACACGAGTTGACATGAACTTGGAGACTTGACCTCATTAGCCAGCTGTTTGAGCATCTCACGTCTCTTCTCCAACTTCTTGAGCTCATAAGACCAAACAGATTTTGTGCTGAGAGTTGCTTTCTTCAACCGTCTCGCGTTATTAAGGATGTATAGGGCCACTTCTTTCTCATCTTTTAGTTGCCATTCGTATCTTGTCCACACGAATGTCTCAAGATGGAACAGCAAACATTCCGGTACAGATTTTGGTTGACTCCTCCTCCATCCCCGCTCCACAGAACAATCCTTTTTGGTATACATAGATGGCTGAAGAAGAGTGCAATGAATATGATATTAGTTTCATCCCAAAAAAAAAAAAAAAAAAAAAAAAAAGATAATGAAATTGCTTTGCTTACGTCAGTGAGCTTGAGGATTTGCAGTTTAGGAGAACTATCGAGCATGAGGCCAAGAAGATTCCATCCTTGTCCTGTAAATAGCTCCAAAGATACCAACTCATGGAAGATACAGGACTTAATCCACTCGGACCCTTTGATGCTCAAACACTTCAAAGAAGGTGCATTTATGACATAACGAGTCTCCCTACGTCCTGAGTAACAAGATAGTATTCGTATGGTTAGTCTTTGTAATGATGGCACCGCAATACGAAAAGTCCCCACATCCATATAATAATTTCTTCGATCCACAAACAGATCTTGAAGACTAGTGCAGCCAGAGAAAAGGTTGGAAACAGATGCTTCGTCTTTGAATTCCACATACTCAAGGTGCAGCTTTCTAAGGGAACTGAAACAAACCCAACTCGGAAATTCCAAAATAATTGAATTCTTGAGCTTCAAGGTATCGAGTTTATTACTACATCTCCACAAAACACTCGTTAAACTGACTGGCACTTTTCTCTGATTGCGAAGATCCAATACCAATTCACGCACAGGGCGTGCAAAAGTAGTTCTCATCCATGTTCCAACATCTAAAGCTTCGGAATTAACTCTAGCTACCAAATGCAAACTCTCTAGCTCCGGAGCTTTATGTGAAAGCAAAGTCCTGCAAACAATCTCTGGAAATCTATGGCGTTCTCTTTTGAGACGTTCATAATTAAACGTGAGCTTTGGCACCATCTTCCAAACAGATCTCCACCGTTTAGACAAAGCACTCGTGGCTATGACATCTTCTGTTGGAACTGAAGACAATATCTGCAGAAGCAAATCATCAGGCAACTCACTGATTCTGTCTTCATTCACAATATCTCTACCTCTCAAAATTTTACCACCGATTTTGCTGTTAACAAAAAAAAAATGTTTAAGAAGTTAGGGTTCGATCTATCAGTTAATCCGAAAAAAATTCAGCTTCAAAAAATTCAATTAGTGAATGGATCAGCGAGAGAGTCACAAAACCCTAACAGAGTAGCAAAGTGACACAAGGCATAGAATCTAGAGAAGAAAGAGGAGTTGGAAGTCAGACACAAGTTTAAATTTGGTTTAAAATTGAACCGGATCCAATAAGACTTTCTATTAATAGGTTTTTATTTCATGTCGGCCTTTTAAGGAGAGGCTCAAACGCACAAAGAGTCAAGAGTCTTGGCAGAAGCTCAACTATGACTCGAAGATGTAAGAATTGAACAAGAAGGCAGCAATCTGTGAGTGAGATTTAGAACCCATGAATTGAGGAATATGAAGGAGAAAAAGTCAACTTTTCTAACTGCACTTACTTATGTTTATGTTGAAAGTTGCAACTAAATACTACATAGCTAAGAAAACTTGAATCTGTTTCTGATCTTTTTGTCATGTTTTCGTTACATTGTAGGAGCATTGACCTACTTACACGTAGACATCTCACATTCGAACACAAGTTCACATGAACTTGGAGACTTGACCTCACTAGCCAACTTTTTGAGCATCTCACGTCTCTTCTCCAACTTCTTGACCCTATGAGACTCGATAGGTTTTGTGGTGAGAGTTGCTTTCTTCAACCGTCTCGCGTTATTAAGGATGTAAAGGGCCACTTCAATATTATCTTCTTGTTTCCATTTGTAATAAGTCCACACGAATGTTTCAAGATGGAACAACAAACATTCCGGTACACACTCCGGTTGGCTCCATTCGCAGCCGATAGGACTATCACTTCTGTCCCAATTCCATGCCTGAGAACAATGCAATTGATACGATATTAGATCATTGAAATACTTGAAACTGGAGCTTTGTATCCACACAAATTACTTACATAGACAAGCTTGAGGGTTTGTAAATTAGGAGAAATATCTAGCATGAGCTCAACAAGATTCCATCCGTGTTGTATAAATAGCTCCAAAGAAACCAGCTGATGGAACATAACTCCAGTAGGAGGATGTTTCAGCTGTGCACGAGGCAAAACATTATTAGTAACCAAAAACAATCGTTAGAGCCCAATTTGCAGAAACGAAAATCTTAAAATCTTTTATACATGAAAGGGTAATATGTGTAGGGAAAGGCGTTTGACTGAAGCTAGAGATGCTAAAATGTTCTCATCGTCAACATAAGAAACATCCATAATCCTTGCCTCCACCAGCTCTGGCAAATCCTCAATCAGACAGAACTCGTAATTACAAAACCCTTTGAGGAATAAATACTTCAAAGAAGGAGCATTTATCACATATCCACCAACCCCTTGTCCTGATTCAGAATCATCGTCTATGGTTAGTCTCTGTAATGATGGCACCGCAACAGTGAAAGACTTCACATCAGAATTGCTTTTTCGATTCACAACCAAATCTTCAAGACTAGTGCAGCCGGAGAAAAGGTTGGAAGCAGATTCTTCGTCTTCGAGTTCCACATTGTCAAGGTGCAGCTTTCTAAGGGACTTGAAACAAACCTCACAAGGAAATTCCAAAATCATTGAATTCTTGAATTTCAAGGTCTCGAGTTTATTGTTACAGCTCCACAAAACACTCGAATATGTGTCTGGCTCTTCTCCCCGAATATCAAATACCAATTCACGCACATTGTGTGCGAAAGCAATTCCCATCCATATTCCAACATCGAAAGGTTCGGCCTCAGCATCTCTAACTACCAATTCCAAACTCTCTAGCTCCGGAGCTTTATGTGAAAGCAAAGTCCTGCAAACAATCTCTGAAAATGAATGGTGTTTGCTTTCGTGACGTTCATAATTAAACTTGAGCTTTGGCACCATCTTCCAAAGAGATCTCCACCGTTTAGACAAAGCACTCGTGGCTCTGACATCTACTGTCGGAACTGAAGACAATATCTGAAGAAGCAACTCTTCAGGCAACTCACTGATTCTGTCTTCATTCACAATATCTCTACCTCTAAAATTTTTACCACCGATTTTGCTGTCAACGTTCAAAAGAAAAAGTGTTTAAGAAGTTAGGGTTCGATCTTACAGTGAATCCGAGAAATAGACACATATAAATGGGAAAAATAAAACAGAAACATACGGTTGTCGTTCCATATGGCTAAGATTCAGCTTCAAAAAAAATTCAATTAGTAAAAGGATCAGCGAGAGAGTCACAAAACCCTAACAGAGTAGCAAAGTGACACAAGGCATAGAATCTAGAGAAGAAAGAGGAGTTGGAAGTCAGACACAAGTTTAAATTTGGTTTAAAATTGAACCGGATCTAATAAGATTTTCTATTAATAGGTTTTTATTTCATGTCGGCCTTTTAAGGAGACACATAGAGTGATTCGCACGCTATTAGAGGTTTTACATTTATCCCTCCGGAAGAAGATATTTTCTGTGACTTATGAGCTCTCTGTTCTCTCTCTGCTAGTGATGCCTTCTTGTCTATCGTAAATGGCATACAAATTTGTCACAAGCTTTTGGATTCTCTGTGACTTTGTCGCAAACAAGTCTCACCACCGTGTAGAGACGGCGTTTATAACCCAAAGTGCAGAGCCAAGACAGTAAACACATTCAAGAAGACGGCAACAACCACATAAACAGATTCGATTCACACAGAGATTATATGTAACAAGAAAAGCAAAAGATAATGCATGCACACAACATTCCACAATGTTTCATATGATCCTAAATTTAAGAGCTTCAATATTTCAAGAACATCTAACTGCACTTACTTATGTTTCTGTTGCAAGTTGCAACTAAATAGACATAGCCAAGAAAACTTGAATCTGTTTCTTGATCTTTTATGTCCTCTTGTGCCTTGTCACATTGTTGGAGATCTAGAGAACATCCTACTTACAAGTAAACGTCTCATATTCGAACACGAGTTGGCATGAGTTTGGAGACTTGACCTCGCTAGCCAACTGCTTCAGCATCTCACGTCTCTTCTCCAACTTCTTGAGCTCTTCAATTTCGATAGGTTTTGTGGTGAGAATTGCTTTCTTCAACCGTCTCGCATTATTAAGGAAGTAGAGGGCCACTTCTTTCTCATCTTCTCGTTGCCACTCGTATCTTGTCCACACGAATTTCTCGAGATGGAACAACAGACATTCCGGTACACATATCGGTTGACTCCATTCGCAGCCCACAGGATAACCCCCTTTGTTATACCAGCCTGGCTGAGAAGTGAGAACAATGCCATTAATAATATGATATTACATCATCAAAGATTCAAAAACAAATGAAATAACTTACATCGACAAACTTGAGGATTCGTAAATTAGGAGAACTATCAAGCATGAGCGGAAGAAGATTCCATCCGTTTCCTGTAAATAGCTCCAAAGAAACCAGCTGGTGGAAGATAGGAAACTTTATCTGTGCATGAGGCAAAACATTATTAGTAACCAAAACATAACCTTTTAGAGCTCAACTTGCAGCGAGCGGAGATATTAAATCATACCTCCTTAAAAGGTGATAAATGTAGGGAAAGACTCTTGACTGAAGTTAAAGATACCAAAATGTTCTCATGTGAAACGCCCAGAATCTTTGCCTCCACCAGCTCTGGCAAATTCTCAATCCGACAGAACTCGATCCACTCAAACCCTTTGATGCTCAAATACTTCAAACAAGGGCAGTTTATCACATAGCCTCCTTTCCCATCTCCTGGGAAGTCATCAACTACGGTTAGTCTTTGTAATGACGGCACCGCAATAGTGAAAGTCTTCACATCGATATTGCTTTGTCGATCCACAAACAATTCTTGAAGACTAGTGCAGCCGGAGAAAAGTTTGGAGATAGATGCTTCGTCTTTGAATTCCACGTACTCAAGGTCCAGCTTCCTAAGGGAACTGAAAGAGACCCGAGAAGGAAACTCCAAAAGAATTGAATTCCTTAACTTCAAGGTCTCGAGTTTATTGCTACAGCTCCACACAACACTCGGAACTCTTGCTAATACATCCTTCTCATTGTGAAGATCCAGTACCAATTTACGCAGATTGTGTGCAAATGCAACTCCAATCCATATTCCAACATCTAAAGCTTCGGTTTCATCTCTAACTACCAACTTCAAACTCTCTAGAACCGGAGCTTCATGTGAGAGCAAAGACCTGAGAACAATCTCTGAAAATCTATGGTGTTTACTTTTGTGATCTTCAGAATCAAACTTGAGCCTTTGGCACCATCTTCCAAACAGATCTCCACTGTTTACACAAGACACTTGTAGATATGACAGTTTCTGTTGGAACTAGAGACAATATATTCAGAAGCAGAGCTTCCGGCAACTCACTGATTCTGTCTTCATTCACAATATGTCGATTTCTCAATGTTTTTTTGCTGCCAGCATTCAAAAGAAAAAGTGTTTCAGGGGTTAGGGTTCGATCTTACAGTGAATCCGAGAAACAGAAACATAAATAAAAAACAAAAAAAAAAAAACAGAAACATACGATTGTTTTTCCATGTGGCTAAGATTCAGCTTCAGAATTATTCGATTATTAAAAGGATCAGCGAGAGAGTCACAAAACCCTAACAGAGTTGCAAAGTGACACAAGGCATAGAATCTGGAGAAGAAAGAGGAGTAGAAGTCGAACATGAGACCGATCAGTTTTAATCTGGTTTAAAATTGAACCGAAATCCAATAAGATTTGTTTGTTTCATGTCGGCCTTTTAAGGAGACGTAAAGAGTGATTCGCACGCTATTAGAGCTTTTACATTTATCCCTCTGGAAGAAGATGATTTCTGTGACTTGTGAGCTCTCTGTTCTCTCTACTGATCACCTATCTTCTCTGTAATTCTAAATTCAGTAATTAGGTTTTCGAACAATATATATTATTTTTTCGTTACGTTGATAATATTTTTTTTTGTTTGACCGCCTTAATGTAGTATGACTGTTAATCAAATCATTTGATGCCTTGTTTTCTATCGTAAATGGCATACAAATTTTTTCACAAGATTTTGGATTCTCTGTGACTTTGTCGCAAACAAGTGTCATCACCGTGTAGAGACGGCGTTTATAAGCCCAACGTGCACAGCCAAGACAGTAAACACATTCAAGAAGACGGCAACAACCACGTAGGATCGACATAAACAGATTCGATTAGCGTCACAACATTCAACAATGCTAGTTACACAGACACACAACAACAAACAAAAAGCATTCAAAAATGTTTCATGATCCAAGATTTAAGAGCTTCAACACTTCAAGAACATCCAACTGCACTTACTTACTCAAGTTTACGTTCCAAGTAGTAATTACTTTATAGGTAAGAAAACTTAAATCTGTTTCTGATCTTATTTGTCCTGTTGTTGTCACTTGTCACATTGTAGGAGATCTAGGGAACGTAGCATATTCGAACACGAGCTGACATGAACTTGGAGACTTGACCTCGCTAGCCAACTGGTTGAGCATCTCACGTCTCTTCTCCAACTTCTTGAGCTCTGTAATATCGATAGTTTTTGTGGTGAGAGTTGCTTTCTTCAAACGTCTCGCATTGTTAAGGATGTATAGTGCCACTTGTTTGTCATCTTTTAGTCGCCATTCGTATCTTGTCCACACGAATGTCTCAAGATGGAACAACAAACATTCCGGTACACATTTTGGTTGTCTCCATCCCCACTTTAAAGAACAATAGGCAAACGTAGATGGCTGAAGAACAATGCGATGAGTATGATATTAACTCATCTAAAATAAAATTAAAAAAAAAAAAAAAAAAAACAAGTGAAATTCGCTTAGCTTACGTCAGTGAGCTTGAGGATTTGCAGTTTAGGAGAACTATCTAGCATGAGTGGAAGAAGATTATATCCGTTGCTTGTAAATAGCTCCAAAGATACCAGCTGATGGAAGACAATTCCAGTAGGATACTTAATCTGCCCCATGAGGCAAAAAAACAGATATGAATTTTGCTGTCAACATTCACAAAAAGAAAAAAAAAAAAAACAGATATGAATTTTAGTGTTCAAGGAATTAGGGGTTCGATCTTACAGTAAAGAAAGGATAAACAAAGAAAAACCAAGTAACATACCATTGTCTCTCCATTTTCATGAATACAGAGATTATCCAATTTGATAATGGGATTTATGCCTTTCGAAGCGCAAACAGCAAATGGAAACACAGACTAACACACGAATCCGGCTAAAGTGAAGATTCAGCTTCAAAATTATTTCACTTGTGTTTGATTTTTTATTGCTAAGAATGACGAGCGAGAAACAAACCTCCCCCTAAGAGCGTACACAATGCTTAGAATCTGGAAAAAGAGGACTAAAATCTCTGGACAAGTCAGACTCAGTGTGAGAATTGAGAGAGAGAGAAAGAGAGAACAATTGAATCGGATTCTTTTAATGGGTTTTATCTCGTGTCGGCCTTTTAAGGAGAGGCCCAAACGCACAAAGAGTGAGTGATCCGCTAACTGAGAGAGCCTTTCATTTCCGTCCGCCGCAGGAGGAGGCCAGGAGGAAGAAGCGCTCGCGTTTGATTTGTGAGTTCTCTCTTCTCTGTGATTCTCGATTCAGTAGTCAGGATTTTGAAGTCAATGTATTGCTTAAGTTTTTCTTAATTACGTTATCTTGTGTTCTTGCTCTCTGCTTTAGAGATTAGACTACTAATTCATTTATCAAATTTGGATTCTCTGAGAGATTGTGACTGGTTCGCAGACAAGTATCACCTTTAGGAGATCATCTGAGTTATAACTAGTTAACTTCTCTGTTTTGTTTGATTTTGATGTTTAGCTATAATATCATAGTTCATAGAGATGGCTTAGCTTTGAAGTGTGATGTTACATCGTAGAATACATATTTCAACCCATAGATACGAAATATAACTCTTACCGACTTTGTTTTTGACCTTCGAATAAAGCGCTAAGTGTATCGAAGCAAAGCAGAGTTGGTAAGATGGAGTTTTGTCCTACGTGTGGGAACATGCTGCGTTACGACCGTTCGAGATTCTTCTGCTCGACATGTCCGTACATCGCCTGCATTGAGAGACAGGTCTTTTCACTTTAAGTTAACTAAAAGTCCTGTTTTTTATTTGTTTGTGGGTGTAAATCTTTATATCTGTTCTTCCTTCTATCAGGTGGAGATTAAGAAGAAGCAACTGTTGGTTAAGAAATCCATAGAAGCTGTTGTAACGAAAGAGGATATTCCAAAAGAAGCCGAAACCGAAGGTAAGTATTTTTGAGTCTCTTATGTATTATTCTTAAGTTTATTCCATTAGTTTTGAGTAGCACAAATCAAGAACTGCTATTACTCTTGAGTTCATGAGTAACCGAGAGACCGAGTTATGAAGTCTTTTAGAACATGTCTCTGTTTGCTTCATTTCATAAAGAGTAGATCTTTGTTTCCATTACTTTTTGAGAAAGCTCTTTGGTTGGGATCTTGACTTTGTTCTACTGGTGGTATAACACCTTTCTTTTCTTGGATTTTTTTTGTTTATTTATGATAGCTCCATGCCCAAGATGCGGCCACGACAAGGCATACTTCAGGTCAATGCAGATTCGTTCAGCCGATGAGCCAGAATCAAGGTTTTATAGATGCTTGAAGTGCGAGCTAACTTGGCGCGAGGAATGATCACCTTTCACTAATGCAAGCAGCCCTATGAAAGCTAGTCTTTCATGAGTCTTTTCCTTCGACAATTTGGTAATGTTGCAATGTTTCAAATATAGGTTTCAGAGTTATTTGTCTGTCTTTTGTTGTCTTTTGTTCTCTCAGTTCAAGAGTTTTGTATAAACGGTTAAAGTTACTTGGTCTTGTATGTTGTAAACTTTTTATACTTAAGATCAATGTTATTTCTAGGTTGTATAAGTAAGAGAGGCACATTTGTTAAACAATTAAGCAAAATTCTCTCTCTCGTGCCCAATATTCAATATTCAATCACCACGCTTACGATAAGATAAAGTTTCATGATCTTGAACTTTAGAGCTAATCATCATTATGAACAACGATATGATACTCCTACGAAATTCAAGATTTATAAAACTGACAGTTTTGTATTTTGTAAATACCATACGTTTCACAACATGTGATAAATGGCCAAAGCAGGCTTAGTGTAGATTATTTGGACTCAAACACGATGTGACATGAATTTGAAGCCCCGGCCACACTAACCAACTCGTTAAGCATCTCACGTCTCTTTTCCAACTTCTCAACCTCTTTAGAGTGGATAGGTTTTGTGGAGAAAGTTGTTTTCTTCAACAGTCTTGCGTTCTTTAGGATGTATGTAGCCACTTCTTTCTCATCTTCTCGTTGCCACTCGTATCTTCTCCACACGAATCTCTCAAGATGAAACAACAAACATTCCGGTACACATTTCGGTTGCTCCCATTTCCACTCCACTGGACAATCCTCTTTATTACAATACGGATCTATTGGCTGAGACCAATGCAACTAATTAATTTGATATCAGATGATTAATCTATATATTTAAAAGTGGATTTCTTGAAAAAAAATATATGTAATGAAATTACGTACATCGACGAGCTTGAGTATTTGCAATTTAGGGGAACTATCAAGCATGCACGTAAGCAGATTCGACCACTTTCTTTCAATTGTACATAGCTCCAAAGATAACAGCTGTTAGAAGATATTGCCTATAGGAAACTTGATCTATACGCACAAGTCAACATCATTAGTACTCTAAACAATGTTTGCCAAAAAAAAAGAAACTTAAAAATCATAAAGTTACCTTTAAGGGTGATAAGTGCAAGGAGAGACGTTTCACTGACGTTAGTGATCTCAGAATATTCTCATTGGGAATATTAGAAACGTTAATGATTTTTGCCTCCACCAGCTCTAGCTTATTCTCAATCAGGAAAAACTCAATATCATGAAACCCTAATATGTTCAAGTATTTCAAAGAAGGAGCATTTATCACATAGCCTCCACCATGTTGTCTTGAGAGATCATCTTCTACGGTTAGTCTTTGTAATGACGGCACCGCAATAGTGAAAGTCTCCACATCAAGATAGCATTTTCGATGAACGACCAAATCTTCAAGACTAGGGCATCCACATAACAGGTTGTGAAGAGAAGCTTCGTCTTTAAATTTCACGTAGTAGAGGTGCAATTTTCTAAGAGACTTCAAACAAACCGGAGAAGGAATGACTAAAAGAATGCTATACTTGAGTTTCATGATCTCGAGTGTGTCATTAAAGCTACACAATGACGCTGGAGATATGACTAAGCCTTCCTCCTCTAAGTGAAAATCCAGTACCAGTTTACGCACATGGCGTGCAAATGCAATTCTAATCCATGTTCCAAGATTAAGCGCAAAACGTATACGTCCAATTTTTAAATGCAAACTATCCAGAGCTTTATGGAAAAGCAAAGACTTGTGAACATTCTCTGTAAATTTTGAAGATTTATCCGAATCAGACTTGTGAACATTCTCTTTAAATTTTGAAGATTTATCGGAATCAAACATGAGATTAATTGGTACCATCTTCCAAAGACATCTCCATTGTTTAGACAAAACACATGTAGCTGTGACATTTTTTGCTGGAAGTGAAGATAATATCTTCACAAGCAAATCTTCAGGCAACTCACTTATCCTGTCCTCATTCACAACCTCTCGATTTCTCAAACTTTGACCACCTCTTTTGCTATCAAAATAACAAAAGATAAAAAGTGTTTAGGATTTAGACAGAGAGGGATACAGAGAAAAATAGACAAAGAAACATACCATTGTTGTTCCATTGTCGCTGTTAGAGAAAACAATTTGGTAGAATTCCTCCAGATTATGAGAATTCAAAGGCAGCTTAGCTTCAAAATTATTCAGTTTTGATAAATCAGTAAAAAGGATTAGCAAATCAAAGAAACCCTAACAGCGTAACAAACAGAGAGACCCAATGCATCTATGCCTTATTGCCCACGTATGTAGATTTTATTCTCTCTCCATAAAAGCCAATTAAAAAAAAAAAAAAAAACAAGACCAATCGGTTTTCTTTTGGTTTCACAATTGAACCGAATTCAAACATCTTCACAAAAAGGCTTTTTCTCGTTTAACGGGTCTGTTTTATGTCGGCCTTTTTAAGTAGAGGCCCAAATCGCACGAAGTATCATCATCATCATTCATCAGTGATTAGGGCTTCAGTATTTATAAGCGTAAACCTATTCCTCAAAGAAAGCTAGACATTTCCGTCACCCCGCCGCAGGAGGAAGAAGCTTTTCTGTGTGACCTGTGAGTTCTCTCGCTTCTCTACTTCTTCCCGTCTCTCTTCTTCTCTGTGATTCCTCTAGTTAGCTAAAGGCACGTATTGTTATCTCTCTTGATTCGAGCTAGTGTGCTCTTCTAGCTCCTGGAATTTTCTTATCTATGCTGATTCCGTGTATTACTGTGCTGATTTAAGCGTTTTCTCAGCTCGTTGATTCGTTAGAAACTCGGATTCAGTATTAGTCGCAAAAATGTCTCACCTTTAGTATAAGCTTGTTCTAGATCCTGTAGATATTGGTAATAGCATTGAAATGGCTTGGCTTATTAGTATAAATCAACATCGTTTGATTTCGCTTGAGCCTAATGATAAACTTGTTGCTGGATTGCTGTTTTGCAGGTGAGGTGAAGAAATGAAGCACAACAATGTCATCCCAAATGGTCACTTCAAGAAGCACTGGCAAAACTATGTCAAGACGTGGTTTAACCAGCCTGCTAGGAAAACCAGAAGAAGAATTGGTTAGTAAAGTCGTCTCCACATTGCTTGTTCAATCGCTCATTGGTCCCTTAATTAGAGTGCTCATGTTTCTACTTGTTGCTGTGTTTTGTGTACTCAGCGAGGCAGAAGAAGGCTGTGAAGATCTTCCCTCGTCCTACCTCTGGTCCTCTCCGCCCTGTTGTGCACGGACAGACTCTTAAGTACAATATGAAGCTCAGAACCGGCAAAGGATTCACTCTTGAGGAGCTTAAGGTTTGTAATCAGTAGTCTTGACTTTTTGTTTTGGTTTAATGATTTATTTCGTGTTGGATATTGTTCTGATTGTTTGATGAATTCAGGCTGCTGCTATCCCAAAGAAGTTGGCTCCAACAATCGGTATTGCTGTTGACCACCGTCGCAAGAACCGTTCCTTGGAGGGTCTTCAATCCAATGTCCAGAGGCTGAAAACCTACAAGGCTAAGTTGGTCATCTTCCCGCGTCGTGCCCGTAAGATTAAGGTACTAATTCGAAACCATAACCTTTGAGTTATATAGGTCATCTTTAGATTGGGATAGTTGGAGCTGTTTCTCAGTTTTTGTTTTGTTGTGTGTATCAGGCTGGTGATTCTACAGCAGAGGAGTTGGCCAATGCCACACAGGTCCAGGGAGACTACATGCCTATTGTTCGTGAGAAGCCAACGATGGAGCTTGTGAAGATTACCTCTGAGATGAAATCGTTCAAGGCTTATGACAAGATCCGTCTAGAGCGCACAAACAAGAGACATGCCGGTGCTAGAGCCAAGAGAGCTGCTGAGGCTGAGAAAGAAGAGAAGAAGTGAGGATCCTTCTTCTTAGGTAGAAAGAAACTTTTTTTATCGCATCTTCTTTTTGGATCTCAAGTTTTGTGTATCAGACTCTGTTTTTTGTTTCTTCAGTTATTCACCTAAATCTTTGGATTTTGCTGTTACTTTGCTTGGATTTATGGCAAAAGAATCATTTCACACATGCTCACTCTTTCGTTTGAGTTTGCCTCTTAATTCGTATTTTACTTTCAGTGTATAATATAATATATGTTTTTCAGCATATAATGAAAAGTCAATTTGATAACAACTTAAAATGATATCTTCACTAGTGATTTTAGAATAATAATTTATCTTGTTAACTATTTAGAGTTGTAGACTAGACAGTTGTATTTTTGAGTAATAAACTAATAATACCCTGTTAAGAAATAATTACGTCTATTTTCAAGACGTTACTTACTTACTTTGCAAAACGTTGGACAAATGTAAAGAAGAAAAGAATAACGTAGAAAATCGACCAAAAATTAACTAAATCAATGATTTTTTCTTTTAATTTAGAGTTTTAGAAGTCAAGAAAAAGCATAATGGCATCATCAAGTTTAAACGTAGCGGCTAAGAGTAACTCCTTCTTAGCTAAGAGATGAATCCCTCTCTTCTCAAACGCTCCTTCTAGATTTGGCAGCCACAGCAACTGCCACACACAACATCAAAACAAGGATCTTTAAACCCCAAAAGAAGAAAAAAAGACAATTGTAGTAATTTCAAACGATCTTAAGTGTGATTGTAACCTCATTCTCAGAATCTTCTTCATGCTTCAGCCTAAGACACAGGTTTAAGGAAGCATGATACATCTCATCCAACATTTGCCTCGACACAATCAGCTTGTTTACCTTCCACAGTTGGAACGGCATATACACACCTGTCACCGCCAATTTCTACACCAACAACAACAAAACAAGACAATCATAAAGAATCTCATATCAACCAGTTTTCTCTACCTTAAAAGAGATTTGGTTTCAAATTGGTTCCATACCTGCATTTGTAAATAACTATCTTTCCACATCTTCAAAAGGATTTGCGGCGTGTCCTTCTTTTCAGTCAGCGCCGCATCAGCAATCTTATCAGAAATTTAAAATTAGATACTGTTAAAGAAGTTCAGAAACAATTTATTTTTACTTAATCACAGTCACTAACCTTATCAGTCTCAACAAAACGACCTTCCTGTGACAGGTATCTGAACAATCTGAAAGCTTCTTTCCCATATCTTCTCATAACTACTGATTCCATCTATAAAAAGCATCTCAAATATCCTCATTTTTCAGTTTCAGAGAAATGATTCAGGAAGATTAAAAAGGAAAAATATATGAAACACACCTCGTCTTTCTGTGCTACGCTGAGAATGGCTTTATAATCTGCCAACGAGATAACGAAATAAATTTAAAAATGGAAGTTTGAATCTAAAAGTATAGGTTGACCAGATTTTGGATGAAGAAATGAAAGTGTACCAACTATGTATGAATCAGCCGTTTCAATCACAAATGCTGGTAGATAAGAAGACGTTGCACTCAACTGCTCAAGGCATTCTTCAACTCGCTCTTGTAGCATCGTGCGGCCTGCTTTTGTCTTTATAACCTCTCCATAAATGGAACCCATCGACACAGGAACTGAAGAGAAGATATTGTTTCAACCAAAAAACAATGGGAGCTTCAGTTAACTTTATAAAACGTTATGATATTTGAATGAAAAAGAGCAAGCATCTCAGCCATTTATTACCTGACTTGTCGGTTTTCACCTTCGTTTCCTGAGATCTTCCTACTTCTATCATTGCCCTCACGACAGTGGCACATGCTTCATCTCTACGCTCTTTAACTATCTCCACACACGCCTTGAAAGAGGAAACAGGTGATTAGAAGAAGAATATTTGAAATGCCAATGAAACAACCTCAAAGAGAAACACCTTATGTCTAAGGCGGCGTATGAGCTCTTCGAAATTAGGACGCCAAATTACTTCATCGCTCTGATCTGATGATTCCACATCACGTTGTTTACGCTGAAATACATTTCGGTTCAAAGAGAAACAACAAAACACAAGGTATTCTCAGGGTTGAAACATTGAGAAATGAAAGCTCATAAGTTATCCAAGACTGGTCAAGGTGTGAATGATGATACCTTCCCCGCAGAGATGTTGCTATGGTTATCTGCTAAAGATGAATCTGGACCTTGATCGAATACAAGTGGAAAACTTATTGCTTCAACTGGAGTTGCTGCTTCAACGACTCGTTCCTCTAAGCTTCCCGCTTCTTTCAAGATCTGCATAGTTCCAAGAGATTGCTCAAAAGTGTCGAAAAGAATAAACAATCAAACTGAGAAAGACCTTATCCAATTACCTTGGCAGCTTTAGCACCTTTCTTCTTTGAAGCCGGCCCTTCTTTGTTTCCAAGAACAGGTTCGGGAGAAGGAATGCGTTCAACAAAACGTGCAGCAACCAATTTCTGAAGAGAAGCGGTGATCGCTTCTGGACCTATTGGTTTTTGTGAATCTGATCCATGTATGAAGATCGTATGTTACAGATAAGCATCCCCTCGGTTTGAGGCACTATCGTGATCAAAATCAAATACACAAAGACTAACACCAAGGCCTACAATGAGAGAAAACCGTGGCAATATAACAAAAGAGATACATAAGATAACGTGACTCACCGGCGTCTTCTTGTATCAGCTGTCCCAAGGTAAGCCTACCGTAACTAAGTAAACCCCCAAGAACTTTCAGGCACTGTACATATAGATCAAAAGTATAAAGATCAGGACGTCTCGAAGCGTAACCAACTTAGTCAAACACTGAACGAGAATGATGAAGATGGAGGAATCAAAACCTGAGTCCCAAGCTCTTCTTTTACAACACTCGAAAACTTGCTGTACCTCTCACGATGGAGAATGTTGTTAAACAGCACAATGTACTGTACTGTAGCTTTGCTCTCTGAACCATCTACATTACCAAGTAACATAATTTTTAACAATCAAACCACCACAAACACAATGCAGAACAGGAAATTCCTGGAGATTCAGTGATTCGGAGCTGAAAAACAAAGCTAAACCAACAAGGAAGCTAAGACTAACCAGGCGGCTCAACAGAGAAAGCTTGAACGCAATTGTGCTGGATCAGGAGATGGAGAATATCCTTGACTTTGACTTGGTTATGACTGATGTCAGATTCCCCTAAACGAGGGATGTCCGTTAAACGAGAGATGTCTTGCAAGGAAAGAGGTCCTCTACGGAGAAGACACTCACAGACTTTCTGCAATTATACCAAAAACTCCATCACCAAACTCGCTACACAGGAGTCATAACGTCCATTATCTCAAAAAGGAGTTTCGAAGCGTTTCGATTTACCGATACGGCGGAGCCGAAGTGGTCAGTGATGATGTGGACGGCGTAGACGATGCCAAACTCCGTCGTAGCCATGATGATGTTTACCTTTTTGGGTCTAATCACAAACACAAAAGAAGGGTTTACAAAAACTGAAGATGCTCGGAGAGCAAACAAAGTTAAACTGAAAAAGAGAGATGCAAAGTCACAGCAACAACAAGAACAATCTGAAGCTAATGCAAAGGAAAAGAGAATGTAACAAAAAGATATTGTATGATTTCAAGCCAAGGCATAGCAAACAAGTTCAGTATTGTATGATTTGCAAAACCAGAGAGAACAAAGGCATAAAAGTACAAAACAAACGGAGCCAATTGCAGAGGAAGCCAACTGACCAAAAACTATCACATCAATCATCCGAAAAGTATGTTTACATGGAGGAGAATAGTGCAGCAATTAACAAGTAATAGAAGTAAACACAGTCACTGATTCAAGTAAGAATTGCCCTAAACTTTTTTCCTCCATTTAACCATATTGATATTTTACCGAAAAAGCATTGTACACTTGCATTCAAATACGTATAAGCAGGTGAAATAGACAAAATCAGAGCTCTTACACAAAATCAATCTCGTATAAATGAAAACCAGCTCATCAGAAACAAAGTCTCATTCTGGAAAGATTGCTTTTAGCTTTCGTTAATCACAAAACATTTCTAGTTTTCATGACAGTTAAGAGGAAAGAACAGAGAATGCTTGAGTAAAGTGTAAGAAGAGGATCATCAATACCTCAGTTGGGTAAGCACCAACTCCCAAATTCAGCTTAATTGGGCTCGGATCTTTGTTATATGCTTCAGTCGCTATTCATGAGACTGTCACCTATTGGTATTAACCAAAAAAAAACATCATACTTAGTCTCAGAAGCTGATAATCTATCAGTGTTTGTATAACAAGTGAAAGAGAAGTGTTTCAAATCAAAAGTTCAAAACCCATATCGAAGAACATCCAGAGCAAAGTATTATATGATTTCGCAAACCCAGATCAATCAATGAATCGAAACAAAACCAAAATCCTAAATCAAGTGAAGAAAAACTCACTTCGTCGTCGAGCATGGAATTTCGGAGGGCAGAGCTCGATTTCTTCGTCGACAGAGAACCGAAACCCCTAAACAAGAAAACGTCGTCGTTTTAGTATACAAAATTTATGTTATATATAGACTTTGGGTCCTTAAATTCATCTTATTTACTTTTTTAAAATAGTTTTGGGCTGGTCGGCGCTTTTTATTTGAACTCTTTTAAAGGAGACTTTCCTTGGTCTCTCTGATTCAATATTTTGTTTGGTCTCTTTTGCTTCCGAGAGAGTCCTCGTGAAAAGCTTTTGCACTTGTTGTTTGGCCATGGAAGACGGCAACATCGCTAGCCCCAAGTTGCCGATGCTTGGCAAAAGAAATATACTAATTACAAGTGCTCTGCCTAACGTCGTCGACGTCCCTCATCTCGGAAACATCATTGGAGGTAACTGAATCCTTTCTTTTCTTCTATATCCTTCCTTCATATTACCTTGCTGGGTTTTTTTTATGCCATGTTTTTGTTTTTTTTTTGTGCTTACTTACAGGTGTCCTGAGCGCTGATGTGTACGCCAGGTACTGCCGTCTCCGTGGCTATAATGCGATATATATCTGTGGGACCAATGATTATGGGAGTGCAACGGAGACCAAAGCTCGTGAGAAGAATTTCACCCCTCGTCAAATTTGTGACAAGTAATGCATTCTTGGTTTCTTACTTCTTCTTTTTTTGGTTCCTTACTTGATTTTGAGAGTTTCCTCTTGTTTTCTTTTGTGCATATTATTAGGTGTCATCCCCTTCATAAACAAGTCTATGACTGGTTTGATACAAGTTTTGACTGGTTTGGGAAAACCTCAACTCCAGAGCACACACAGCTGTGCCTAGAAATTTTCAACAAGCTGTGGGCAAATAAGCTTTTCTCAGACTATTCCATACAGCAGGTGAATGCTTTTACTCAAAATTCCTGTTATAGACTTGTTTGATCGCAAAACCAAACATACCTTCTTCTTAGGTACAAGGATCTGTTCATGTGGTGTTATATGTCTCAAGTCTTTAATTGGTTAAACCCATTTGTGTCTTCAGATTTACTGCGGTTCATGCCGGAGGCTCTTATCTTACTGGCAACTTGAAGGTTCCTTCTCTGCTGTTGGAGATGATCTCACGCTCAAAGATCTGAGGTGCAAGGTGAGCTATGTTTCTACAGGATACGACGCAAATTCTCTGTTTTTGTTGATATGGCTGATTTCTCTTAGAGGTTGTGTTATTTTAATCTTCGTGTTTTATCTCTCAAACAGTTGTGTCAAACCACACCCCAATTTCGCGTCACAGAGCACATGTTGTTTGATATTCCGTTGCTGCAAAAGAAGTTGGAAGAGTATGTTGACAAAACATCTGTTACCGGATCTTGGAGTCGAAATGTTATTCGAACGACTAATACATACCTTAGGACTCGGCTTACATCGATATTCTTCACAAAGGATCAAAAGTGGGGAGTTCCTGTCCCACAGGAGAAATATAAGCATAAAGTATGATAACATCACTGCAAGTCAATCTCATTAAACATATGAAACGTATCAACTACTAACTCGAATATAATGTTGTGCAGTTGTTATAAGAAGTGCTGCTGGTTTAATACACCTTCTTGCACAATTGTTAGAACCCTTCATGCCATCGTTTTCTCGCGAGGTTGGTTTAGTTGGTTGATTGTATTTTTGGTTTTTTAGAAGAGTGCCTAGTGCCAACGCTGTCTTGCATTTATGTCAGGTGTTTAAACAGCTAAATTTGCCTCCACATTTCTCCTTGTCTGACGAGAGAGGAGAGGTATTACAAGCAAGAAGACCTTGGGAGATTCTGCCTCCCAGCCACAGGATAGGCACACCTCAACCATTGTTCAAGGAATTGGTACAGTACATAACTCTTTCTAATTTTATCCACTGGAAGCAAGGCTTTGTTGTTTCTATGTATGTTATTATGCCATGTAGCAGTTTGAATTATATCTTGTGAAATGACATGATCACAGAAAGATGAAGAAGTGCAACAGTACATAACAAGGGTCTCATAGACGTAGCAGCTCATAGTCGTATTCTGGTGGAGCAACTTAGGAGGCACGGATTGGGATATAGGAGCAAATGTAAGGGGGGCCTATGGTGATTGACAGCTGTAGGCTGCTTAACTATTTAACCAATTAAGCCTTTTGAACCTTTTTTGTCAACTTGGATTTACATTTCTTAATGCAAATGTTGCAAAACTTTTTTGGAATCTCGGATTCTTCCCTGATTTACTATTTTGCAGCCGAGGTGAAGAAATGAAGCATTACAACTAATGATTATGCGGTAAGAATACAAAAAAAAAAAAAAAAAAAGTTACAAGATATGATAGGTATAACAAATACGAAAAAGAAAACCAAATTGACCAAAAAAGTCATGAGTTTAGATTTTGATTTTTGATTTTTATGAGTTTAGAAGTCATGAAAAAGCATAATGGCATCATCAAGTTTAAACCTAGCAGAAGAGAGAAACATCCTCTTGGCTCTGATCTTATTCACTCTCTCCTTTAATGCTCCTTCCATTTTCGTCGTCGGAAGCAACAGCAACTGCCACACACAACAACATAAATAAACATTTTTGTTACCATTATGAACATCTTCAAACCCCATCAAAATCTTCTCTTTTGAAGTAATTTCAATCGATCTCAAGTGTGATACTAACCTCTTTCTCAGAATCTAGTTCATGTGTCAACCTGAGACTCAAGTTTAAGGAAGCATGATACATCTCATCCAACATTTGCCTCGACACAATCAGCTTGTTTACCTTCCACAATTGGAAGGGCAGATACACACCTGTCACCGCCAATTTCTACATCAACAACAACAAAACAATAATAATGAATCTCAGATCAACCAGTTTTTTCTACCTTAAAAGATTTGGTTTCAACTTAGTTTAAAGCATACCTGCATTTGTAAATAACTATCTTTCCACATCTTCAAAAGGATTTGCGGTGTGTCCTTCTTTTCAGTCAGTGCTGCATCAGCAATCTTAACAGAAAGTAAAAACTTGATGTTTAGTTAAGAAACCATTATTTTTACTTGAAAGGATGTTTCTATATTAATCACAGTCACTAACCTTGTCAGTCTCAACAAAACGACCTTCCTGTGACAGGTATCTGAACATTCTGAAAGCTTCTTTCCCATATCTTCTCATGACTACTGATTCCATCTATAAAAAGCATCTCAAATATCCTTAATTTCAGTTTCAGAGAAATGTTTTAGGAAGCTGGAAAAAGAAAAATATATGAAACGCACCTCGTCTTTCTGTGCTACGCTGAGAATGGCTTTATAATCTGCCAACGAGATAACGAAATAAATTTAAAAATGGAAGTTTGAATCTAAAAGTATAGGTTGACCAGATTTTGGATGAAGAAATGAAAGTGTACCAACTATGTATGAATCATCCGTTTCAATCACAAATGCTGGTAGATAAGAAGACGTTGCACTCAACTGCTCAAGGCATTCTTCAACTCGCTCTTGTAGCATCGTGCGGCCTGCTTTTGTCTTTATAACCTCTCCATAAATGGAACCCATCGATATAGGAACTGAAGAGAAGATATTGTTTCAACAAATCGCACCAAAAAACAATGGGAACTTTCAATAAGCTTGAAATGAAATGAAAATGAACAAGCATCTCAGACATTACCTGACTTGTCGGTCTTCACCTTCGTCTCCTGAGATCTTCCTACTTCTATCATTGCCTTCACGACAGTGGCACATGCTTCGTCCCTACGCTCTTTCACTATCTCCACACAAGCCTTAACAACGGAAACATGTGATCAGATTCTTATGCCTCATAAAAACAACCTCAAAAGAGAAAAGGGTAACTAACCTTATGTCTAAGGCGGCGTATGAACTCTTCGAAATTAGGACGCCAGATTACTTCATTGCTCTGACTTGATGATTCGACATCACGTTTACGCTGAAATACATTTCGGTTCAAAGAGAAACAACAAAACAAAAGGTAATTTCAGGGTTGCAACGTTGAGAAATGAACGCTTATAAGTTATCCGAGACTGGTTAAGGTGTGAATAACGATACCTTCCCCTCAGTGATGTTGCTATCGTCATCTGCCAAAGATGAATCTGGATCTTGCTCGAATACAAGTGGAAACCTTATTGCTTCAACTGGAGTTGCTGCTTCAACAACACGTTCCTCTAAGCTTTCCGGTTCTTTAAAAATCTGCATATTATTGAAAAGAAATAAACAATCAAACCGAGAGTCATGTCGGTGCAATTGGAAGGTATGATTAACAATAAACTGATATATCCGACAATGCAGCTTTTGACATACTATTCATCAGAAAGACCTAATCAAATTACCTTGGCAGCTTTAGCACCTTTCTTCTTTGGAGCTGGCCCATCTTTGTTTCCAAGAACAGGTTCGGGAGAAGGAATACGCTCAATGAAACGTGCAGCAACCAATTTCTGAAGAGAATCACTGATCGCTTCTGGACCTATTGAATTCCCTGAATCTGATCATGTATGAAAATCGTATATTACAGATTAGCATGACCTCGGTTTGACGCATAATTGTGATCAAAATGAGATACACAAAGACCAAATACCATGGCCTACACTGAGAGCAAACTGTGGCAATAGAACAAAAGAGATACTGTACATAAGATAACGACGTGACTCACCTCTGTCTCTTTCTATCAGCTGTCCTAAGGTAAGCCTACCGTGACTAAGTAAACCATCAAGAACTTCCACACACTGTACATTCTGATCAAAAGTGTAAAAGATCAGCGCGAAGCGTAACCAACTTAGTCAAACACTGAACGGAATGATGAAAGTGCAGGAATCAAAACCTCGTCGCCAAACTCTTCTTTTGCAACCCTCGAAAACTTGTTGTACCTCACACGATGGAGAATGTTGTTAAACAGCACAATGTACTGTACTGTAGCTTTGCTCTCTGAACCATCTACATGTCAAAAGCACAAATAAATAAATAAACTTGTCATGATTTCTCTCTTCATGTGTTTGCTACTAATAATTGACATTGTTGAAGAATAACTTCAAAATTCTTCTAACTGAAAATAATAGAAAATAAAAAATTAACAAGGTGGGAATTTGCACTCTATACTGAAACAAGAACGTCCTTAGTGTTCATGAATATGCTTAAATTTTGGCGAACAAATCAAGTATAAACCTGAAAGGACTAATTTCATTCCATGCCTACCAAATCACTGGGAAATGCTTTCACTTTTATACATTTTTCAACTTTGAAAATCTGAATATTACTAATCACAGAACCTACTCGGAACTTCTCGCTATCTAACGCAACGAACTAACAACAAAGTCTCAGCTTTATGTAACGCTATCATTTCTTTACTATTCTAATACTAAACCTTCTAGCTGGAATCTAAAGCCACGATCACCAAATCACAAAGTCTAAGGCATTTTCACTACCAAGAAAAAACATTTTTCCAATCAAACCACTACAAACACAATGTAGGACATAAATTCCCTTGAAATTCAGTGATTGGAAGCTGAAAAACCAAGCAAACCAACAGGGAAGCTAGACTAACCAGGCGGCTCAACAGAGAAAGCTTGAACACAATTGTGCTGGATCAAGAGATAGAGAATATCCTTGACTTGGTTATGACTGTCAGATTCCGCTAAACGAGAGATGTCTCGCGAGGAAAGAGGTCCTCTACGGAGAAGACATTCGCAAACTTTCTGCAAATTAACAAAAAACTCATCACCAAATTCACACTACGTACACAGAAATACTAAATTTCATGATCTTAAAAAAGGGGACTTTTAAGCGTTTCAATTTACCGATGCGGCGGAGCCAAACTGGACAGTGATGATGTGGACGGCGTAGACGATGCCAAACTCCGTCGTAGCCATTGATTTGTGTATTTTTTTTTTTTTTTTTTGTCTAGCCACAGACATAAACGAGGGTATATGTTACTGGAGGCTTTTGGGTCTTTATTGGGCTAGAGAATAGGAGAAGAAGGCCGGGGCTTAAATTCATAATGTTGTTTAAAGGTCTTCAAAGAATTAAGGCCTTGATTATTTTCAGTTTTAAAACTAGATTTTTGATTTTGTTTCTCCAAAAACTACTTTATAACCCTATAATGACTAATCATTTACAAGTAAAAACCAAAATCCATGTTTTACTAGTTTTTCCTCATCAATGGATGATTGATTTATTTTCTTCATTTTAATTCTTTTTTTTTTTTGCAAAAATATCTAACTTAGAAGTCATTTAAAAAATATATATATATATATAGGAAAAACCATAAACTAAATAATTCACCAATCAAGCTTTAGAAAAACCAAAAATCTACTGCAAAATCAAAAGCCAAAAATTTCAGAAACCAAAATCCAAAAGCTAAAAAATTTCAAAAACCAATGAAACATTCATGGCCTAAAAGTCATTATATAACATATCCAATTTTATATGATACCAGTTTTTTTTTTTTTTTTTTTTTTGGTTTCAAGGTCTTAAAAGACCAAGACATACTAGATATCCACACTATCACATTAAAACACTAAAAAAAGGATAAAATATTTAGAAGTCGAAATCCAAGTTATTCTCATTGTCCTCCTCATCCCTTTCTCGCGTTAATTGAATCTAGAAACCAAACAATGTTTCTCCATTTGCTGTGTTTTGCCCAATTTCTGCATTTTTTTAGCTAGATTGATTCGCATTAGATTCTCTCATTTACTTGAATTCAAAAGAGAGCTAGAGAGAAATGTCTTACCATATTCGTTTATGACTTTTATCACCAACTCCTCTAAGAAAACCATCACAAGTTCATCGATGAACTAGCTTCGGAACTCATAAACCATAAGTAAACATTACAAGAAACTCACCGAAATTTTGACAAGAGTCTCTAGAATCATTTCAGGAGCCAGACTTGCTCCTGCAAATTACCAACATTGCATTTAAATTGGAAATGAAACATCTGAGATTAACACAGTAAAATAAATTTCCTCACCATTAGTTTCCTTAATTGCTCTCGCAATCATTTCTTAACTTCTCCTCCTATAGAGTTGTCCTAAAAAAGTCTGGAATTCTTAATCCCTAACTTATATGCCGGATAGGCTTATGTGATATCAAGAACATAATCCAAACTGCATAATTCAAAGTACATATACGAAAATTTATAGCCGTATTTCAGATAAATATGGTTCAACATTTGATATATTGGATAAATTGATGGACCAGGACTACAATATACATTTATAAAGTAATATCAGAATTTGCATAGTATGGAGTATGGACAAACTATAATTGATAACTTCAAAGAGATATATAAATCTTGTCTTCTTCTTCTTTTTTTTTTCTTTAAGATTTGTTCTGTGGTCGTGTAGCACTTAATCAATAGTCGAATTCTCTAAAGAAATCTAATGCCAGTTTATCCCAATTACCACCTCATTTCTTAATGTTATCTTCTTCTTCATAATTTAAAGTGACCATGTGCTACATAGGAGCATCTTTGAAACGTGCTAATCCGAGTCAAAGGCACATGTACTGAATTATTAAGAATTATTTAGGACTCATTAGCTATTTTTATTACCCTATGTTATCCATCTGAATTTAAGTACCAGAAAGTAAAATGTTTTCTTAAGCTTTTGTTTCTTTCAAACTGAGAAAATTTCATTGACAAAGTTACGATCAATCCACTTACATGTACACATAACAACAAACTGACAAAGTATTTCCAAACAAATCTCTCTGTTTGATAGCTGTTGCTGTATGTTTTTACCAAACTATTTCATATGATTATGAAATAGTTCATAGACAGTAAACTACCATCGCATGTGTCGTGGTTTTCACTGTTTCAGAAGTTGAACCGGAAACAGAAACATCAGCCGACCTCTTCGTAAACCGAAACGGCGGTCTAATTATACGAGCGACCACAACCAAAAAAATACAAAAACAAAAACATAAATAAGCTAAAACTATGACCACATGATCATAAGCAAAACCGTTAGGATGATGTCACGTGGCATCATGTCAAAGGCATTTTTGCTTCCTCTGCATAATTTTATTTTTTTGGTAAAGTTTATAAATAGTGCGCTTTCGTATTATCTCTCTGCTTCACATACATCTTCATCGTTGTCTCTGCTTTTTTCCTTACGGTGAACGAAACTATGGATAGCGATACACTCACCGGATTATTGAAAACCGTCGCCAGAAAATTCCCCGATCGGCGAGCGCTCTCGGTTTCTGGAAAATTAGATCTCACTCACTCGCGTCTTCATGATCTAATCGAACGCACCGCCTCACGCCTTGTCTCCGCCGCAGGAATCAAGCCCGGAGATGTGGTGGCTCTCACCTTCCCTAACACCGTCGAGGTATTCATTTCGTTTCCTTTTGGATTTGAGCTTCGGTTTCTAGTTTTATTTTGCGTGCTGAAACTTTCATGGGAAGCGAAAATGGTGTGTTAATGGAAAAAAAATATTATCAGATTCGGATTCTGCTTTAAATCATTGTGTGTTGAATTTGATTTTTTTTCACGTTTCGTAGTTTGTGATAATGTTTTTGGCGGTGATAAGAGCTCGGGCCACGGCGGCGCCGTTGAACGCGGCGTACACCGCGGAGGAATTCGAGTTTTACCTCTCCGATTCAGATTCAAAGCTATTGCTAACCTCTAAAGAAGGAAACGGACCGGCTCAAGAGGCAGCTTCGAAGCTGAACATCTCTCACGTCACCGCCACCCTCCTGGACTCCGGCTCGGACCTTGCTCTCTCCGTGGCGGATTCCGACTCGGTCGCTGACTCAGTTTCGGAACTCGTTAACAGCCCGGACGACGCGTCCCTCTTCCTCCACACCTCCGGCACCACGAGCCGTCCGAAGGGTGTACCGCTTACGCAGCTCAATCTAGCTTCATCGGTCAGGAACATTAAATCGGTGTACAAACTCACCGAGTCTGATTCGACTGTGATTGTTCTCCCTCTGTTCCACGTTCATGGTTTGCTAGCTGGACTTCTCAGCTCGCTCGGAGCTGGTGCTGCCGTGACTCTCCCAGCCGCTGGTCGATTCTCAGCGACTACTTTTTGGCCTGACATGAAGAAGTATAACGCCACGTGGTATACAGCTGTTCCCACCATTCATCAGATCATATTGGACCGCCACGCGAGCCACCCTGAACCGGAATACCCTAAACTCCGGTTCATCAGGAGTTGCAGCGCTTCTTTGGCTCCGGTAATGCTCACTGAGTATATAATACAGCACCATGTTTTCCAAAACTTTAATTTCTTTATTTTCCCACGAATTTATGGTTTTGGATTGTCTTGGTTTTGTTTAGGTGATATTGTCCAGGCTTGAGGAAGCTTTTGGAGCACCAGTTCTGGAGGCCTATGCAATGACAGAGGCGACTCACTTGATGAGCTCAAACCCTTTGCCAGAGGAAGGTCTACACAAGCCGGGGTCTGTTGGGAAACCGGTAGGTCAAGAAATGGTGATCCTTAACGAGAAAGGTGAGATACAAGAGCCGAATAGCAAGGGAGAGGTTTGTTTAAGAGGTCCAAATGTGACAAAGGGTTACAAGAACAACCCAGAGGCCAACAAGGCAGGTTTTGAGTTTGGGTGGTTCCACACCGGTGATATCGGTTTCTTTGATTCTGATGGGTATTTGCATCTGGTGGGTCGGATCAAAGAGCTTATCAACCGTGGAGGTGAGTCTCGTTTACTCCATGTGATGGCTTTACTGTTTCACGAGAATACTAGTCTCTGTATTTGCATAGTCTTCAAGTGAATGGTTAGACTTGTCAAATGAAAACGGTCAACAAATAAGAAATGAGAAAAGGACATAGTGGAAACAAGTCAAAGAAAGATGCTACTTTGTACAGTCCTATGATCAATTACTTAGAATTCCTCTATGTGTGCTTACTTACAATCTCTATTTCAGGTGAGAAGATTTCCCCAATTGAAGTGGACGCAGTGCTCTTAACACATCCTGACGTTTCTCAGGGAGTTGCGTTCGGGGTCCCTGATGAGAAATATGGCGAGGAGGTAAACAAAATACGTTGCTCAAATACTCAATATAATCCAGAGTTTAGGAATAAGGATTATACAGATAATGCTCGTTTAGATGTTTAGATTGGTTAATAACAGTGTGTGTTTTCCCCTGCTTTGTTTGTTTATCAGATTAACTGTGCGGTGATTCCAAGAGACGGAACAAGTGTGACCGAAGAGGACATTAAAGCGTTTTGTAAGAAGAATTTGGCAGCTTTCAAGGTGCCAAAGAGAGTGTTCATCACTGATAACCTTCCCAAAACTGCCTCGGGTAAGATTCAGCGCCGTATCGTCGCGCAGCATTTCCTTGAAAAACCCTAAAAGCACCATCTTGCTCGAATCATTGGCGATGAGTCTTGGTTTTCAAGCAAGTGGTGTATGATGGTTCTTGATTTCTGGAACTTTTATGTTACTTTTCATTGGTTCCATTGTTAAAGAGAATGTGGTGGTAAAAGGCATAGCTAAATTACAAAACTGGAAATAAAGTTGATAAAAAGTTTATTCAAGTACATTACTATATAAAGGAGAGAGGTTGTTCTTACATTTTCTTGTCGTTTGTTAAGAATTTAAGATGCTCTTGACTTAGTGCGTCGTGGCCAATTTCACAACTAAAAGCGTTGCGTACTGCCAAAACCGACAAAGCCAAGGAAATGACCAATACACTTTGATTTTATTTAAAAAAAAATAGAAAGTGACATTTGTGTAGTGGTATGCTTCCAGCCTTCCACCACGTTTACCATGTCTTGTTTTCTGACATCTGATATCGTTCAAGTACTTTCAAGTTTCAACTTCCCCCCGTTGACATGCAGACCACGGAAACCAACATACTAACCAATTAAAATTCATCGCGGGATGAATTAGATAGGTAACTTTTGTTTCGGGGAGAAATAGATAGGTAACTTTAAAATAAGGGGGAATTGGAATGAGGGTCAAACTTCGTGTGGTAGATCGTCAACCCCCCAAAATGGGATTAAACAATTATCTTATTCTTGGCATATAGGAAAAAAAAACAGATAACACCCAAGATAAAGTACTTTAAAGTTGAGATAATCATTTTTTTTTTAATCTATGATCAGTGCCACCATCAAACGTGGTTGTTGAGTCTCATTTACTTTGAAACTTAAATTTGGATGGTGAAATCAATAGGCTTTAAAATCGAACCATAACGAACAGATCAGATTAAACCGTACAAATCAAAGACGTGAACCGGAACTAGGGAAAGAAACAAACCGGAAATTTAAAGCTAAAGACAACCACTACTGAAACAGTGAAAAGTGAACACACAAACACAAACGAGTAAAAACACAAGAATTAAGAGAGAGGACTATACGAGTTAACCATTACTGTTATTGCTCCTCTTGGACATGTTCTTCCTCTTCGTCTTCATACTCATACCCTTCTTCCTCCTCTGCCGTCGCGTCTTGATACTGCTGATACTCAGAGACCAGATCGTTCATGTTACTCTCAGCTTCCGTGAACTCCATCTCGTCCATTCCTTCACCAGTGTACCAATGCAAGAAAGCCTTCCTTCTGAACATAGCTGTGAACTGCTCACTCACTCGCCTGAACATCTCCTGGATCGAAGTCGAGTTTCCGATGAACGTTGATGCCATTTTCAGACCTGTAGGTGGGATGTCACAGACGGTTGACTTCACGTTGTTCGGGATCCATTCCACAAAGTAAGACGAGTTCTTGTTCTGGATGTTGATCATCTGTTCGTCGACTTCTTTCGTGCTCATTTTGCCTCTGAACATTGCTGACGCGGTCAAGTACCTGCCGTGGCGCGGGTCAGCTGCACACATCATGTTTTTGGCATCCCACATTTGTTGTGTGAGCTCGGGAACGGTCAAGGCTCGGTATTGCTGGGAGCCACGTGATGTGAGGGGCGCGAACCCGACCATGAAGAAGTGTAGACGAGGGAAGGGGATCAAGTTGACTGCAAGCTTTCTCAAGTCGGAGTTGAGCTGACCAGGGAAACGGAGGCAGCAAGTTACACCACTCATAGTTGCAGAGATGAGGTGGTTCAAGTCTCCAACTGCAAAAGAGATGAAATCAACAACAGATCAAGAAATACATTGATAAGTGTTTCATGTTTCCTCATTTTATCGAATGTAAGGCAAATTCCATCTATAGCTTCAGCTTCTTAACAACAAACCATTTCAGTTCTGAGAAAGTTCTTAGAAGCCATGAGGATGGATTCAAACATGACTAAATTGGATCTATGAGTGTTTATATACACTGAAAAAATCAAGAGCTAAAAAGAAGCGCTTACAGCTAGGAGTGGTAAGCTTAAGAGTCCTGAAGCAAATGTCATAGAGAGCCTCGTTATCGAGTACCATACACTCATCTGCATTCTCCACGAGCTGATGGACAGACAAAGTTGCATTGTAAGGCTCAACAACAGTGTCAGACACTTTTGGAGATGGGAAGACGGAAAATGTGAGCATCATCCGATCCGGATACTCTTCCCTGATCTTTGAAATCAGTAAAGTTCCCATTCCTGATCCAGTCCCTCCTCCCAATGAGTGGCAAACTTGGAATCCTGAGGACACACAGAAACATTCAATATGTGAAATACACAGCACAAATCCAGTGGAATAACAAAAAGCGAGTTAGAGATGACAATGGATTTATAGAAGAAACAACTTCATAAGAACTAAACTACTCCTAATTCGTAAATACGAACAAAAAAACCAGTAAATCCGAAGAGATTCAGAGCTTATAAGCGATGAAATGATTTGAGAAAATGATTTCGAACCTTGCAAGCAGTCGCAATTCTCAGCTTCCTTACGAACAACATCGAGAACCGAGTCGATTAGCTCAGCACCTTCCGTGTAGTGTCCCTTAGCCCAGTTGTTACCGGCACCGGACTGGCCGAAGACGAAGTTATCAGGACGGAAGATCTGACCATACGGCCCGGATCTGACGCTATCCATCGTACCGGGCTCCAGATCCATCAGAATGGCGCGTGGGACGAACCTGCCGCAACTCGCTTCGTTGTAGTACACATTGACTCGTTCGAGTTGCAAATCGGTGTCCCCTTGATACCTCCCCGTCGAATCGATCCCGTGCTCGGCGCAAACCACTTCCCAGAACTTAGCACCGATCTGGTTACCACATTGACCTCCCTGGATGTGAAGGATCTCTCGCATTTTTTCTTCGGTGATTTCACTGAGTCGGCGACCGAGTTCGGTAGAGAGTAGAGAGAGTAGCAAAGAAATTTGAACAGTTTGTTAGATTGTGATGAAGCGTATAATGGGAAAACGGACGGTTTTTAATAGTGTGCGGAGATAACGGAGAATGTGGCTTTTTCACGGTACGACCATTTCCGGTTTAAATTCCAATCGGTACACTAGGACGGGATAAGACTTGAACCGCATTTAGTGAGAGTCACTAGCAGAATTAACACTCGCACTCGCATGTCGCACATGCCTTGGTTTCAAATAATGTTTTCTTCTTGTTTAGTCGATTAATCGTGCAAAGAATACTAAGAAGTAATTAAATTTTACATTAGTCTTTACCAAATTGAACCCAACCGAAGCTAGCTAAACGAACCATAACGGTGCTATGGCGGCAAGTTACTGTTGTTTGGTGGATTGAAAATTAAGTAAGTAGAGTATTACTATTATAGTATTATTCAAATCATAACGTTTAATGTAAAACACATTTGCAAAGAGTCTGGTTTCTTCATTTTCCTCCTTAAAATCTAAGTGTACGTCTCTCACACAACTCAGAAGCTATATTTTGCATGTGATTAAACGATAAAAAGGCTGCGAGATCTGAATAGTTTCTTTATTCGCGCACATGAAGAGAGGAGCTGTGAATGTGTTACATGCAGAAAATCACGTGACTTGAAATGGAATCTAAAATCTCCACCCAAATAAAAGCCAAATGTCCTTATGAAATCATTGTAGGCATTCGCCAATATCCCTAAATAAGTACCACTGTACCAGTGACTATTTAACAAAAAAAAAAAATATATATATATATATATATATATATCCATTTTGTTTGAATTCAATCTGATGAAGATCTTAAAATAATTTAAAACAAATAAGATATGATATGATTGCCATAGTGTGCATCTCAGTGCATCAGTATCTCGATGCGGTTTCAAACAGTACCGTCCAAATCACTTTATAATACTGGAATTAACTAAATCTGAAACAGAGTACCACTATATAATTTGTGAAAAAAAATACAAAGAGACCTTATATGATTATGGACTCTATCAAAAGCAATATATAGGAGTATTTCTTATCCTCCAAGTTAAAAGCAAATTGTGTGATGAGAGTGAGTGGCCACCCCGCTGCACCGTCCTACCATAAATGTCATAGCCACGCCACGCAACACGCCCATCATTGGAATCAAAACTGTTATAACTTGCGAAATAACCACACACAAAAAAAAAGAGAGAAATATGAAATATGCAATTTATTAAGTAGTTATGATGTCTTCACCCTTAAGATTGGTATCATTGTTTTCGCCTTTAGGAGTGTGGGACGAATGAAGTTGCTCATACGAACTACAAAAGAAAATGAAACAAAGAGACATTTGTAAACCTCTCATTTACAATAAATCTAAAATGCACAAGCTTTTTCCCAGATAAAATGTGGTATTAAGCAGGACTAAATCTCGAACCTTGCAAGTCGACAATTGATTCATCTAATTTGTTTTTCTGAGCCTTGAGAAACTTCAGATTGTCTTCCTGATGTTTGAGTTCGGTACCATGACTTCAAGATCAGATTGGAGGAAGTCTAAAGTTGAGTTCGGTGGCAAAAGCTAAAGATCTTGGGACACGAATTTTCATCCGATTAAGAAATCCACCAATGAATATTTTAGGTTCTACTACTCGATACAGTTCTGACAAATATTTCGCGTGATTTTTATACATGGCAAAGTTAAACCATCGACGGGTTACTTATATCATACGCAAGTGCTTTCTTTCTCTACACAACAAAACTTTATACGTGATCCTAACTTTTACGAACCGGTCTGGTTCTGCTTCCTCCAGTACTTCCTCTCCCACTGTTCGATTCTACTAGCCGTACTCTCTCTCCTTTTCAAAACCGAGAAAAACGACGCCGGATCATACGGTGGTGGCATAGCGCAAGGACCAGTCTCCGCAGGACGTTTCACAAGTGATTCCATCATAAATTTCCGCTCATTTCCATCCCTTGGACACGCCATTGCCTCTGAGCAGAGCTCGGTGGCGTTCTTAGGAATCTCGGGTTTAAACCGGAGGAGTTTAGAGTATTGAGTTAAGAGATGGAACATATAATCATACACATAGTCCATTTTGAGTTCTTGCTGCACAAACTCACTCGCCTTCTTTCCAATGTCTTGTGCCTGGTAAAAAGAAAAATCGCGAGAGAGTAACAATTAGACTACTTAGACCCGATTCTCAATCAAACATTTATGAAATGCTTAAAGAAATGTGAGTCTAAATTCACCATATGCAGCAGATATAGATTAAAAATGAATCCTGTGAAGTGTGAACTAAGCCAAGTGGTAATGTGTGGATTGAAATGTTAAATAAATGGTCGTGTGTGTCTCGGTGTGCATACTATTAGATCAAACCAAGACTGAGAACCAGCTAATCAAATACTGTTTTAAGTAATATATCATACCTTTCGCATGTGCATGTTGCCCCAATCAACGGCGAATTTGATGGAGCGGCATTTGTCATCTTCCTTGACGGGCCAATAGTGGTGACCAGGAAACATACCTCGTGTGAAGAAATCGTAGTAATGAGGTTTCACCAGCAAAGTCACCGAGTCACAAGCCAGAATGTACTTCTCACTCACCGACCAAGCAGACCCTTCTATGTAAATCTTGTATCTGCATAACATGATTCTCGCATAAGAGATTTCTTAGAACCCAAAAAAGTAGTGTAAATGTTCCTCTAAAAGTTAACCTGTGATGGCATTGGCTCGCCAAGTCTGATTGCTTGTAACCTTCTTTCGATTCCCGGACCCAGTCCTACAGTAAGAACACACCAAGATAAAGCACGTCGAGAAGAAGTACTATACAAACATTTACCTAATTGGATCATAGAACAAGAACAATGTGATATTGGCATATAGAATCAACTGACCTGTTTGTACAAACGAGCTTTCCAATCATATTCCTCGGAGAGATTACATTTCATAAGATCTAGTCTCGTCTCAGCGACAGTCGGATTCCCTTTCCAGTACGCATAAGGCTCTCTGTCTACCCATTTGCTTCTCTGGTTCCCTTCTCTGAGGTCTTTCAACAGACTCTCCCATGGCTTTATATTCACCTCAGCCCTACAAAAACCAATGTAATTCTCATCTCTAACCTCTGTAACTATGCATTCAATTATCTTTATACCACTCTCACTGGTTTTCTTAAGCTACACGGCACTAAGACTATAAGCACAGTTGCTAAAGGGGTTTCATTTGTCAAATCCAAAACTAATGTGGTGAAATTGCAAAGCGCTATAAAGCTATGGGAGCTCGAAGAAAAATACATTGGAAGGCTTACCATCCCCAATAGGACCAATCAGGGAATACAATGTCGAGCGTTTCGTTGTTCCCACAGTAACGGAACAGCGGCGGCGGCATCGGCGTTGACTGATCAACTCCGGAGAATTCCGCCGCCTTCACTACCGGCCAATCAACGCAGTCAAACATCAGCTCGAGATCCGGTATCTTCCCCGGATATTTCCTTAGGAGCTGAACGAATCCCCAGATCGTGAACACGTCTCTCGTCTGAAAAGCCTCCCGGAGCTTCTCGACGTAGATCCTCCCGTTTATGATCGCCAGCCGGAAATTCGCCGTCGCATTGGCGCGCTCCAACGCTTCCCTCGTGATCCCTGTCTTCTCCCACGGCCGTAGATCCTCGTGGATCCAGCGGAAATAGTCGGGACACGTGGCGGATGGAGAACGGTCGGAGTCATTTTCTCCTGGGCCGGGTCGGAAACTCGTCGGGAAGTTGTTTCTTGGGCAAGTTACAGTCTCGTTGCCGGTGCCGGAGAAAGTGGGGCAGTTTAACGTGAACTCTTTTGGCTTTTCCGTAATGAGCTTAGTGGACTGAGGGTAATTTGGGGATTTCGTCGTTTGTCTCTCAGTCACGGCCACCGTTTCTTTCTCGATCAAAACCTACCGTTAAATTTTAAAAAAAGTTATTAGCGGTGGTAAAGTTAGTTATTGACTAAGAGAAACCACGTGATTTTTAAGGTCCCGTGAAGACACGTGTCAAACTCTCCGTGACTTATTCGACAAAAAGTAATGGTGACACGACAAATCAGGCGCCAATGAGTTTGGCGCCACCAATACCAAATTCCACGTGGCAATAAAATATCATTCCCAACAAAAAAACATCCAGGGACAGTACGACAGAACGGAGTGTCGTTTTGATCCTAATGTAGAGGAACTTACGGAGGGGTCGAGGAGGAGGCGCGTGTAGAGGAACGCGCCAAGGAGGAGGAAGAGGAAGAGGGAGAAGAAAGCGTAGGATCTGTTGGAAGCTCCTCCGGTGCCGGTTTTGGCGAGGGGAGACAAAATGGTGTCGAAATGACGGTAATGCCCTCCCGATGACCCATGCGTTGGCGAGTTCCTCATCATATCTTCTTGCTGCTGTTGCATGCCAGCAACGGCGGATTAGGGATTAGTAATCAAGAAATGTGAAAAAGAAAAAGAGAAGGAAGAGCTTTTGTGAGAAAAAGGAAACGAAAGGACAGGTTGCAGAATAATGTGAACCAGAACAAGAAAGGGGTTGGTTTAAAACTAACTTTTTAATGTTTGCAAAAGGCACAAATTTTAAAGCTTCTCGTTGTAATGAAAGTCAAAAGTACATTTCTTGTTTTTTTTTTTTTTTTTGGTAGTATGGAAATTGTGTTTTAGAAACAATGTATTAATAGGTTTACAAGTGTTATTCTTATACTGTTATACATATGAATTATGTAGTCGGTAAATAACAATGTGAAACAACAGAATTGTGAAGAAAAGTGTGAAGTGAGCTGTTAGCCTGTTAGGATCGTTTAAACATATTAATTTCCACTTGTGACTCATGATTAAACATACGGTAAAATAACTGAGCATAAATAAAATTTTGCAAAATAATTGTGATCAAACGAAAATTATAAAACCATACTTGCATCAAATGAATTTCGGAATAAAAAACCAAACAAAAAAAAACAAAAACTGTAAAGATCAAGGCCTAAGTCAATTCCAAGATCCATAGCTAAGCCCAAGCCTGATCACAAAGTGCAGAACCTTTATATAATTCCTAAGATATGTTCATATCTTTTCCGGTCAGGTTCATTTCATATTTAAAACATCAATTAAAAAAAAGTGGCAACAACTAACAAACCGGGCATTGATTTGGACCACAATAAAGTACATTGGACGACACATGTGATTTCGAGAAAATGGACCCTTCTGTTTTTCCCTTTTTTAAGTGCTTTGTTCTATATCCTACTGTCGACGATCTGGTTACGACATGACATTTGCATGTATCAAGGGGAAGAGCTGTCTTGGTCGGAGTTCACTACTCATAAAGGGTTTGGACTTTCGTGGAGCCGAAGCCTGTAATATCGCTACTATAATGGATAATTAGGTTTCATGAATGTTGAATGGTAACCACTTGTAGATTGTCAAATTGTCAATAATAACGATTACAATGTATAAATACATATTCTTGGTTCCTTTTACTTAAATGGAAACAGAATGATGGAGAAAAAGCATATAAAACGGTTTATGGATGAGCAACTCTTTTTAGGAGTGCCCTCTTTGACAATTTTGAATTAAAGGTCATGCTTAATAACGATCCATGTCCCTACCTTAATCCCAACTTCACATAAACAATCAGACTACGCTCTCATTTTTGCTTTTCTCTCACGGAATGTTGAATAGTTCAATAAGATATATTAGTGAAAGTCAGATAATTAAACACAACTCTCAGCGTTTTTGTTAAGACCTTTAGTGGCTAATCAAAATTGTATGGAGGGAGTTTATGGTTCGTTTCTTGTATTGTCGGAAAAAACGAGTTACTCAAAACTCTCTTCGATATATGTAATTTTTTATTCTATCGAATTATTTCATCATGATTCATGATGCCTCCAAGAAATTGCATTTTATTTAATAAACCAAAAAGATAATATAGTTTATAGATTTATCGAAAATTTGTTATTTTCCTAAATGAGGTTTCTCAATTATTTCAATGACATTATTTCATTACTAAACTATATTAAAACTTAATAAGATATTTGAACTAAAAAAAGGGGGAAAGGCTCACAAAAGCTTTGAAATAAATCAGTTGTTCATATTATCTTCTTTATAGTAGGGACTGCTTCTATTATTTATCAATAATATCAATCACACCACTTAGAGGTGCATAAGTTTGGCGATGCCATTTTATTTGTGTAGTGTAGACAATACATAACTCAGTGAAATTTAATAGATTTACCAATAATGAATCTATAAGTTTTAGCAATAACGACCAAAGTGTAAAATTGCTAGTCTACTAATATATTGTTTTATGTGATAGTGATTTTGACTTGGAATGGTATTAGAAATTAATCATGGTATTTCTAACTTCAAAAACTGTAATCTATATTTGTTGAAAAAGAAATGTAAACTGATATTACAAGGGAGTGAGAGCGATATCATTTGGGGCAGAGAAGAAGGCTTAAAGGCTAAAGCTCTCACACCTTTTTTGTTACTATTTCACGCGTGCTGTGTTCTTCCTTTGTCTCCCTATTTCACAACCCAAGAACCCTTTCCATAATAACAAATACTATAACAAAATATCAAAATAATAATCCATATTAATCAAATACCTATAGTTTATATATATGCACACATACATAATCTACCTATATATATGCAAACATAATATGGAGCCTTTGAGTTCTGCTTCCTTCTCTAGAACTGAGTAAGCTGAGAGGGACTTTCTTTTTATAAGGGATTAAAGCAATTGGATTAAAGTTTCTAAGAATGTCTGTGAGTAATCTATCTCACTCCAATCTTTTTACTTACTGTCACACATACAAACAGATGGATATTAAGTTGAAATATGTGTTTGTAGATGTCAGTGGAGATACGAGTTCCAAACTTGGATTGTGAAGGATGTGCTTCTAAGCTTAAGAAGACTCTACTCAAGCTCAAAGGTACTGAAAGCTTGAGTTTTCAACAATTCTTCATTCTTCGTTCATTTTTACTTTGTAAATGTGAGTGCTTACTCATTATAATCATATTCATCTTATTGGGTTAATTACGTGCAGGAGTGGAAGAAGTGGAAGTAGAAATGGAAACTCAAAAAGTCACGGCTCGAGGATACAGATTAGAGGAGAAGAAGGTATTGAAAGCGGTACGACGGACCGGTAAGGCTGCTGAACCGTGGCCATACCGGTTAGGCAATAGCCACTTTGCCTCTTTCTACAAATATCCTTCTTATGTGACCAACCACTATTACTCCGATGCACACCGTACCGATCCCACCGGTGGTGTTCACACTTTCTTCCACACTCCGGCGGTTTATTCCGTCGCGGTGGCCGGCGATGAAATAGCGGCTTCCATGTTTAGCGATGATAATCCTCATGCTTGTACAATTATGTAATCCATTTCTTACATATAAACAAATATATGTAAGAAACTTCAAACCAAAACTGAGCATATTGGATTTATTTTTCATATATGATTTTGATTTTGGCTTTGGTTTTTGATTTATTTCTTATTTTTCCAAATTTGATTTTGGTTTTGTTTTTTTTTCTTCTGTTTTGTATAACTAATATTGGATTAAGAAAGTAAATGCGAGGGGATATTATAAAGTTATAATGATTTTAATTATAAAGTTTGGTATATCTATTTCATGTTTCACTATAAACATCAAACAGAGCACTTCTTCAATACAACACTCTCGATCGGAATCAAATCAGACGGAAACTTACAGTCCGCAGCCTTCCCGGAAGCTTTACTCTCCGGCAACAAACTACAAGGCTCCGGCGTAACTCTGCTCGTAACTCCAGCCACATTCGTACAGTTCCATTGCAACTTCTTTGGCTTTTCCGTCAAAGCTATAGTCACGTTCGAGATACAAATACCCGTAAACGGATCTTTATCAATCCCGTCGAGTCTGGCCGACTGCGTAACGTTCTCCGCCGTCATATCACGGAAATTGATATTGGTAACCACCGGCAACGCCTTGGGATCGTATCCCTCGTCGGGGTGCTGATCGTAGTTCCCGCTCATCCAGAAAACGTATTTCATCGTCTTCATCGTTATCCTCCTCGCGAAAATGTCTTCGACGCAACCGCCACGTCCCGCGGCGGTTTTGATACGGATGGATGATTCCGTGTTGAGCAGAGTCACGTCTTCGATTCTTACGTCTTTGATTCCTCCGGACATCTCGCTTCCTAACGCTACTCCTGCGCTTTTCGGGGAGATGCATGTGAGCCGTCGGATCGAGAGATGCTGTGTCGGCATTCCGAACTTGATTCCGTACTGGTCCCAGCCGCTCTTGACGGCGATGCAGTCGTCGCCGGAGACTATGTAACAGTCTTCGATCAGTGTGTTTGTGCATGAATCTGAAAAACACAAAACAGAGCCATGTCAGGTCTCTAGCAATGCCACGTAGGATAGTAATGTGCTTAAAATGCCATGTATGACATTAATATTGCCACGTAGGATCATGCGCTTTTTATATATTGGTGTGGTACCTGGATTGATTCCGTCGGTGTTGGGAACAGTGACGGGAGCGAGAATGGTGATGGATTTGACGATGACGTTCTTGCAGTAGACGGGATGAATATTCCACGACGGAGAATCGATCAAAGTGATGTTCGAGATCTGAATGTTCTCGGAGAACAAGAGCTCGATCAAGTACGGTCTAGTCACCTTGAACTCCTTCTTCTTGAATTTATCCCACCAGTATTGTCCTTGTCCGTTGATCGTCCCGTTGTTACCTATAATCAAACGAAACTTTTCAAAATCAGACTCTGAAAATCTGATCATCGGATATGATAAGAATGGAACATTATGGTGTGATTGTGTTGGAACTTTTACCGGTGATAACCACGTCGGTTAGGTTTGAACCGGAGATGAGAGCGTTGAATCTTCCGTTACCGGTCCCGTCTCTTCCTTTTCCGTACGATGGCAGTGAACTGACCACTGGCCATTCAGATTCATCCTGATGATAGTCAAAACCGGAATTAGTAATCGTCATGGACCGAAACCGAACCGGATGCATACACTTGTCTTTAATGCATTTTGTATGAGTTTACGTAAAATGGACAAGGTAACTTGAGAAATTTTCCAAGGTCAACAGTCAACACCTAGATTTGGTAAAATTGGATAGCATTTGGTTATAAACCAGTTTAGCTTGTTATGGTATAAAAAATTATGGATGTTTAATTCAGATCCAACACGATCTAAACGAGATATGAAAATTACAAGCGAGTCTTCCACAAACTTAATCCTCATTAAATCGACATTTTGACTACAATCCAAACGTAAGTAACGTCGAGATGACGAGATCATATCAAAACAATGTATTTATAATTCAGTTTACCTTTGGTTACTATTTATTTTAATAAATATATCTAAATAAATCGAGCAAAATCGTATCATAAACACTTAATTACCTGAGATGCAAGGATGGTGGCACCTTTTTGGATGAACAAAGTGAAGTGGCTGGTTAGGTTAAAACTTCCAGTGAGCCATTTTCCGGGAGGAACTACGAGTTGAGCTCCGCCGTCGTTTGCCATTTGGCTGAGCTTGCTTATGGCATTTTTGAATGCTTTTGTGTTAGACGTTTTCCCATCTCCGACACCTCCAAAATCAGTTAGCACCGCACTGTGTTTACGGCAATTTAATGCTGAGAATTGAATCCCGGCTTTCGCCAAACCATGGTGACTCCGAGATTCAATCGCCGGAAAACGGAATATAGCCAAAAGGACTATAATACCAAACACTAGCCTAATCATCTGCATAAGATTGAACTACGAAAGAAGATGATTAAGATCGAAGAAGAAATATTGCACATCAAAATTATATATCATAGATGGTTTAGATGCTTTTGATCTTGTATAGTTTTGATATAAATATTGAAGATGTTATGCGATATTCAGTATCTAATAAAATATAGTCTTATAATTTGTCGCAAAAGAGCGAACGAGAATACCTATTAGCGGATATATAAGATACAAACATTAACAGAAAAAAATGTATATACAACAGTGTTTCTTGAAAAAAAGGTTTTTATCTTTACCTTGAGAGATATCTTAAGAACCAAAGAAAGAGAGAAATGTCTTCTGGTTTGATTGTTTGTCATAGAGTAGTATTTATATTGGTTCTGTAGATTTTGTTTGTCCAAACAAGCAAAATAAAAAGAATGTCAAAAAGGATTTTAGTTTCAAAAAAACAAAAACAAAATTGAAGTCCCGTATATCTTTTGTTAATAAATTGTCATATTGTAAATTGACAAGTTTCCTTGTACAATAACCAAAAGTCTAAAACAAGGAAATAATAACCGAAACGACTATATATGTCTTACATAGTTACATATGATCCATTTGTATTTTGTAATTATTTGATTTTGTTTCCATTTATACAGTGATACAGTTCCATAGCTAACCTCATACAATCTGCTGACAGGATACTTACTAACTTTGAATTTTGACTAGTAAATTTGTAAAGATATACTATCAATATGTATGGATTTTTTTAAATATCATTGAAAAATTGGATAGTATCTAAATTATATATTTCGTTTATTTTTTATTGAATATTCTGAAATATCCTCAAGTAACATTTTGTGTAAAATGCATTATGAATTATATTTCGTATTTTTTGTTGCTTAAAAAATTAACACTTGTTAGCATACATAACTAATTTTGGAATCGTTGACAATTTGTTGTGTGGAATAGTTCATAATTTCGCTTTTCTATTAAAACAATAATATGAATATGAAAACATCTTAGATTTTTATTTAATCATAATTAATTTGAGCTTTAAGTGTTATTGTATTTACTTTATTAGAATTTAAGATATATTTTATAAGTAAAAGGTTTAATCCCCAAATGGAGAAATGACTATTCCATTACTCGATTTAGGAATTGGAAATAGATTGATGTTGGAGAAGGTTTTGTTCCAAAGAGTTTGTAGTGTAAAATGTATTTGGGTTGAAAAATACTCTTAAGACCAAAACGAACATAAACAAAATAAAATGCATGCAAGATACTCAAAAAATTGATGTATTGTTCTAACGAGGATATTACCACAATCAATCAATATACATGATAACAAAATTTGATAGAAGCGTCCGGAAATCAAAAGTGAGCATTGTGTGTTTGAGATGGCACACAATTTCATAATGAGTGACCTACCCAAAATTCATTTCCAATACTGTGTAAATGAAGACAAAACATAGAGAAAAAGATCGACTATTAGTTGTACATTGCGGAACCATTTTTCAAAAACGTGTAAATTTGATCAATAATATTGACTATCCATGGTGAAAATAAGTGAAATCAAGAAAAAAACTACATACCATTGTTATACTAACCCTACTAATGATGATCACGCACGACAATAAAAAAAAAAATAGCCCATTATTTATACTATAAAATAATATGTTTGAATTCTTAAATATCATTAGGTGCATTTTATGAATTTTGTGTAAACAATAATGATCGTGCACAGCAATAAACTGTTTCTTTTTCTGTCACGAATTATTGCATTACAGGAAGAAAAAGAAAACCAGAAAGTCATTGTATGCCAACGAGAGACAGGACATTGCTTAATCCAGCTCAGTTTTCGTATCTACCGCTAATCTCACAATCTTGTTAAATAAACGGATCCCTAATTCATTGTCAAGTTCACAAACTAATCGAGTTCTAAGATTATTCTTGTGTCGTCATATAATCTTTTTTAGCTACCACAAGACAACATGACTCAGGAGGAGCAGAAAGAAAAGGTCACGGAGCCCGAAATCGCCGTGCCGGACAAATCATCGCCGTCCACGGAGGAGAAGTCCGACGATTCCAAAGCTCTTGTTCTCGTCGTCGCAAGTAAAACAATTATTTATATTTCAAAGAAAAAGAATTACATATTTATGCTGCAAAGACTATTTATATCTCACTTATTTGTAACTTCTACAGTACTTGATTATATTTGTTTTCTCTGTTTTTTTTGTTCTTGTTCACGATTTAGAAAGCTATATATCAGGGGTTTTTCTTTTTTTTCTTGTTTAAGTGTTGTTCGCTTGTTCTAACGATTTACTTTTAGTCCCTGTTATTATCTCAAACAATTTTTCGGCAAAACACTAGTATCTGTCTATAACTTTGAGAACAAAAGTTGTAATATTTTCTTTGTTTATTTTTGTTGTCATTTTGCAGAAGAACCAGAGGAAGAGAAGAAAGAAGGTTCAGTCAACCGAGGTAATTTACGTTTATATGATTTTCAGTAATTTGCCGCATTATTAATGTTAACTATTGTTCTTGCATTTTCTGATTATTTTTGGTGTGTGTGTGACATAAATGGTGTGAAGATGCTACTTTGGCTAGACTCGAGACAGAAAAGAGGTTGTCTCTCATCAAAGCTTGGGAAGAGGCTGAGAAATCCAAAGTGGAGAACAAGTGAGTTTTTCTCATCTTATATATAATAGGAGAGTTGCTCTCTCCATCTAAGCTATCCACATCAGCAAAAAATTCATTAAATTGTTTTTAAGATATTTAATACATGACTATTCATATTTCTTTACATATATTTATATTTTAAATATAAATAAAACTAAGAAAAATACACAACTAAATTACTTAATTAATATAAACTATGTGATAATTTGATGTTAAAAGTTATCAAAAAGTTTAAATATAAGTAAAAATATATTTAACTTGAAATGGTATATATTTACCTTTTTATTAAAAGGATTTATCCTATTTCTAAATGTTATAATGTGTTTACAAATTAAAAAGTTGATATAAATTAATTAAAATAATAAAAAACCAATGACAAATTAGAGTTAGAGTTTGCTTTTTTAAACAAATAGAAGTCGAGTTTTTATATGTAAATTTAATTGCAGTGAAAAACATAAAATTTTAAGGATTGTGATATGTTTGTTTTAAAATATATTCACTTACAAAACTAACATAATAGAAAATAATCAATGGTCATGAGACTCATATGCTACCACAACAAAGTAGATATGTAAAAAAGTATATATATTTTTTTTCATCTTATTTCGGTGCAAATGCGATTTTACATTATACTTACAAATTTTAACATTGAGTCAAATACATATGCATGTTTATAGTCTAACAGAAGTAAACAAACATAATATTTATAATATGCTAAAATGTTTAAAATAGAAAACTCGAGATAAAGTGGGGTGTTAACATCCTAATAAAATAAAATAAAAGGACATGCGATGTGAGATAAAGTATAAATAAAACTAAACAGAAAACTATCGCAAACAACTCCGCGGGGCTTCAAACCTAGTTTGAATAATAATGAAGTTTGAGCCTTAAATGGATTTATGATTTTTTTTCTTCTTCTGTATTTGTGTATAATCTAACTAGATACCTTTATGATGCAGAGCTCAGAAGAATCTTTCTTTAGTTGGAGCTTGGGAAAACAGCAAGAAAGCATCTGTGGAAGCTGAGTTAAAAAAGATCGAGGTAAATGGATAAATATTCATTGTTCTTTTAGTTTTGTTGTATCACTTTTTACATAAAATGCTGCCACTTTTTTTATCCTCCTAACTTAGCCCCTGGAAATACAAATGATATCAGGAGAAACTAATCAAGAAGAAAGCTGAGTACGCGGAGCAGATGAAGAACAAAATAGCCATAATCCACAAAGAAGCTGAAGAGAAAAGAGCTATGACCGAAGCTAAGCGTGGGGAAGAAGTTCTCAAGGCCGAGGAGATGGCTGCAAAGTACCGCGCCACAGGAACTGAACCAACAAAGCTCTTTGGCTGCTTCTAAGTTAGATCATGTGGAGAAATGGAATTTGATATTTGCTTTAATGATTTCAATTGTTATTAATTTGAGAAAAGCAATAAAATGTTGTTTACTTGTTTTGGTGGTAACATAGCAAGTTACATGGTAATGTAACGTCTTGCTATGTTTGGGAACTTTGGTTTAATATGCGTACTTGTAATTTATACAGCTTTTCTTTTGATCTCTCTAAATGTCAATTATTTGGTTCGTTTTTTTTTCCACAACGCTCATGGGCTAACACCAATAAGCTTAATGAAGAATTTCTACACCAAAATGTAAAACAAACTGATGTATTCTGTTAAGATAATTTACGAGAAACTAAACAAGAATTCGAACGAACCAAAAATAATTTCAACTAAACTTTTGATTTTTAAAGATAAGATTTTATTCAAATAACATAATTTTATATTCCGAAACTCTGTTATTCAGAAGCAGGCCTTGTTTTCGGGTAAATGTATCTGTAAGCCCAAATACAAAGGCCCAGTTAAGTTTGTGGTATCGCATTGCCTAGAAATTTCTTATTTATAATCAGCTCGTGTTTATTAGGGTTTTTCTTTCTCGAAGCTATAGTCGTCGCGGCCGCACTATCGTCTCCTACATCTTTGCCTCAAGCTTTCACGCGGGAGCACAACATCAGCCATGGCGGAACAGGTTAATCTGATTGTTCTCCCCTCTTAATCATCCTCGATTCAATCTATCGATCCTCTATCCACTTAGTGATTCTCATTGGCTTTCATTTGCTTGTTGCCGATTTTCAGACTGAGAAAGCTTTTCTTAAGCAACCCAAGGTCTTCCTCAGGTAATTTTCGAATCGATTTCTCCATTTTCATTTTGACATTATTCTATTTGAGCTCCAAGTTATTTATACGATTCGTTGCTCTATTTTCACCAGCTCGAAGAAATCTGGAAAGGGGAAGCGACCTGGAAAGGGTGGAAACCGATTCTGGAAGAACATTGGTTTGGGCTTTAAAACCCCTCGCGAGGCCATTGAAGGTTTGTTTGCTTTATTTTTCTAATTCTCATTTCGCTTCACAAAGTGGAACTCTGATATGCAAATTGTTGAGCTTTGATTGATCTCGCTTTGTGATCTACTTGAAAAAGAATGTACATTCTTAGATTTAGTGAGTAACCAACCAGCTAAATTCTGATCCGTCTGCTTTCTTCTGTTCACTAGATTTTGAGTCATTAGAATGTTCAGTGATACTGATGTGTGATCAAACTTCTGGAATTTATAGTAAAAGTATGATGCATTTTAACTTTGAAACTTTCGTAGAAACTTGCATTGACCTCCTCTTATCGTTAAGTCAGTTTCTCATCCGATTGTGTTTTGGTTTTCTATGGAACAGGAGCATACATTGACGCGAAATGTCCCTTCACCGGAACTGTTTCGATTAGAGGCCGTATCTTAGCTGGTACTTGCCACAGTGCCAAAATGCAGCGGACCATCATCGTTCGAAGGAACTACCTACACTTTGTCAAGAAGTATCAGAGGTAAATACATAGATTCATACATAGTTTCGTACGTCTACTGAATTGATATTATTACTTTTACATGGATGTTTAAAAGAGTATTATCCTTTTGTTGTCAGGTATGAGAAGAGGCACTCTAACATCCCAGCTCACGTCTCACCGTGCTTCCGTGTCAAGGAAGGAGACCATGTCATCATTGGACAGTGCAGGTTATAATTCGATTCAGAACAACAACAATGTCTCTTTCTTGCTTCTTTGTTTTGCGCAATTAATCTGATCTTCTTATTTCTTCAATGGTGAATTGCAGGCCATTGTCAAAGACTGTGAGGTTCAATGTGTTGAAGGTGATTCCAGCTGGAGCTTCTGCTTTCGGAAAGAAGGCTTTCACTGGGATGTAAGAGGGCTTTTTGCTGTTAGCTTATTATGTTTCTGGATAGATCTGAATTATGTTATTACCCTTTATTTATCGACATGTTTTACATTTTGATTTTCCGATTTTAATGTTTTGATTTCCTGAAACTTGATCATTCCAATTTGAGATCTTGTCTATGCTTGTTCTCTCTTACAAATTCAAAGACCTGCGAAAAAATCCGAACCAAGTCTCAAAGATCTTTAATAATAGTTGTATGTCTTTCACATAGATGACATACAATGTGAACGAAGTCTAATAATATATGTGTTATTTACTCGTTATTCTCTTCTACTACAAACTTGTCGTATCTCGGAAATCTCTTGACATTTACATTGATCGTTGATCATTGATGAGACCATCGAACAAAAAATTGTCTGAAAACGAAGTGCAGAACTCAATCTCAGTTATCTCATGCTCCAACAAGAGATCTGAATTTGGTATGAAATCATCAAAAGAGTTGTTGTTCTCACTGAAAAGAGGGCCACATGTTCCAATGAATCCTCTCTCTTCCGGTACAATAACGTCTTGGACATAACTAGACTTCTGAGGTGATTGATCTAACCATTCGGAGAACACTAGACTTGGTGAAAAGCTTGATACTTGAGCATTAAATGATTCTCCGACATTGATACATGATGAAGAACTTCCTATTGTACTTTGCAAGGCCGTTGAATGTGTTTGAGGGGTTCTTGTGGTGTCATGTTGTGTTGAGGTTACACTCTTCTTTAGATAAGAATGCCAATAGTTTTTGATCTCGTTGTCGGTTCTTCCTGGTAGATATTTCGATATCTGAGACCATCTTGTGAAAACGAAGAAAAATACAACTTCAATGGGGACGATCATGAAAATGGTCTAAATGTTAAATCAAACTTCAAATGTTAAATTCCAAAACTTTCAAAATTAAACCGTCTAAAAACTTAAGCATAAATGAGAAATCATAAACTCTAATTTCTAAACCCTGAAATGTTGCAACTTATTCAAAATGGTAAAAGGATCTATCTATTTTCTTAGTTTGAAAGTTTCAAACCTTTTCTTTTCGATTTAAATATCGGCATACGTAACCTCTAATATATTTTGAAAATATAAATACATCAGCATATGAGTGACTTACTTGTTACCCAAGATGGAATGGAGTGAGAGAAGTGTAGTTTCCTCTTCGTTAGTGAATAAACCCTTCTTAAGTCCAGGTCTTAAATAATTAACCCACCTTAATCTACAACTCTTCCCATTCCGTTGCAATCCTACAATATGTATACCAATTAAATTTTTAGTTCATTTCTTCCTGATCAAATTCCAAAACTTCCTATTGGAATTGGAGCATATCTTTCTATTTATTTATAGAAAATGATAACTCTAAAATGAAGTACAGCATAATATTGCTTTAAAAAAAAGAAAAAGAAAATCTTACGATATATTTAGCAAAAATTACCAGCTTGGATAGGAATGGTACTCCAGCATCCATGGCCATATTTGAGCACATGGCTCCGAAGCTTCTCATCTTCCTCCGGTGACCATAATCCTTTCCTTTGCTTCTCCTTGAATTTCAATTTTCGGTTTAATTCTGATTTAAACACCATTTTCTTTGCTTTACTTAATTTTAATACTAAAAGGACGTATATACGTATATCAAAAATATATGTAGATTCGAAATGACGATCTTTGACACAGATACATCGTTCGAAGGGGGGAAGAAATATATAGGCAGTTTTGAAGGGACGTTTTTATTTATTTTAATACAACCAATAAACAAGATTAGCTATGTGTAGAACTATTCATATGAAAGAGGACTTGTTCAACATGAAAATAAAAGAATATTTTGTAGATGTTATCTCGCATTTGAAACACTGCACCAAATCTTTATTAATTTAGGTGGAGCCAAACCCTTTGAATTTCAGTGTCATATTTTCAATACGACAATGCAATATTGAATTAAATAAGATAATATTGTTTCTGGTAAATCAGACTTTTATAAATTTGTCTTCGTTTGCTTGCCTCTTCAAATTTTGCTTGGGAAAAGTTTACTAATTTAGGTTCTAGCAGTCCCTTTGAAGTTAACCGAAAGGAACGATAGCTAATCTAAATGATTTACAGGTAGTGATTAATCAAAACGAAGTATAGCTGATCTAAAATCCTAAATGATTGATTACTAAATCAAATGACTAATAATTAACTTAGATGATGAACCATTAATTACTGACTAATTCAACTGAGTTTCTACTGAGCAGTTAAAACAGTTAGCAACTAGTCAGTCGACCAATTTTTAGTGGACATTTTCAGTAGTTCACCAGCAAGTCTTAAATAAAATATAAACTATATAATTAGCATGTGAATGATTCTGATTGGTTATGAACAGAAATATTCTAACTCAACTGTTGAAGTTATATATCTTTCTAAGGATAGAGTTGAAGAAGACTTTTGCTAATCTTTAACTAACACATACTTGCCTTCCTCAAGAAAAACTCTTGTAAAATATGAAACACAAACTGATATATTATTGGTGAATTGGCATTTGCTATAATTTATTTCTGCTTCGATTATTTATAAAATTAATCAATGAATACAATTATTGGTTTGACAAAGATATATAGTATAATAATTTTTATTATTGTCGTTGTCGAACACCATTCGAATTCCAATCCGATAAAATCATAATTATTAATCGAAAAAAAAACTATTGTTTAACTTAAGCGACTTGTATATATAAGTAACAATAGAATAAGCTAACAAGATGACATAAAACATATAATATTATTTAGTTATCGTCTTATTATATACAAGTTTTACAAAATGAAAAGCGAAAACACTGAAAATGATGTAATTATACGGTTTTGTATATATATTCTGGTGGAAAGTATAATTTGAATTAGTAAATATCACAAAGTAAGGCAAAATCATTGTTTTTCTTCAAATATACTACAGTTTTCTCTTTAAAAAAAGACATTTAATTAGATTGATGAACTTCGTTTAGAAAGTTTACGATTATCTAAACATGTTATTCATTTTTTTTTTTGGGGTAATATTTACAGAAACAACAAAAAACATGACAACTATTTTAGAATGCCTCTACATAATGGTATTAACAAAATGATGCCTCCAGTGAGTTATGAGCAAAACACCTTAGCAACCGACACTGGGATGACGTTAGCTGCTGATTAATTATTTCGATGATTACATATAAGTAATTGTTTTAATTCAAGATTCCGATATCGTTTTCTCTTCTATGACTTTATATTTAGGATGAATTTGGTGAATAATTACATTGAGAGACATAATGGAGGATATAACCATAAGGAATTTGGAATTAGAAATGTGGTAAAGGTGATTGTGAATTTACGGCAAAGGACTCACTTAAATAAGAGGGAAGAAGATCTCGTACCGGCTGAGACGGGAATAAAGATGATGTGGGCAAATAGTGAACATGACCACATATAATATGTTTGAACATAACAAGATTCGTAATGTAATTAACTACCACATAATTTTACCGAAGAACTAAAACCTCTCACTTAGAATTGGAAAGAACCCTAAACACTAAAACATGAACCCCTAATCAGGAGAATATACACACTATTAGATAAATAGATAACCGTAAAACCCCTCGTACAAACATTATCAATATAAAACCGATAACAATTGTTTCGATGTTTCGGTGAAACAATACGTACATCATAAACACCAAACTATAAAACATCAACCTAAACACACAAATTATGTGACAATATACACTAAAACGGGAAACAGAAGCACTAACCGTCATCATAGAAAACTAAAGAGCATAAAAAGGAGGGGAACCTATACTACATATGAAAAAAATATGGAATCAGTCTGGTCTGATGGTGTTTCCTTTGAAATGACACAACCCTTACAAATACTTCGTCTAATTAATTTTTGCTTCCCCAAGCAACCAAACCCTAAATACTAAACCACTAAACACGAAGCCTCAAACCCTAAACTCTAAATCCATAAACTTTTTGAAATGAATCCTACATTATACAATGTAAATCTAAACACTACACACTAAACCCTACACTCTACATCCTAAACCATCAAAACTAAACCCTAAACCATTACCAATTAACCCTAACCCTAAATACGAAACGTGAAACCCTACAAAGAGAAAAAGAAACCCATCCTTCGTAACCAGTGACCCTGACAGTGGTGAATTACATAGGCACTGAAATCCCTAATCCCTGGACTTGACATATAAACCTTACACAAACCAAATCTTCTACTGTACACGACATACTATACTACACAACATTATAGCATATAATAATATTATGTATATTGTAGTCTATTTATGTGAATATATAGTATGGTGGAAAGTAACTTGATTGTATACTATGGCCATATTTGTTTCATGGTCGCTGCGACCAGCGTTAGCGGCAAGAGAAAAAAACGCTGACGGAGGTGGTGGTGGAGAAAAAGGGGTATGTTGCCGTTTAAGGAGTCGCAATTGCCATTGAAAGGAGCTGCAACTGACGCTAAAATTTTCAACGACCAGATGGTTGTCCGTAAACAGTTGCAGCGTCACTCCGAACGGTATACTCTCCACAAAACTTGCCTTCCAAGTATCATTAATGTGGCCGCTGACGCAAACGATATGCGACCACAATGATTGTCATTCCACATGGGATACAATTTATGATTCGGTAAGAAACGGATTCTATGTTAAACTCGACCGTCAAAAATCAAAGTGAATCTGCCTCTCTTCTCCACGTTGAACTGATTGTAAGAGTTAAGGAAATTCTAGGTGGTGACCAGCGAAGAGAACGTCCAAATTTTGAGTTTGAATGTCTCTTTCTCTTTCCCCGAACCTAGTAACCAATTTAATTAGCCGGTCACCACATATACAACGAAGTTCACATTTCACTTTCTTATGCGTGGGACATTTTGAGCAATATTACAGAATATATACAGAATACTCTAGCTATAAAAAATAATGGCTAGTCTCTTAATTCAACTGCTCAATATAATTATTCAGTATAGTTTCCCTTATATTTAAATGCGTTTTTCGCCGTTCCGTTCTTCGTCCGTCTTTAGCCCATTTCACCATCCACTACCATAGTTACATATGTCTACTGTGAACTATAGAGTATAACTTAACGATTATAATATGTACTTGGACAAAATATCGTTATCTAAGAGCCAAAATAAGTTTTGTTTGGAGTCAACACTTTGCCCCCATTTGCGGATAGATTTGACCAAATATTGTGATAGAAAAAGTTTATACTTCTTATATATGTTTACCAAGAGGTGTCTATCAAAGAAAGTTTAATTTAGAAACAGAACTGTTCTATTAAACAGGGACAGTATAGTTTGGTAAACTACTTCATGTATGCTTAAAGTTATGTAAGTGTAGGTGTATATATATTCCACGTTGCACAAAGCAATCCAGTCAACTGTACATGTATTAAAAAGTCGTGAGCCAATAATGAACTATCTAATTTCTGTTCATTTTTTTTTGCTGTTGTGTCTATTTACACTGACGCAAACATGTTTTCGAATGTAAATCTGGATTACACACAGCGTCATCACTATTACATAAACACCGCTCGTTCTTTTTAAATAATGACGATGATTAACGATATTTATAAACGCATTCCTGTTTTGTTCTAGTTTGTTGCACCAATGATATCATTTTGTTTCAATTATTTCAATAAGATAATTCTATTTTCCGTGAGTATACGATTCTTGAATTAGGCAATGAAATTGTAGACGATATATGACCAACAAAAGAGAAAGATATAGCTTTTTAAATTTTACTAGTTTTTCACTGAAACCTAATAATTATTTTGATAAGATAAAAGAACTCATAACTATTAGTACATTGGATAGTTATCATAAATGATCATCATCCTCTTTTGGTTTGGACATCAAAGGATAATGTCTTTCCTGATATTTTCCAGGAACATCCTAAGCTCTCTTCTTTTTCTGCAATGTTCTTCATCATCAGTCTCTGAATCACTCAGCTCAATCACAGTCTCAAGTTGGTGATCATGGCTCTTCTGCTCTTCATAACTTCTTGACATGCTTCGTGAACGCGCTTCAGGACAAGGGCTTATCAGATCAATGACTTCAGTTTCCGGATACGATGAGCAAGAACTCGAGCCAACATCGAACCTATCCATGGTCGACCAATCATTATTGGAATTTTCTTTAGTAGGCGAATCCATTAGACACAAGTAATCATGTTTCTTGGAGATTTGCGGTTCTTTCTCTTGCCCTGCTTCTTCTATAGTGTTTGACGCTACAGCAGAGGTTGAATTGAGATCAATTTCTTGGAGCTTGAGGCTGAGTTCTATAAGAGAAGAAGATTTAGTCGGTGAACTTGTTTCCTTCTCTTTAGACTTGGGTTGTTTTTGTTTTGGCTTTGGCTTCTTCTTCTTTGCTTCCATTTTCTCCTTGAACTCTATGATCTTCTCAGAACAAGCCCTGAAACAAAAACAAGAATGATAAATAGGCAAAACCAATACTAGACCAGTAATCAATGAAAACAATCGAATAAGAGCATTCTGGACCAATATCAAGATTCATTTTGACGTTCAACAAAACTAACTAACACAGGTTTGATGATCAGTCTCAAACACTTGGGCGGCTACATGTTCAGAGCTCTAGTCAAGTTTATTCTCAGGCTTGAGTAAATGAGCAAGTGAAGGTAAGGCTATGATCATTAACATTACCTTTCTACAAGATCTGCAGGTACAATGGACGTCTCTAGCCCTTCTAGATCATTCCAAGAGACTTCAAAACTTTCTCGCCCCTGTACTTTGCGAGTCTTAATGATTTCAGACACCGGGCACTTCTCTGGTACCTGCGGCTGCAGAAGAATTAAGACAAGTTCATCTTCTTGTAAGAGTTAAGACATGATTATGGGGAAAGCCAGCCAGTTAACTTTAAGCTTGAACTAAATAACTTCCAGTGAGAGAAAAAAAGGTACCTTGTGGAGAGGAAAGTTTAAGCCAACCTCAATTGAGCTTGATTGCAGAATAGCGAACCTTCTCAAATTTCTTTCAGCAATTTTAGGAAGTACGTATTCATCTAAGAGAAAGATAGAGAAAAGGAAGAACGTTGGTTCCACAATTGTTTCTGCACAATGTCTGCAAAAGCAACCTACAAGGAGTGGAGACTCAAAGTAATACCTGTTTTCTCAGGGGGCCAATCAAAGAACTGATGGCATATCTCTTGAAGCTTGGTGCGCTGAAAAGAGAATTCAGCCAAAGCCCTGCGAAAGCAGAATTTAAATTTGTATCACTTCCTTCATTCAAATCTGTATGGACATTCAACCTATTGCAAGTTCACTAATCTCCAGAGTTAACAGATATTCCTTGATTTCTATCAGGCACTCGAGGAAGCTTTTTATTCCATCTTTAGTTACCTTTGTGCACTCTTGTCCGTTTTAAGTTATCAGCTTAACACAAACAAGTTACACTAAAAGTTAGAACCTTTATATGTCGAAATTTAAGTACAGAATCGGTTATTCCTTGTGGCAGATGATTGCTACATCTTAATAAGACTGACAACAAAGAAATGGAAAGAAGGATTAACCTGGAAACTGTGTTAGAGTCTGCTTGGTGGCACTTGGGGTTCATGAACGCATCAATCACCCCTTTGATCTGTTCCAGTCCTTCTGGATCACGATTAGGTCCTAACCCAAGTTGCATTTCCGGAAAAAGCTTATATGAGAAAACAGTTTTCTCGGAAAAACACCAAAATCAACTAACTGCATAAGCAAAGCATGTTATATCACAAAACACAAGAAGAAGTTGTTGCTTCAAATACCGCTTATGACCACCAAGGGCAAGGTCCCCTTTTTAGGCCTAACTTGCTTCTTTGAATTCTTCAGTTTTTTCGCAAAGGAAAGTCCTTCTGATGAAACTTTTTCAAGGATAACGTTTTCTCCAACAGACCTCACAATCTCGCAAGCTCTCTCCTGTTTACAGAAGAAATTCAACCATAAGTCTGTAATAATCTAACTCTTCATGAAACATGCAAACGAGAATAACATATATGGCCTACAGATAATGCAAACGAGAATAACATATATGGCCTACAGATAATGGTTTAAGAGCTTCACTTTTCAACATACCTGACGAATACCTCGAACTCCCTGAGAGTAGTCACAGCCAAGCAGAAGCGCCAGAGCTATCTGTAACCTCACCGAAGAAATTATAGTATAACAGTATAAGTGACCTTGTAAATCTGATGAAATATAGCAAACATCTCAAAGTTCTTTGACGTATGAAACAATAGACAACTTCTGTAGCCGGTTTCTCCTACTGATGCAGCTAAAAGAATTGAGCCCTTAAAGCTACAATGTCGCAATGGAACCATACACATAGCATCTTATCTCTTCTGAGTTAAAACTACAATGTTGCAGTGGAACCATACATACACTTAGCATCTATAGTGAATGAGTTTATCGAGAAAACATTGCAGGTTAAAAATATCAAAGGCCACATTTTGCATGTATTCCTTCATCGGTCAGGCGTTTGCCAATAAACCATTTTATAGTAACACGGTGAAGCTTTGTGAAAATGAAAGTTCAGGGTTATGTATGTATAGCTAATGACTAAAAGAGACTCGTTATGTTACCAATGAGTTACGTCCAAGCCCAAGCTTTTTCTTGATGTCTTCCATCTCATAGCAAACAACATAGCCTCCGTCACCTAGTTCAGTGGCAGATTACAAAGTCATATTTAATACCACTAACAATGTCGTACAATAAAAAGAAACAGAAGGACTGCTAAAAGAGTCTCTTCCACTCACCAAGGCATATCTCTCTGTAGACAGTCTTTGCACCAAAAAGGAAAATATCTGAATCAGAGCTAAAACATGCGTCCTGTCAATGATCATGAAAACCATCATTTATCATTGACTATTGAGTTAACAGCATGACGAATAAGCAACTAATTTAAAGCCGCAAAATGTTTCTTACACATAAGGATTCAGAGTTAAGCAGAGCACATTGTGCCTCAGCTTCCTCAACCCTGTAATTGAAGGAGATACACTCAACCAAAGTCTCATTGAGTACAGTCAAGTTTTCATTTTTGAAGAATTACCCATCTAAACAAAGAATTCCGAGTGTTGATGCAATGACTTTCGCCTCTTTTATCATGCGAGAGAACTCAGACCCCATATTTCTTTTGAGTGAAGTCTCTTTTCCAGGCTCAACACCATCGTCAACGACCTAGCTGAACCAAATAAAGCATTAACCGAAAAAATATTTCTCCGAGAACTATCCATCATGTGCAAGGATAAAAAGCACTAGCAACTCATTTTGACATCAATATACCTCGAATCTTGCTTTTAATCGACGCTTGTAAGTCGGTACTTTAATTCCAGGAATTGAACCATCTACAATTACAAGGCACATAGAAGTAAGTCAAGTACGCTCAAAAGCGTAGACAAAAACAAATCTTTAGAGCAAAGCATCGATAACTCAGAACTGATTTTGACCACTTCTCTCAATGACAACAACACAAACGCTATATAAACAACAAACCCACCTGCGAAATGACACATTTTGTGCTACAAACAAACCCAAATTCGTTCATTTTGATGGCAATTTCGCAACAGATAGCTGAAATTACCTGAGACTAGAATGACGGTGCAATTAAGGGCAATTAGGGCTCGGAGGCGATGAAAGAATCCCCGGAGATAAACTTTTTCTTTAGTGGCGCAATACGATTGATTCACTTTATGCAATTCCACCATCCAACACGACAGATCCACGCATACCCTTTTGTTTCTACATCAATTTCCCCAACACAAAGGAGAGATCTCGTCAAGACTTGTCTTTTACAAAACATAAAAACCCAGACTTTGGAGGAGAGAAATGAAAGGGAAATTGAGAGGAAGTAACAAAATCTCACTGAAGATGATCGAGCGGGAAAGTCTTCTTGCAAGGCTCCAACACATCCCAGAGATACTTCACGCCCATTCGCTTCCGCTTCGAGAGTGAGAGAGGAGGGGGAAGACAAAATTTGAAATTCTGATTTTGCTTTGAATTTGAAACTCCAGACGCTAAACCATTGGTTGCATATATATAAATATATCTTTTCGTATCGTACTAAATTATATGTTTGGACTTTAAAAACTTAAACTTTCAAAAAGTTGTCCAAAATTTTGCACTTTGTTGTAATCAGTGATCACGCAGCAAAGGCCTACGCAGATCTTAAAGTTGTGTACTTTCATCTTTGATTGATAAAATAAACATCTTATAGTTGGTAACTGTAGACATAATAATGTAATTTAGAGCTTCCATTAAACATAACTAGATGTCTATCATAAGATACAAAAAGTACACACAAAGTCTCCATTTTTATTGAGCTTGCATCTTCCACCTTGAGTTATATACGACTCATACTTAAAACCCAGAAAAATCTCTCAAGAAATAGTGTGCGCCTCCGATTACATTGCCTTACTCCTCCTTTGCGGCATCACCAATTGCAACATCCTTCTTCTCCGTGGTTTTCTCGTCGTCTATGCTTCTAGAAGTGTCATCGTGTGTAACAGCGGAAGCTTCTTCTCCAGCGTTTGTAGAAGGAGCTTCCTCTGTGTCAGCCTTTGCTTCAGAAGGTTCTGTTGTACTTTCTTTGGCTTCTCCGTCCTTCTTCTCAATGGTCCCGACTTTGACGTACTTGCTCATGAACTTGTACTCCCAGTCTTGTAACGCCTCTAGCTCAAACGGACCTAGACCAGAGATGTCTCCCGTCAAGTCGCTATCCTCAAACGACATCTTCGCCAAAGCTCGGCTTGCATCTTTCCCTGCAAACAGAGCATATGGCCCTCCTGGTCCATAGAACATCCTGCAGAAACAAAAAGAACAGATGTCATGTGAGTATGTCTAGAGTTTGAAGATTGTAAAACTACGGTTTGGGATGTGAATATGATTAGCTGATGAACTATGTACAAGAAAAAAACCCATCATATGCACAGATATACATCGGCATGTATGTTTATGAGTGTCTCTGTGTATGTTGTTGGTCTAACTATGAACAAGAACAAATGTTATGATTAATCAAGTGACTGCTTCATCTATACGAAAACCTAATCATCACGAAGATGTTATCATTCTCAGATGTACTCTCTACTAGTTCAAGGTGTTTTCTGAACATAGTTTTTTTTCCAGTACAGGCAAAAGCAGAGATATTTTTAGCTAATTTCAGTAGGATACAATCTTTTTATGGTACTGTATTGTTCCAAGAAAAGTATCACTAAGATGGCAAAAGCAGAGAAAAAGAGAAACAAAAGCAGACTGCATAATAACATGATGAACAAAGGAGAGAATATTCACACATTCTAAGAAGAGCCAAAAAAGCTCAATCCAAGTTAGGGACCAACTTGGTTACCAAAAGTTCTCTCATTTAAACCTAAATCCCCAATTTCAGTAATAGTCTCTAAAAGCCCAAATTTCCAACTACAATCACTGAAATTTCACATCTCACTGACCCCTCAAATCTCGAATTAGATTCAAATGTTTCCGGAACTTCACTTGTAGATCATTTGGACTCAAACAGTAATTTATAAACAAGTAAAGAGTATCAAGTATACCTGCTCTGTGAAACATCGTAGATCTGGCCCTTGATCGCCATGAGAAGGGGCTTTTTGGAGTCGGAGCCGTCATACTGCTTGAGCTCATCTTCAGTGATTTCACCGAGCTGAATCGGCGGCGGAAGAGGCTCCGATTGCTGGTGAACCTCCGCAGAACGCGGTCGGTGTTCTTCAGGAGAGACGAAGAAACCGGAGACGACTTGATAGACGGCGAAGGCGAGAGCTAGTACGGTGAAAAACGCAGTCGGAGATAGTCCAGTGTAAGCTGTAATGGTCTCTTTCACCGTCTCCCATACTTGCTGCATCATGATTGAGCAATCGAGATGGAGAGAAGAGAGAAGAGAAGAGAGAGAGTATCACTGGTTTAGCATTGATATTTGTCTTCTTTTATTTTCTGAGAATTTATATTCTGATTTGCAAATTTTAAAAAAGAAATTTAACTCTTTAACCGAGAAGTAAAAGGTAGACTATCTTGTCACATAAATGGTCTGGTCAACTACGCAACAACATTTTAAAAATGTTTTTCAACAGAGCCGTCGTCAATAAATGATTGTTGATTTTCTGGGACGAGCAATTGAAAAAATATTGTTTACAGAGTTTTTAATCTGAAAACGTATATTTTCGTTCACTAAATTTGATGAGTGGAGGAAAAATAAACAATTTAACCAATGTTTGGCTTAGTTGAATAACAACGGGGCCGTTATTGCCGTCTTGAGAAGACTAGTATAGTAGGTGCGAAGTAGATGATAGAAAAAACAAACGTGACTGATTATAAATTAAAATATGTTTTCAACAAACTTGTCTTCTTTTCTGTATTTTGTACATACAAACAAGAAACAATAACTTTTTCTGTATTTTGATAGGTACAAATGATACAACATGTTTTCAGCAAACTTGTCTTCTTTTCTCATATAATTATTTTTTGAGATTATAAATACTAAACGGTATCGAATATAAACATATAGTTTTAAAAAACATAAATCTTACAATTCAAAGATCTGAGAAGAGAGAATTAAAAAACATAAGAAGCAGCTATACACACACACGTACTTTGAAGCGATGATACGAAAACATAAAAAAGGTGATTGTCGCATGCATAAATTTACTCAATTTTCTTTTGATTCGATTAAGAGTTGCCCTAGGCGGCGCTAGTAATTTGTGGGCTGGGCCCTGTCTTCTTAATTGAAAAGAGAAACTTTCTGAACGAGAATTGGTGCGTTAACTCTCTAAACCCTAAGAAACAGTAAGAATAATTAGGGTTTCTGTTTCTCACTTGTGTTCATTTTTTAGGTGGAGTTTTCTATTTGCTATTGTAGTTTGTTTTGTGTGTGTGTGTGTGTGTTTGTTTGGTGGTTTCGTTTTGAGTTTTAGAAATCTTGGTACTCTTCTTTTGCTTCTACTGATTTGATTTGAAAAATATAGATAAAATTTGGTTACTTTTCTTTGTGTTGCGTATTTGCATATACCGATCGATTTGTTTAGAGATGAATGCTAGTTTGGTCGTGGAAAGAATGCTTTGGAGATTATTTAGCTTGAAGTCTCTCTCCGTATATCAACTCTTTGACATGGCTAGCTGATGCTATGTAGATTGAGCCATAAGTTGTCGTAAGAACTAAATATTTATTTTAGTAAAACTAAATGCATGAGATTATTATTTCCAACCCAGTGTAAACTTACCTTGCTAGATTTGGTGCCTTATTCTCGTTTTTTTTTTTTCCGATTTGGTTAGAGACTATCTAAGTATTAGTGAAATGTTTTTGGCATTGTTACAAACAGCTTTTTCATTTCTTGTGCCTTGTTGTAGTATATATGTTGGCGTTTTTCTGATCATATTTACCATATTTACCCAAAATGTAGCCTCAAACTCTGCATCATGGCTACGTTCTTGGCTACTTCTACAGCCTGTCCTTTACTTTGTCCCGCAAAACCAACAAGGAGTGTGAAGATGATGAGCAGTTTACAACAAGCATCGGTTCTAAGAATCCAGAGCTTCTCAGGGCTAAGGGCTTCCAATGCATTGGGTCTTACGGCAAGGCTTGTTCAAGGCTTATTTTCTAAGGTTAACCGTTCGATCTCATCCAAGAAAGGAAGAGCTAGCCGAAGTGTAACAAAAGCCATGTTTGAGAGGTTTACCCTGGAAGCAATCAAGGTCATAACGCTGTCTCAAGAGGAAGCTCTGAGACATGGCCATAACTTTGTTGGGACTGAGCAGATACTGTTGGGTCTAGTTGGGGAAGGGACTGGAATCGCTGCAAAGGCTCTTAAATCCATGGGAATCAATCTTAAAGATGCTCGTGTAGAGGTGGAAAAGATCATTGGAAGAGGTAGTGGATTTGTTGTGGCAGTGGAGATCCCTTTTACACCTCGCGCAAAGCGTGTCTTGGAGTTGTCTCTAGCGGAAGCTCGACAACTAGGTAAGGATCCGTTTAGGCTTGGAGCTATTTATATTTTATGTATTATAAAAGCTTTCTTGACTGATGAAACTTGCACATTGCTTATGAATTTGCTAACCCCCTTTTTTTCGGTTATATTAAAAATTATAGGGCATAACTACATTAACACAGAGCATCTTCTGCTTGGTCTTGTTCGTGAGGACGGTGTTGCCGCTCGTGTCCTGGAGAATTTGGGTGTAGAACCTAGTAACATCCGTACGCGGGTAAATGCATAAACTCTGAATCCTCACAATCATATGATATATCTTAGGAAACAACTTGTTAATTGAGAATAATTCTTTCAGGTTATACGTATGGTTTCGGAAGAAAACAATGAAGTGACAGCAAAAGTTGATCTTGAAAATCTTCGTAAAGAGGTGGAAAAGATCTTTGGAAGGGGTAATGGATCTGCAAAAGGTGTTGCAGCTAGTGTCCTAGAGGATTTGGGTGTGGTTCGTACTTACATCCGGGATAAGGTAAAACCGTAAAAGTAAATAATGCATAAACACTGAGTCCTAACAATCATATGATATGTCTTAGGAAACAACTCGTTGATTACATTTTGAGGATAATTATTTCAGGTTAACGGAGAAGAAATGGAAGTGCCAGCAGGAAACGTTGATCTTGAACAACTTAGTCAAGATGTGGAAACAATCTTTGGAAGAGGGAATGAATCTGCGAAAGGTGTTGCAGCTCGTGTCCTACAGGATTTGGGTGTGGATCGTACTTACATCCGGAATAAGGTAAAAGTAAATAATGCATCCATTACCAGTTCTCAGAATCGTTATTGTTTTTAAGAAATTGTTTACGTTTTGAGTTTTTTTTTCCAGCTTATACGTATGATCGAGGAAGACAAAAAGAATTCGGGGGATCAAGACGAACAAATAGACAATGATAATTTCACAAGGATAGTTATGATTCTTCTTCTTCTTATTCTTCTAAAACAGAAATGATGAAGAAAATGTTTCTAGGATATTTGTGATGCTTTTAGTTTTTTTTAATACTTTTTCATTAAGTTAGAATTAAGCAACTATTCTTGATTTTTTTGTTGATTATTATTTAGAATTGAATTTTAATTTTTAGTAACTATTATTATTCTTCTTCTTCTTCTAAATCATCAGTAATTTTTTTAGCTCTCTTTATCTTTATGCCTTGTGCAAAAAACAATGGACAAATAACAGGAGAGAGAGAGAGAGAGAGAGAGAGAGAGAGAACGTATCAACAAAATATTTTCTTCCTAGTTTATTTTCGAAACAACAAAATACTTTTTCAACAGAGCGGTCAATAAATGACAGGTAATCTTAACATATAGTTTTGGTGGTGAACAAAATTTTATGATCGAAAAGTTTATGGAGCGAGCATAATATTTAAACGTTTTCAAGAAAATAGTTACACCTAACCAATGGGTAGCTTAGTTTAATAAAACGGTGCCGTTATTGCCGTCTGAGAAGTAGTAGTAGCACTGTAGTAGGTGCCAACTGCGAAGTAGATGATAGCGAAAACAAACGTGACTGATAATATCTCCTGCTTATAAAACATGTTTTCAATAAACTTGGCTTCTTTTTCTGTATTTTGAATCTTTGATACATACAATTACAAACAAGAAACAATATACTGTTGTGAAAATATGTCTCTTTAAATTGTCTTCTCACGGATCTTATTGGCAAAAGTGAGCTCACATAGGATCTTTTTAGCCCTTTTTGAAAGGGAATAATATGATCATGGTTATAGTAAATTACAACTCCTCCTCTTATTATTTACAAAGTTTTCAGTATACCTGGCTTCTTTCTATATGCAAGATAAGATAATAAAGCTAATCTTCTTCAAGCCCCCACGCCCCATATAGGTTACGCAAAGGTACCATGGCCATGAGGTCTTGGTTTAAGGCTTTAAGCTGTTACAGAACAAATCTAAACGTTTATTCTAAAAAATGCCCGTATTTAATTTTTAAGAATACAAAAGTTAATGGGGCCAAAATACTCAAAACTTTTGTATATATAGTAGTATTTCTGGGCCGGGCCTGCCTTGTATAAAGTTTGTATATATATATATATATATATTTGTTTCACTGAAGAAGATTAATTAGGTTTCTGTTTCTCACTTGCGTTAACTTTTCAGGTGGAGTTTTCTATTTTGTTGTTCTAGTTTGTATTTTTGTGTGTTTGTATTGAGTTCTAGGAGTCTCGGTCGTTTGCTTCTATATATAAATTTGAAAGATAGATAAAAATTTGGGTTACTTTTCGATTAGGGTTGTGTGTTGTGTATTCTCGCTACTAGTACCGATTTGTTTAGAGATGAATGCTTGTTAATCTGATCGTCTCTTTTCTTATTGTCTTGGTAGAAAGAATGCTTTGGAGATGATTAGCTTGAAGTCTCTCTATATAGTATATATCCAAAGTGATAACTCTGTAATTGGCTGATGCTATCTAGATTGAGCCATAGTTTTCTTTTTCTTTTTCCATGTTAATATTACCTTAAAAAAAACTTAACATCTATTACATGCACAGAGATTTTCCGTTGCTTGCTGCTTAGTTTTTATTTTATTTTTGTAAGGTGTTTGCGTTTTTCTGATCATCTTTACCATATTACCCCAAACGCAGCCTCAAACTCTCCATCATGGCTAGGTTCTTGGCTACTTCTACAGCATGTCCTTTACTTTGTCCCGCAAAACCAACAAGGAGTGTGAAGATGATGTGCAGTTTACAACCATCACCAGTTCTAAGAATCCAGAGCTTCTCAGGGCTAAGGGCTTCCAATGCATTGGATCTTACGGCAAGGCCTGTTCAAGGTTTCGTTTCTAAGGTTAACCGCTCGATCTCATCCAAGAAAGGAAGAGCTAGCCGATGTGTAACAAAAGCCATGGTTGAGCGGTTTACCGTGGGAGCAATCAAGGTCCTAACGCTGTCTCAAGAGGAAGCTCGGAGAGTTGGCCATAACTTTGTTGGGACTGAGAAAATACTGGTTGCTCTGATTATGGAAGAGACTGGAATCGCTGCGAAGGTTTTGGAATCCATGGGGATCGATCTTGAATATTGCCGTGAAGAGGTGGAGAAGATCATTGGAAGAGGTAGTGGAATTGTGGCAGAGGATATCCCATTTACTCCTCGTGCAAAGCTAGTCCTGAAGTTATCGGTAGAGGAAGCTCGACAGCTAGGTAAGGGATCTGTTGCGTGTAACATAAGCTTTCTTTGGCTAACGATCAACTTGCACATTTCTTTAGCTATTTGACATCTTTTTTGTTTGTGATATTGAATTTCTAGGGCATAACTATATTGGGACAGAACATATTCTGCTTGGTCTTCTTTCTGAAGGGGAAGGTGTTGCAGCTCGTGCCTTGGAGAATATTGGTGTAGATCCTACTTACACATGGGATCTGGTAAAACTAAATAATGCATCAAATCTCAATTCTCACAATCATTGTTATGTCTTTAGGAAACAAATTCTTGATCACGTTTTGAGTATGTTTACTCTTTTTTTTCTTCAGGTATTACGTATGATCGAGGAAAAGAACAAGAATTCGGGGAATCAAGACGACCAAACAGAAAATGACGATTGGATATATTAAATTAGAGATGATCAAGAAAACGTTTCTGTGAAATTTCTGATGATTTTAGATTTAGATAGATTTTAGTAAACTATTACTGCTTTTTCTTTTAATATCTCTCTTTTATGTCTTGTAGCAATGGACAAAAAAAATATTCGAAATTGTTTATTTTTCCTACTCATCATGAGTCGTGTCAAGGTTTGTGATCTATATAGTTTGATCACTACATACAAACTTTTGGCATTGCCTACATTTATATTCACACAATACTTTCAAACCAAAGCAACCCACAAAAGAGAAAACAACGCAAACAGTAAGAAGAAGTCAAGTTTCAGAGAGAGAGTAAAGTCAATAGAAAGATCAAAGATGAAGAGAAGTCACTTCATCGACTTTCCACTCTCCTTCCTCATACTTATACCACCTCACAATCCCTTCATCATTCTCAGTCCTCTGACACATGACACAAGTCTTATGCTCCATACAAGTCAAGAACTTCCTCAGCCTCGACGCTTTCTCCATTATCGTCTTGTCCAGCTCCCTAACAATCACTTTCCTCTGCGGTGGCCCCTCCACGAGGTGAGAGTGAGATATGTTGAGCACTTCAAGGCTCTGTAACCCGTCGAGGATCTTCAAGAGCGCTTCTCGCTTTATCGCAGAGCATCTAATGCTGAGCGTCTTGAGGTTCGGGAGGCAGGTGATGAGCGTGTTGGCGAAGAAGATCTCGAACGGACCCATGATCTTGAGCTCCTTGAAGTTCTTGCAGTTCTTGGCGATCTCTGTTAAGAGATAAGGCGGGTTTGCGATGCTCGGCATTGTTAACGACTCGAGCTCTTTCCAGATCCTTATCGCTTTGCATATCCCAGTCTTCTTTATTCTGTTCCACGCCGGAAGAACAACCCTTCTCAACCCTGGACACCTGCAAAATCCAACTCAGTTACTTACTAAACAAGTTAACACTCTTCCAACCCTAAAAGACTTTTTACCTTTCTGCAGTGTAAGTCAGCTGCTCATCACTCAAGAACAAGTTGAAGTGAAAAATCAAGGTCCTTGTGTTTCCTCCGCTGAGATTCATGGAGAGTTTCAGGATCCTGGTGAGGGCTTCATCGGAGCGGCGTTCGACGTAGACATAAGGCTCCAAGGGGATCTTGATGAAACTAGATCTCATGTGAGACAGATCAAGCGTCTTCCAGAGAATCGGATCGCAGCAAGCAGCTCTCCATCCACTGCAGACGTGAGCTAATCCGGAAGTTAACTCAAAGACGCTGAATTTCTGGAAGATTCTGACTAAGATGTCAGTGTCTAACTCTTCCCATCTCCTCACACGACGGTTCTCATACTCTTCTTCCATTGTCTCTGTTCTGTTTTTGTGCTCCTAAGCAAAACAGAGAAGAACGTTAATCAGACTGTCCTCTGTTCTTATCATTCAGAAGAATCTAATGATACTCTTTAGATCTTATTAAACAGGAAAATCAACAACTTTACGAAAAGGATCGATACAGAAAAAGTTGATGAACAAAGCTCAACGATCAAAAACAGATAAAGCTCTCAAACTATACAAATTTCATGGTATAATCTCATAAACAGAGTATTCAGACCCTTTATATGGTAAGCTAATTCCCTTATGATTGAAAACTCATGCAGCTTAACAAGAACGAGCTGTTTCCAAAACTGAATCAGCGAAGAAAGGAAACGATAGAAATGTAAAGCAAGAACAGGAAATTACATATCAGTATATCACAAAGACAATAGATCCGAAAATCATGAAAAAAAAATTCAATTCCAATAAAACGTCAATTATTGGGTGTTTGGTGAGCAAAAAGAAAACAGTGAAATCATGCAAGACATGAAAAAGATCCTAAGAAAAGTGAGAGACTCCAGCTCAAAAGATTCTTGCAAAGAAACTGAAGATCCGCCATTAAACTCAGAGCAACACATAATCTACCTCGAAATTACAGAGAAGCTGAAAACTCAGGGGATCAAAATCGTAGTCAGGACACAGAATTAAGCGAAAAAGTATATGCAAACGAATCGAATTTCGAAAATCCAGAGGACTAAGATCGAAAACCCCCAATAATCTAGCCAAAAATCAACCTGATCTATTGGCATTCCTCAATTCAGTCGAACTAAAAACGTATAACCCCAATACAGATCTCGAAATTACCATTTTACAATTCAAATTTGAAAGGAAGCTACGAATTTCATTAGATCGGTAAAGCACTGAGATATTGAGAACCTTTTTGGAAGAGCAAAGATCGATGGCGAAGACGACGACACCGTTACTAATCTCTCTCTCTCTCCTCTGTCTCTAGCCAACGAAAGTAGATATGAAAAAAAAGAAACGTTTGACGTTACAAATAATCGGTTTTATCTGGTTTATTATAATGTCTTTGACATCTTCGGTTTGTTTTGGTTTGATGGAGTTTTCTGAAAAACCGGTCTGTCTCAAACCCAAACCCTTATCTTAAAGACGAAGATCCTCTTGACTTAGCGAGAAGTAGTCGAATCCGGCGGTGTAAAAACACTCTGGATAATCTAACGGTGAATAGGTAACTTTGGTAGGTGGGTGTTTTAATGTATCAACGGCGGCGATGCGTGTAGAAGAAGACGAGAAAGAGAGAGAGAGAGATAAAAGAGAAATCTCTTTGGTTTCGTCTTCTCTTCGCTTCGCTCTTCCTATCTCTTTCCCCAGTCGGGCCGACCATTAAAAGAGTCTCTCGCTTTCTCGCACTTTCTCCTTCCAAAGGCCATAGACGGTGAAAAAAACTAAAACCCTTTTCTTTTCTACACTCTCTTCGTCATTTATTTTGTTGGGGGTTTTGTGTTTCACTGAAGAAGCTTAGGTTTCTGTTTCCCTCTCGTGTTTAACATTTGAAGGTGGATTAGTTTCGTGTGTTTTGGTTTGTTTCATTTTGAGCTTTATGAATCTGGGGTACTCTGCATTTGCTTGTATTGATTTGAAAAATGGTTACTTTGAGATTAGGGCTGTGTATTCGCGTATAGATTTTGCTTAAAGATGAATGCTTGTTTGGTCGTTTTTTTTCAATTGTCTTGGTAGTGAAAGAGACTTTGCCATTTTGGTTGCATCTCGCTCATTATGCTTTGAAGATAAGAAACAAAGCTCAGGCTTTGTGATACTGTTCTGCTCTTAGTTGGTGAATTGAGATGGTGCATTTATGTGACTGAGCTCATTCTGTAAATTTTGTTTAAGAGGATTAGCTTGAAGTCTCTCTGTATATCTAAAAGGATTAACTTTTTCTGTAAATGTGTCTACCTTTTCATTTACCATTTCTATAATAGAGCGAGAACTAATCATTTACCATTTCCCATTGCAGCCTACAAAACTGCATTATGGCTAGGCTATTGGCTTACTGTACAGCCGGTCCTCTACTTGGTCCCAGAAGACATGTTCAGTCCGAAGAATACAGAAAACCAAGAAGGTCTGTGAAGATGATGTGCAGTTTGCAAGCACCTGTTCTGAGAATCCAGAGCTTCACAGGGCTAAGAGCTTCCAGTGCGTTGGATTTTACGGCAAGGCCTAGTCAAGGTTTCGTTTCTGTGGTCAACCGTTCGATCTCATCGAGGAAAGGGAGAGCTAGCCGATGTGTAACAAAGGCCATGTTTGAGAAGTTCACCGAGAAAGCAATCAAGGTGATAATGCTGTCTCAAGAGGAAGCTCGGAGACTTGGCCATAACTTTGTTGGGACTGAGCAAATACTGTTGGGTCTAATTGGGGAAGGCACTGGAATCGCTGCAAAGGTTCTTAAGTCCATGGGGATCAATCTTAAAGACTCTCGTGTAGAGGTGGAGAAGATCATTGGAAGAGGCAGTGGATTTGTGGCAGTGGAGATCCCGTTTACTCCTCGTGCAAAGCGAGTCCTTGAGTTGTCACTAGAGGAAGCTCGATCACTAGGTAAGGATTAGTTTTCTGTTTATTAGTGTTTAGGCTTGGAGACTTTTATATGCTGTCTACTGCATAAGATTTCTGGACTAATGATATGAATTTGGTAACTTTCTGTTAGGGCACAACTACATTGGGACAGAGCATCTTGTGCTTGGTCTTCTTCGTGAAGGGGAAGGAGTTGCAGCTCGTGTCTTGGAGAATATGGGTGTAGATCCTGTTAACATCCGGACGCAGGTAATTGCAACAATTCTGAATTTTCACAATCAGTTGTCGTGTGTTAGGAAACCATTTCCTGATTGCATTTTGAGTATTATTTCTCAGGTCATTCGTATGGTTGGAGAAAACAATGAAGTGACAGCAAACGTTGGTGGAGGAACCAGCGGGAACAACAGCAAAATGCCAACACTAGAAGAATATGGGACAAACTTAACTAAACTAGCAGAGGAGGTAATAAAATGGCTTACTCATCTTGAAGAAAGTGTCATGTTTAGTACTTGAAAGCTTCTGCTGAAGTTTTTTTGGTTTTCACTTTCTGTTGCAGGGTAAACTTGATCCAGTAGTTGGAAGGCAGCCACAGATAGAAAGAGTAGTTCAGATCTTGGCTCGAAGAACCAAGAACAATCCTTGTCTTATTGGCGAGCCTGGTGTTGGTAAGACTGCAATTGCTGAAGGACTCGCTCAGAGAATTGCCAGCGGTGATGTTCCTGAAACCATTGAGGGGAAGACGGTAAAGTTCTCTCATTGGATCATTTATAATGTTCTTAAGATGCTGGGAAGAGTGTATGTATCAATGTTTAAAAGTATTGACCTTTACACTGTTTTTGTTCTTGTGTGTCAGGTTATAACCCTTGATATGGGTCTTCTAGTGGCTGGAACGAAGTATCGTGGAGAATTTGAGGAGAGACTGAAGAAGCTTATGGAGGAGATCAGGCAAAGTGATGACATCATTTTGTTTATCGATGAGGTGCACACTCTGATCGGTGCAGGAGCAGCAGAAGGTGCGATCGATGCTGCTAACATCTTAAAGCCAGCTCTTGCAAGAGGTGAATTGCAGGTAAAATGTTTCTCATACTTTTAATTGGTCTAATGATGTCAAAATGTCAAATATAAGAGATCCGGAAGCTCAAGTTCTCAAGAGATGTTCTTTCTTTTGTTTGTTTTCACGGTTGTAGTGTATTGGTGCAACGACCTTAGATGAATATAGGAAACACATCGAGAAAGATCCTGCACTGGAAAGACGTTTTCAGCCTGTGAAAGTACCTGAACCGACAGTAGACGAATGTATACAGATCTTACATGGTCTCCGTGAGCGGTACGAGATCCACCACAAGCTTCGGTACACGGACGAAGCTTTGGTTGCTGCTGCACAGTTGTCACACCAATACATCAGGCAAGAACCTCTTTTTTGTTTTTAGTCTTTCACCAAGTTGCACCATTAGCACTAACCAGTTTCTTTCTATTGAATTTTTTAGTGATCGGTTTCTTCCCGATAAGGCCATCGATTTGATTGATGAAGCTGGATCTCGGGTTCGGCTACGCCATGCTCAGGTTCATAATGCTTTGCTTGTATCTCGCGTTTACAGAAAAAATACTTTTACATCTATATTTGAGCTGATTCGGAATGGAATTTTTGTTTGTTTAGATCCCTGAGGAAGCTAGAGAGCTTGAAAAGCAGCTGAGACAGATCACCAAAGAGAAGAACGAAGCTGTGCGAGGCCAAGACTTTGAGAAGGTATCGTCTTGTAGTTATTCTCTTACTGTCTATAAACCCAAGATAAGTATTAACAATGTTCTTCTTCGACTTCGACAGGCTGGTTCTCTTCGTGACCGTGAAATAGAGCTCAGGGCCGAGATTTCTTCTGTGTTGGCAAAAGGCAAAGAACAGAGCAAAGCCGAGGATGAAGCTGAAGAAGGAGGACCCATGGTGACGGAATCTGACATCCAACACATTGTCTCCACCTGGACTGGTATCCCCGTAGAGAAAGTCTCGTCTGATGAGTCTAGCCGTCTTCTCAAAATGGAGCAGACCCTTCACACCAGAGTCATTGGCCAAGACGAAGCCGTCAAAGCCATTAGCAGAGCCATCCGTCGTGCACGTGTTGGACTCAAGAACCCGAACCGTCCGATAGCAAGTTTCATCTTCTCTGGTCCAACCGGTGTGGGGAAATCAGAGCTTGCCAAGGCCTTGGCTGCTTACTATTTCGGTTCGGAAGAAGCAATGATCCGTCTCGACATGAGTGAGTTCATGGAACGTCACACGGTTTCAAAGCTCATTGGTTCACCTCCTGGTTACGTGGGGTACACAGAAGGAGGTCAGTTAACCGAGGCGGTTCGACGCAGGCCTTACACGCTCGTCTTGTTCGATGAAATCGAGAAAGCACATCCGGATGTTTTCAACATGATGCTTCAGATACTAGAAGATGGGAGACTAACTGACAGCAAAGGAAGAACGGTGGATTTCAAGAACACGCTTCTGATCATGACTTCAAACGTAGGAAGCAGTGTGATCGAAAAGGGTGGCAGAAGAATCGGGTTTGATCTTGACTACGACGAGAAAGACAGCAGCTACAACAGAATCAAGAGCTTGGTGACTGAGGAGCTAAAACAGTATTTCAGACCGGAGTTCTTGAACAGGCTAGATGAGATGATTGTGTTCAGGCAGTTGACGAAGCTGGAAGTGAAGGAGATCGCTGATATTATGCTGAGAGAAGTGGTGGTGAGGCTGAAGGACAAGGAGATTGAGCTTCAAGTGACAGAGAGATTTAAGGAGAGAGTTGTTGATGAAGGATTTGATCCGAGTTATGGAGCGAGGCCGCTGAGACGAGCGATTATGAGGCTTTTGGAAGATAGCATGGCTGAGAAGATGCTCTCGAGGGAAATTAAAGATGGAGACTCTGTGATTGTTGATGTTGATGCTGAAGGAAGTGTGGTTGTGTTGAATGGTAACAGTGGAAGTCGTGATGGTTTTATTGCTGAAGAAGGCTTCTTGGAAGAAGATCCAATTCCTGTCTTGTAGACGTAATCAAAGGTTTCTACTATCTAGAGAGAGGTTTTCTTTTCTTATTGGAAAACAAGTGTTGTTGAATTGAGTCTCGTTCGATTCGATTTTTGTTTCTGGATATTGATTCTTGGGAGTCTTAGAAGATTTTCCCACAAAAAAATGGAGTTATTGCAGTCTTTTCTCGTTTCTCGAAACCTGTTGGACTTGAATTGCGAAAATTTAGAAAAGCTTACATGGTCAAGTGTGGAAAGGGGAAAACAACAATGGCACGCATAGATTCTTTCGTGAAACTTACATGAAGAGAAAATGTACAAAACGAAAATTTCATCTACCAAAGAGAGGAAGAGACAACAATATATGAGAGACGAAAGACTTCTACTATGAATCAGCATCGAGATCGTGGTTCGAAGGAGAAGAAGTGGGAGATGGAAGCTGATCGATTTCTCTTCGAGAAGCTTCCCATAACTGTTGCTCTATTCCCAGTTTCCTTAGCTCTATTAAGCCTCTTTCCACTGAAGACGAGCCAAAATGGAAAACGTTAGTTTATCAGATATTCACCTCTAAAGCTTTTATGAAATGGCTTAACTCTGATCTTACCATCCAAGGAATCGTGAGAAGTCGGAGATTTCCCGTTGCTACGGCTGATCCATAACTGGACACGTTCTTCCGCGATATCTTCTTCCACACCGTGTAACTTAGCTCTGCCCCAGAAGTACATCAGCCACGCCTGCATTATGTAATTGAAGGAATCAAAACGATGTTTTTAACTGAAACTCAGAAGCGAGCGAATATCTACATTGTTTGGACTTGTAAGTTCCGGTAGCTCTACATCGTCTTTCTAGTTAGAGACAAAACCACAATCAACTAATTGAGGTGGCTACTTAAAGTACCTGCTTAAAGGCAACATCTTCTTGTTCCGCTTCACCCAGTTCTGCATTCAAAACAACAATGAGCACACTGTAAAAACATTTCACGATTTCGATGATGACGTAGACATATGATGATAGTATGTGTAGGCGGAAAGATAAAATTTTTAAACCAAAGACAACACTTTTAGGTAGGCGGCATCAATGGTCCTATCACTAAACAGGTTATGAGTTTTCAGGTTCTTATTTACTCGACCACGTTATCTACTAAATCAACAGGTCACACACTATGTCAAAGACTAAGCGGATATGGCTCATCCAAGCTGGTCACGGTCAACCTCGAGAACCTCTATGTTGGGGTGGTATACAAAGTGAAGAAAAAAGAAAGAAAAAGGCCTTCTCTTACCATATGCATCTATAAATTTGGATTCTCCATGACCCCTGGAATCTGAAAGATAGAGGAAAACAAAAGATTTAACAGTATCTTTTAGTTATGCAGGATGCCAAGAAAATTACTGCACAAGTCTAGAGGTGACCAGGTAACTCTAGAGACATGTCAAGCGAACAAAAACGAATACATGTCCTATTTGAAGCAGATACAGGAAGAGACAGTCATTCAAGGCGCAGCTTAGTTATTAAGAGCTTAAAGGTGTTAAGTATCAGACAGAATGGTCATCCGCCATTTAAACATTCTAAGTACAGAAGCGAACGAAAGGTAAAACATATTTTTCATTGTGAATTAGCCTGAAGTTAAAAGCTCGAAATTATATATATACCAGAAATTGTTGGACGAATTAAACTTGGTTTTCTCTGCTGGGAGAATCCGAGCATAATAGCATCCTCAACCTGAGTTTTAGAAGAGAGAAGAGGATATGAAAACCTTGTCGTTAGAGATCTATGCTAGGTGAAAACACTTCTAGGTAACTCAGAAACAAGAGTGGACACCTTTAATGACGCTAGCTCTCTCAAACCCATCTCAACTGAAAGCATGCTTTCAATGTTTCCTTCTCCAGTAAGATCATTCAAATCTCTAGCAGTCTTACTCCGGTCATTCCCACCTGCGTTATTTTATATGTTGGTTATATTTTTTTCTGCAATCAACAGTAAAGTAAGAAAACTTTAACATGACGAGCCTTTATCCCAGGACAAGTCTTTGGCCTTCTGTGCTGCGGAAGTGACGAGCTCAAATGGAAGAGGAGCTAATGCCGACCACTGCTCATGTCTGGACGGTGCTATATCCGCATAGATGCCTACAGAGGTACAACATGGGAAAAAGCAAATATATGTGAACTTAATGAATAACTACCATACCAAAAAATATGTGTCTTTCCATACAATTAGAGGAAAACAAAAAGTGTATTTCAAGAAATTTTCTCAAGTTCAGAATATAACTTCTTTTGTCCAGGAATGGATGAATCACGTACCATGTTGCACAGCCAAACCCCAATACCGGGCAAGCCAGCATCTCTTCAGGACTACTTCTTCCTAGATGATTCAATATACCATAAGTTAAGAAACTTATAAATGATTAGTAGATAACCCGACCCAAGCTTCAACTACAAACCATTTCGTCCTGTGTTAAAATCATCCTTTGAGTCATTGTACGAAGTGACTTCGCTTCAGACTCTGCTTCTTGAAGCTGTTCTGCAGCAGTTGTAGCCTCGTCTTTCAAGCTCTAAACATAAAAGGGAAAAAATAAGACATGGTTTCATCATGCAAATAAAAGTGGTGCATCTAATGGAAACCAGTACATCAGTGTACCTTACCTCAAGTTCTGAACGTAGGGAAACAATTTCCTCATCCTTCCCATTCTTTTTCTGTTTAGCTGCATTTAGGGCAGCCTGTGAAAGGTAAAATTCTGCACAGCTTAAATTGTATGTTTTACATAAAGCGTACATCTAAGACTTTGATATAAAATCAGAATGGTGGAGAAAGAGACTCAACTAAAGAGAAGACTAAAATCTGAACGGAAAATACAGTAAGTGTACGTTAATCTTGTTCACACTAACCTCTCTTTGACGCAATGCAGCTTCCTTCCTATAGAAAGACACAATTCAATCGTTATTCTGGAAAAGAGCAGAAAAAAGAGAACCAAAAGAAGGCACAGGCTCTTACCTGCTTAACAATTTCGCCTCAAGAGACACTCCTTCTCCAAGAGAGGCAACCTTTTAGGAAAAAAAATAAAACAAATGAAGCCTTGTACAAATGCCAATGCTTAAATACATGCGATTCGAAGTGAAATTTCTATAAAAAAGCATATCACTAAATCTGCATGTGCTAAACACATAAGAATAAAACCAGTCCATCTATAGATGTGTTGATCTAAAAATAGTCTATATAACCACAACGAGTCTCACTAAACCTGTTTATGCTAGATATTAGCCAGAGTATATGTTCATAGCATTTGTATACACTGCGTGATATTCACATTCTCTCCATTAAACAAACCTAAAGATGCATCTAAAGCAACGAGGCAGGAGGATGCATCAACAAGATAACGGTAGCTGACTTGAGTTTTATAAATATTTTCAGCAAACAGATGTAAACAAGTGAAGAATCTTTTCCCATTGAACTTCTACAAGCCAAATCAGTATAAAGAATAGGTACTAGTCATAGTCAAGAGAAGTGGTTCAAAAACCTGTTTCTCGAGCTCCTTAGCCCTAGCTTCTGCTTCCACCCTTTTTTCTTCCGCACGACGAAGCTGTAATAATGAATAGATATTACGCACAACGTAGCTGAATAGCTTTATTGTTAAAAATAAGCTTCTATGACAGACATCGAACCTTCTCCAGTACAGTCTCATTCTCCTCTTGTAGCATATCCAGCTGCAGTTCAAATTGAATCAGGCTTTGGTAAAATCTTCCGTCACATTTGACTTTAATTTCCAATATGTGAATACAAGGTGAATTGACCAGATACCCCAAAGGTTAAAAGAAAACATCACATACTTCATCACGAAGAGCTGAAGCTGCTCGCTGATCACCCTTTTCTTTTGAATTTACTGATGGTAAATCAGCAAAGAACCTAAAACACGTAAATATCCGGAATAAGACGCAAGCAGCAAAACCAAAACCAGCGACAATCACTATCTCTTTGAGCAAGGAGCCCCCATTCACTTCCCATTTCTCATGAATCTCTATAACAAGCTTTGTTCTTAGGCTTTGAGGACAAAATATTTAGTAAAGGAAAAAGCATATTATATCTTAACTCCAAAGAACTAACCAAACTATTTTGACACATTCCACATTTTCACGTAACTACCAAGATTTGAGACCTGAATAAGAAGGAACGACTGTTCAGAACTTCAAAATGAAAATGCAACAACATTTATACCTTTTATCTCGGGTCTTAGTTGGAGGATCAAGTGGAGGAATAGGATTCTGAGCTTTCACCGACACCCTGCTAGGCGGCATTAAGTTAGTAATTGGAGTCGGAGTCGTGGATCTAGCAGACACCGACGGCCTTCCGGCCGAAGCAGAACGCACTGAGGGCACTTGCTCGGCGAAGTTCCTGCCTAACTAATTAAAGCATAAAAAGAAACTAATTAGCCCTAAAGAACCACATTCACCTCAGCTACAGAAGCCAAGCTCATTTCATAATCAAATCGAGCTGATCTGAGCTAATTCTAGAAGCTGGGATACGGAATTCACCGAAGGCGACGGCGATCTAGTGCGGGGAGCGAAGGAAACAGCCGGCAAATTACTGTTTCCGTTGCTGCTGCTATTGCTTCCAGTGGAGGAAAGAGAGGAAGGTGCATGTCGAGCAGGTTTCAGAGCAGGAGATGCAAATCTGAGGCTTAGATCTTCGTCCTCATCTTCATCATCTTCGTCCCCGTTGTCTTTGTTCTGCATAGCCATGACCTTAGCTAGTCGCTGGGCCGCCGCTTTGGCAGCTACGTTTTGAGTCCGCTTGACGGTGGAGAAACCTCCGACACCTCCGAGCTGCTTCCGGTGAGCAGGAGACATCGCCGGAGACGTCGATTCCGTACTGTTCGATGTTTCGCTCCACTGGCGACCATAAACCGGGCTCCCCGCCCTCCTCCGATCCATAATTTGATTTAGTGAAGTTACGAAGTTAGCCGGATGAAATTGCAGTACTCAAAACGAACGAGCACAAAGAAGGTGAGCCAGAGAAAAAGGAATTTCTCGGGAGAAAATGTAGATTTTCTCGAGAAAGAGAGAAAAAAACGGAAGGAAAGAGAAAACGTTCGGTGAGAGATTTGGAGAAAAAGTATTGAAATAATAGAGACGACGAAACGACACCGTTTGCCCCGGAGAAGAAACACATGCGCGTCTCGCGGGAGAACAAGTGACCTGGCCACCGTGGCCTGTAGGACCCAGAGGAGTCAAGTTTTAATGGATTTTTTCTGTTTCATATAATTTCATATCAATTATTTAATGTGAATTCAAAGGCAAGTATGATCTACAGTTGATTAAAATCATTATTGAATCTGTCAACTTAATCTGCGTACCATAAATACAAAAGATACTGTTTATGTTGTAATTAAATCATCATGTAACTAGGAAATGTCGTATTAGGCGAATTTTTATTCAACTGACAAAATAAAATATTTTTATCATACAGTATATAGTAGGGATCCCTATAAAGTATAAACGACTATTCAGTGCAAATGCGAATAACCTTGTTGACAAGCAAAGAGTCGTGATAAACCAGTATTTGAAGGTTGTGACGTCAAAAGATGCAAAATGGTGAGGGGTTTATATGACATTTCATGACGAAACTCAGCATCTATAAATGCCGATTGAGAGACATTTCTCGCATTCCAAAAACACATTTCTCTCCGGAAAAAGAAAAGTCAAAACCATCAGAAGAATCTTCTTCTCTTCTCCTCTCCTGAAATGTCGGACTCGAGCGACTCATGCAGATCCTTGATCCCGAGCCTCCTATACTCTTCCGATCATCGTCTATTTCAGTCGCCGGAGCCAGCAACAAGCATGATGATGCAGCTGAAATCACGGCCGTTGATTTCTCCGAGTTCTTCTTCAGTCTCATCGAACGGTCCCGGTTTCTTGATTGCGACGCCGAATGAGAAAGTAGAAATGTACTCGCCGGCGTATTACGCAGCGTGTACCGTCGGGGGGATGTTGAGCTGCGGCGTCACCCACACGGCGGTTACGCCCCTCGATGTCATCAAATGTAATATGCAGGTCAAGTTCCAACCAAACTGTATTTCTCTTCTTTAGCTTAAATTCGTATTAATATCTTCGAGCGTTCTTCGAAGACTAAGCATTTTGGCGGGTAAATATATGCCCAAAACACTTGTAAAATCTGACAACGGTAAAAAAATAAGAAATACATATTTGCAAGTGTTCTGAAATTTTTAATCTGAACTTATGGAAATTTTTGCTCCATTGTGTTTTTCTTTTTGATCCCACTTTTGAATCTATATTACCATTTATGCTACTTTACACCTACTGTCAACTTTTAGAGTTACTTGTTTTACACGGCGTCAACTCTTCAACTATGTTGGAGACTTTTCAGTCTCGTGCATGATTTGATTATGTGAAATCAAAGAGAATCTGAGCTTCAAAATTAAAAAGCTGATCCTCCACGAATTTACACACTAAAACCCTTCAAATTTTGTTGTTTAACTATTTCAGATTGATCCAACAAAGTACAAGAACATAACTTCAGCTTTCAAGACAACAATCAAAGAACAAGGGCTCAAAGGTTTCACCACAGGCTGGTCACCAACACTCATCGGATACAGTGCACAGGGAGCGTTTAAATACGGTCTTTACGAGTACGCCAAGAAATACTACTCAAACATTGTTGGACCAGAATACGCAGCTAAATACAAGACCTTGATCTACCTCGCTGGCTCGGCCTCTGCTGAAATCGTCGCCGATGTTGCTCTCTGTCCAATGGAAGCTGTCAAAGTCAGGGTCCAGACTCAGCCCGGTTTCGCCCGCGGCTTATCTGATGGTTTGCCAAAGATCATTAGATCGGAAGGCGTTCGAGGGTTATACAAAGGAATCGTTCCTCTCTGGGGACGCCAGATTCCATGTAAGTCTCTATCCTTACTAAAATGTAGTCTCATGATGATGTCAGTTACAAAAGTTTAAGGTTTTGGCAGATACGATGATGAAGTTTGCTACTTTTGAGAACACTGTGGAGCTCATATACAAGAAAGTGATGCCTACCCCAAAAGAAGAGTGCTCGAAGCCTGTTCAGCTCGGTGTTAGCTTCGCCGGTGGATACATTGCTGGAATTTTCTGCGCCGTCATCTCTCACCCTGCTGATAACTTGGTCTCTTTCCTCAATAACTCTAAAGGAGCCACTGTTGCTGATGTAAGCGAAAACTCTTACACAAAATTCATACTTTACACCAGAAAAGTGCTTATAGCTGCTAATGACTTGAGTTTGATTGTTTCACAGGCAGTAAAGAGGCTAGGGTTATTGGGGATGCTTACACGTGGCCTTCCTCTTCGCATTTTCATGATCGGGACACTCACTGGAGCACAATGGGTTATCTATGATGCTGTCAAAGTTTTAGCTGGATTGTAAGTTTTCTTCGCCTGCACTTAAAGAGATATTCTCATCAGTCCTCAAATCATTTAAGAACAAACATATGAGAAACACTCATTAACTACTTATAATTTTCTCACTTTCTTAGGCCAACAACTGGTGGTGCTTCTCCAGCTACTGCACTTGCTCCAGCTGTAAGTGCATAAAACTACAAGGACTTTCCTCACAAAGACGTCACACTAAAGCAATAAAAGGGAAACAAAACTCGCAATGATTATTCTTATTTTGCTTCTATCTTGTAATGTAACAAATATAGTGTTCCCTGCATCTAGCTGTTTTGTTCTACTTCTACATATGAAAGTCATTGACTCGATAAAGTAAACGTAAATTTTCCTTTGCTTTCTACCGTATCTCAGTTTTCTACAACTCTTGAGATGGGTATAATGGAAAGACTGTGTCAAAAACAACCCGAGTAATTACATGTCTAACTTCTGCGAGGTCTCCTTGAGATAATAAAGTATCGTCAATTTTACTGTCTTGCTTGGGCACAAAAACCTTCTGCGGATTTTCTTTAACACACTCGAATATTCTTCTTGCATTTAGATACAATTCCAACGGTATGAAAACCTATAAGAAAAAGGCCAACAGTAAGACAGAATTAGGACAGAGCTAGCCGAGCAAATCTTGTTACTAATCTCAAACCAAAAGATCTATATCCTGAAGAATTTGCATCTGCGTGTGTCTCAATGGAAGAAGTAGGAGTGATTACCATGTTGGAAGATGGGGCCTGAGGGTACGCGGACATAGCCTTGGAAACAAACCGCGCATCGGTCATCTGTCCCAAGGCTTCTTTGATAGCCACATCAAAAGCCATGACCTCATCCAATAAGGTTTGAGAGTCCAGTTCCTCTGGCTCTAGTAGCTCGAAGAAGCTTCGATTATGAGGTTTTGTGATTTTCATGGTGATTTTTACAGCTTCTACAACGTCTCCACCATTGTGGACAGCAAGGCTGAACGCAGCAACCACTGAAGGATGTCGAGGTTGGTCAGCAAGCGCTTTGTGAAGAGCCAAGATTGCTAACCTGCAAATTCCACAGATATTGTAGGGTATAAAATTACAATGCTATCTTCCACTGTATATAATAAGGATTGAGGATAGTATGAGGACTCTACCATAAGCTGCTGTGGCAAGGTCTATCCGGAGCCAACAATTTATCCAAATTGGCGAAGAGAGACTGCATGGTGAAATGTTAATTATAAGTAAAGCAATAGACATTTCTCTCTGACGAATATCGCAAAATGTGAATCTGCATATTACCAGAAGCATGTTAGTCCTTTTGTCGCGTCTCTTGAAACCACTTTGAACGAGATATGCTGCCTGTGAATATTGAAGTTAGATAGACGCAAAGATGCGATTAACAGATCAAGGCACAAACAAGATACTAGTGAAAAATCACTAACCTGGATTGGTAAAAGAATTTCAAGTATGCCAAATTTCCACAACAATCTTAAAGAAGCTTCTGCTGATCCATATGCTAACATGTAATTTACTTCCATCAAGATTCTTCCCTACGCATTTTCACGCAGAGTAAGATGAACAAGATGTAATACAAAAGTGAAGAAATTACATCTTAGTGGAGAAAAAGCAATAACGTAAGACTACCCTGTGGAGTCTTTGTATTAGGAAGGAAAGGTTCTTCAAGAAATGAGCCGTTTCCTTGGAAATTGTGAAACCTAAACGCGCAGCAATTCTTGTCCCACGAAGAATCCGAGCTGGAAATTTCATAAATGATAAGCACTGATAAGCTTCTAATAGATAGACTCTTAACGGTATTCATACACGAATTTGTTATTTTTCTAGACTCGGAAGTGTGTTTGTAGAAGAATCTGAGCTGAAATTGTTACATAAAGTCACAAACTCACCACAGTCCTCTTGAAAAGACGTGCCAGCATGAAAGACCGTCCGGACCTGTGAGCAAAGAGCCACACTGAGAACAAAGTTATGTGTAAATAATTTCACGGAAAACAGGTAAAACAGATTACATTCACACCTTAGCTTTTCTAATGTCTTCTAATCCCCCAAGATAGTCATATATGATCTTGGCATATGGATCATACATCAACCTGAGATTAAAGCAACAATATAAACGTATTAAGAAATGTAACAAGAGAGACTATAAGATCTTCAGAATAGTAATGAACTAGGATGCAACAGAGAAAAGGAAGAACTAGTTCCTTTCTCTGTTTCAAAAAATATGACAAAAAACGAGTATAGGAGATCTTTCAGGGATTAATAAGTTACCCATTAATTGTGAAATCACGCTGCAAGCAATTGTTCAAACGGATACAGTCCTCATCATAGGAGCCACTGGATTTTCCAGATTTAGTTCTCATGCTTCTTGGTGAATTTCGTGCAGAGGTGCTAAAACTTGAAACCTACTAAAAAAGAACATAAAGGAATTTAAAGAGAGTGCAAAAAAAAAGTATTAGTAAACCGAAAAGAAAATCTTTAATTAGAAACACAAACCTCTATAAGATCATTCCCAATGTGCACATGACATATAGGAAATCTTCTTCCAACAATTTCACATCTTGAGAAAGTCCGAGCAACCTAAAACACATTACCAACGTCAAAGGTAAAATCATTTATGAAAATCAGATTAAGATAATGTTCAAGAGATGACTTATAGATTGTAACCTCTATAAGTTCAGCAGAAGTGAGTAGATCGAAGTCTTTTGGTGTCCGCTTCAAAATAAGATCTCGTACACAGCCTCCCACAAGGTAAACGTCATGTCCTGCACAAAAGAAAACAAATTTCAAAATCCAGCAAGAGATAGAAAGGTTGAAGAAATCATTGACATTTTCACCATTAGATTCTATCAGAAGATAAAAATTATTAACCTTTACTCTTGAGACCATTTAGCACTTGTCGTGTTGGCTTTGAAATCATAGAACTGGTTATCCCAAGGTCTTTCGAATTCAGTTTCTTCCACTCTGGTGCTTTACCTTTCAATACAATTACCCAAAATTTACCAAAACATCAAATCAAACTTATAAGATAACCGTAGACTAAGAATTACATGTTTATGCAACTGTTTGACATAATAACTGAAAATGGAGTATTGAGTCCGATTCTATCATTACTCAGTAAATTTACATAAAATGGAAGAAAAAAGAACCAAAATTTTCGATTAGTCTTTCAAACTATTGATGTAACTTACTCGTTTTATCAGAATCATCCTTGTCATGATGATCACTATCCTTTTCATCCGCCGTCTCAATTGCAGCAGCAGAAACAGTGTTGAACCGAACCTGAAAGCGGATCAACAGATTTTCAGAGAAAAGGAAAAGGAAATTCGAATATACGAATTAGAAAGCCATAATTGTAAATGTCTATTCATATAACTAAGAACCACCTTCGAGAAGCAGTAAAACAGGGGACGAACAGAAAAATGGGATCTGCAAGCGAAACCCAGAGTTAAAACCGCCATGGAAATCGAAAAGGTTCAACATTTCATCATGGGTCTTTAAGCTTGTCAAGCTGCTTCAATGGAGTTTAGGTAGCAGATACGTATTTGGGTTTACAGAGATGTGAGGGTTTTTGAACATTTGAGAATGAAAAAGGAAAGGGTTTAAGTGCCACGTGGTCAGTTGTTCTTTGATTTTTAATGATGCCGTTTTCATGTTACTCATGAAAACATCTTGGCGTTCTGACGTGTCTATTTTTTACTATCCTGCTGTTTTTTAAGCATCTTTAATCACCTACGCAGCGTTTTGTTTAGTGTAAAAACTATTTGCCGTCTCGCACTCCGAAACGGGGACTACACGCTGTTTTCAACAATGTTCATTGTCTGAGACTCCGCAGATCGGAAGTTTCGCGGAGTTCCATCAATGGATCAAAGAAATTCACATCGTCTCCCGAAACAATCGAAGCTGAAACTTGCTGGGGAATCGATGAAGGTCTTGAAACTGATATTCATATTAGCTCTAACTACTGGAATCTCTGCTGTTCTCATCTACATTATCGGCGTATCAAATCTCTGTAAGTACACTCCACCGTTGTCCCAGTGTATAGGCTTTGAAGTGTAGTCATTTCTGAAGTATAGCGATGATTAATGATAAAGAAGATGATTCCGTGGATTTAGACGAGTCTAATCGGCTTGGAAATGAAGATTTAGAGGCGTTGCAGTCCCTGCAGAGCGGATTCCAGAAGTGCGTAGTAAGTAAAATCCGATTTTTAGAGATCTATTTCGCTTGTTATCAATGAGCATAAGCCACTCGAAATGGCCTATTGATCCATTTAGAGTTAAATTTTACTTCTGAATCTGGAGATTAGTTGTTTAGAACTGATCCAGTTTAGTGCACTGTTACTGAAAATGACTTGTATCGATTCTAATCGGAACCTACAGACGCTCACCACTACGTGTTGCTTAGGTTTAGTTGTTGATCAATGATGCAAATTTAGGTCCTGACTTGAGATTTCATCTTCAGTCAAAAACTTTTAGTTGTTGTATTGCTGTTCGTATGTATATGCTTTTCGGTGATGTAAAATCAAGAGTTTATTTGGTGTGTACTATGGTAATTATGCAGAGTGCAAATGGATTGGGACTACAAGCTGCTACTGGTAGAGATTACTGCCAAGTCTCGATAAACTTCCCCAAAGATACTGTGCCCAAATGGGTAAATGCTCTCTTCTGACTACGATAAACTTCCCCAAAGATACAAATGCTCTCTCAGTCTGATTGCATTGGCAGAGTTAAGCCTGTCATAAGCTTTATCTTAGTGTCTAGCAAAATGGTATATTGAATATTTGTATTCTACCTTGATTATGTCCAAAAACAGAAAGATCCCAAGTCTGGGGAGCTTGAAGGACTTTCATATGAGTTTAACCTGTGCGAAGCGGTAGCTACATGGGAACAAGTGGGTGTTGCATTTCTTAAAGTCTGTGTAAACTTTCAGTTCATATAATACAGTGATGGGTTAACTGGCGAGTTGGTTGACCAGGTCAGGAATAGCTCTACGATACTTACCAAGGAATATATTGATGCCTTACCAAATGGATGGGAGGATTATGCATGGCGCAGAATCAATAAGGGAATACAACTGTAAGAATTTGACTAACATTAAACAAGGAATACAGTGTAAAATGATGTGCTGTTTTCTTCCTTTTTTTTGGTCTTAATGGAACTCGCACTCTGGTGCAGTAATCGTTGCCAGAATAAATCTTTATGCATGGAGAAGCTTTCATTGGTGCTCCCTGAAACACCACCATATTTTCCCCGGCAGTTTGAGCGATGTGCTGTTATTGGGAACTCTGGTGATCTTTTAAAAACAAAGTTCGGAAAGGAGATAGATACTTATGATGCAGTTCTTAGAGAAAACGGCGCTCCCATTCAGGTTAATTATGAGTTCGTTTACTAACTTCCAATTCTTTTATTCTCTCTGTAGTCTCACTTATCTTCATTTGTTTTTTTTCAAATACTTGCAGAACTACAAGGAATATGTGGGAGAGAAAAGTACATTCCGTCTTCTTAATCGAGGGTCAGCAAAAGCCCTTGACAAAGTTGTGGAGTTGGATGGTACTAGATATTTGTTTTCCTCCTTCATGATTATCGTCGCCGTTGTTTCTCTTTTTCTTCTTCATTATTGCAACTAGATACTCCACTCTCTCTGATCCTTCTAAATTATGCAGAAACAAAACAGGAGGTCTTGCTAGTAAAAACAACAGTTCATGACATTATGAACAAGATGATTCGGGTTTGTACACTATTCACTTAACTTCCCCATAATTTTAGTTTTGAATATTTGTATGTTTTCCGAACTCATTTGAGGATTCTTGTTTCTCTGCAGGAAGTTCCAATAAAAAATCCAGTGTACTTGATGCTTGGTGCTTCATTTGGCTCAGCAGCCAAAGGAACTGGGCTCAAGGCACTTGAATTTGCTCTCTCGACCTGTGATTCAGTGGATATGTATGGTTTCACTGTGGACCCAGGTTATAAAGAGTGGTATGAAGTCTACCTATATTTGTTTTGTCTAGATGTCTACTTCTTAAGCATGTTTTAGTTTGACAGTTATCTCTTGCAATATTCGTTCAGGACTAGATATTTTTCAGAATCGCGCCAAGGACACACTCCTTTGCATGGTAGAGCTTACTACCAAATGATGGAATGCTTGGGTGTAAGTCTCTGGTTTCTCGTTTTTCTTCATTTTCCACTTATCTGGATAAGTTTTCCCTTCAAGCTTTTGGGTTTTGACTTGGTTCTCTTCTTTTGTTAGCTCATTAAAATACACTCTCCCATGAGAGCTGATCCAAACCGAGTCGTGAAATGGGTGCCAAGCCGCAACACAATTAGATCCGCAAGAATTGCAGCAGAAAAGCTCTTAAGGTAATCAAATTCATCTTCTTTCTTCTGCGCACATAATCTGCCTTTAAAACATATCATTTCTCTAAAATACACATTCAACGTGCAGGAGAGTTGGAGCAGGATCTGCAGACCCATTAGCTTCATGCTCGATAGTAAAGAAGAGAAGCAAAAACAATCGTCCACCAGAAGTCTCACACCTCAGAAAACCTGTGAGAGACCATCAAAAATTTGTGAGAAGCACGACCATGTACCCGTTGGAGCACAGTCCAGGACATAGTCAGCTTTGCATTACACCAGCTGACTAAAACCGCTTATGTAGAAATCGAATTTTTTCCCAAGCACAGAAGAAATTCAATGGACGATGATAGATTCGAAAACAAGTCCATCCTTTGCTATAGCCTCATTATAGAGAGTTCAAGACGATCGAGGTGTACGTAATCTCTTGAGGTTAGGATTTGATTATTTTGTTATCCTGTTTTCCAAAATTTTAGAGAGATAGGTAAATGTTATCCAAGTTCTATCATAGAGGACTGAGATAGAACTGGAAGCTAGAGATTTTGCTTGTTTGATTTCTAATTTCAGTACATAATCAAAGATTTAATCTTCTTTATCCCTCTTTCTGTTTTGCATTGAATCCTTGTCTAACTTTTTAACTAAATGCGAACTCGGATTAAGTTTGTATACATAGCAATTACCTTACTCGATTTGATATTTGTGTTGATAAAAACAAAATCTAAGGATATGAATCATATGATAGCAGAGGAAGAAAATAAAGTCATGAAAGAACTCGTGTAATCCTTGCTCTCAAGTCTCAAGGCAATACATTAGATAATGTGAGTGATCAAGCTACTACAGTTCTCTCTTGGAAAAAAGGGGCATGGGTACAAAATTGAAATCTCACGTAAGATCTAAAGCTCAAGTAAACTTCAACCTAAACACTTTCATTATAAATTTTGTGAAGGATTTCACTATCAGAACATGTATCAGTGAACTATCTGTTATTCACAAACGAATCTAAACTCAAACCTTGGCAACCCAAAAGCTTTCTCCTCGAGCTCCTCTTTAGGGAACAGTCTGTCGAGCAGTTTCTTGGCGTATAAGTATCCAGTCTTGTGATTTTTCTTGCAAGGATTGAAATGTCTTCTTTGAGTTCTTGAAGGTCCAGTGAAGACCCCATAAGCCTAGCTTCCATGTGACCGTGTATCCACCAAAGTTGATGCTTCTAGCCAATGGCTTCCCAACAAATAGAACAAGTTTCACTTGCCATATGGTAAAAACTGGTCATTCGCTCAAGTTGTCATCGAGAATAAAACGACGAACCAATACATTCCATGTAGCAACACTTGGGACAATCCCTTCCCTTATCATCCTCTCAAGAAGAACCACTGCATCTTCCCTACTACTAGACCTGCACAGACCCCAAATCACGTTTGTGTATGAGATCACATCAGGCCGCCACTTTCTTCCTCCTCCGCATGAAACTTGATCCAACATCTGGACTGCTCTCTCAGCTTTCCCTTGCTTGCAATACGCTAGTATCACCATATTCATCGTTATCTCATCTAAAGATTTACCATCCACCACCATCTTCCCTGCTAGCTGCAGAGCTATCCAGGGAAGACCTGCATTGCATGATCCATGTAAAAGCGTGTTGTAAGTCGACGAGCTCCACTCCAAACCTCTCCTGGAGATCTCTCGAGTGAGACCATACGCTTCTTCCATCCGGTTCGTCTTTGAGAGCCCATCTAGTAGCTCGTTGAATGTTACAATGTTTGGAGTACACTTGTACTGCTCCTCCATTTGTATAAACACTCTCTCTGCCCAGTCAAGCCTCCCTACATCGCATAAGCCTTTGATAAATGCGTTAAACGTTGCCACAGAAGGAGCAGCAAAGTTTTCTTTGGACATGATCTCTATAAGAGATTCAGCTTCTTTGAACTTGGAGTGCCTACAGAGAGCTTGCACCATGCTTGTATACACCACAACATTTGGGGAACATCCACTAGTCAGCATCTTATTCCACGTGTCAACCGCGCCCTCGAGGCTACCTCGTTTGGCAAAGCCGTTGATAAGAGAGCCATAGGTTCTGATGTTTGCAGAACATCCGTTTTCCTCCATGTGTGAGACCACAGACAGAGCCTTCTCCATATTCCCATGGGAACACAATCCTTGTACCAAAGTGTTAAACGCTACAACGTTCGGCTCTAAGCAAAACCCTCTCACCATCCGGTTCCACAAGTCTAGAGCTTCCACGGTGGTACCACTCACAAAACAACCCTTCACCAGAGAACTCAACGTATGTACATTTGGATGACACCCTCGTTTCAACATCTGCGCAAGAAGCGAGAAAGAGAGCTCCATTTCTCCACAACTGCAAAGCGCATTGATAAGCGTTGAGTATGAGATAACATTAGGAGATATCTCCTTCTCCAACATTTCCCTCATCAGATCAAAAGCCCCTTTGTAATCATTATCTTTGCATAAACCATTAATCAAAGCGTTATACACACTCACAACAGGCTCAAATCTTCCAGCGAGTTCCTTACCTTCCTTCACCATACCAAGCTCACACATAGAAGAGATCACAGTAGTGTAGCTCACAGCATCAGGAGAACATCCTTTATTCGACATCTCCACCAGCAACTTCTGAGCACCATCCACCTTATTGTTCTTACACAACGCCTTAAGAAGCACATTATACGTAAACACATTAGGCTCAAACCCATCTCTCTTCATATTTCTATAGACTGTATAAATCATCTGAATCCTATTCTCGCCGAGTAAAGTATCCAAAACATGATTGTATATCTTAACCGAAGGATCACACCCAAATTCTTTAATCCTATAAAACATCTCCACGGCTCTTTCGGCTAAACCCACTTGCCTGTATACACTAATCACGCTAACAAACAAATCTTCAGAACAGTGGAAACCTTGGAGTTTCATTTGCTGCAAAAGATACTGAACACTATCGATCTGACCATCCGTTGCTAGCTTTCTGATCATCACCTCGAATGTCAAAGGCGTGTGCTTGAAGAGATTTGAATTGGCGATGGATTTGAAGAACTGCAAAGCTAAAGGGACGCAGGGCTCTTGCCTCAGCCTCTTTACCACATCGAATTCTTTGATCTCTGTGGAAGGGTTTGGAGATTCGGGGAGGAGTTTCACGTTGAGATTTGTGTTGAGGACAAATGGGATAATGGGCTTTTGAACTTTCAACAGCAGCGAGCATCCTTCTTTCAGGTACATCGCAACCAAATCGGAATCAAAAAGGTGAGAACTTTTTGGAAGCGGCGTTATAATCTCCGATAAAAGAGTCTCCTTTTTATCCAGAAACCAAGCACACAATTGGGTTTTCTAAACTTACAGTACCTGGAAATGGATAAAGACGGAGATTGAGCTACTACGGCGATGAAATCAAACGGCGGTGTTTCGTTGAGGGTTTTAGCTCAGGATTTTGCATTATTTTTTCAGTTGTCTGTTTCTGCTCAGAATTTGTTTTCGCAAATTTTTTGGAATTCGATAGTAGACGATAAACAAGTGAGAAAATTATTGGTTATTAACGAAGAGCCCCTCAGCTTCTGTCAGTTTCATTTTGAAACCCTGAACATTTCCAGATTTTAAAACACCGAAAGAAAAGTAGAAAATTAATCATCTAATCGAAAGCCTTTCATATGCTTAGGGTTAATTCTTGTTGTCGCAATATCTTCTTTTGCCAGAATGTGAAACAATTACTTTATACAAGGTTGGAGAATTCTTTGTTTGAAACGCAATGAAGACAATTGAGAAGGGAAATAGCATAAGTGGACAATACTGAGACAATTTATAGAGATAAAAGAACTGTTAAATTAAGTAATAAAATTGTTAGATGTCAAGTATCAACTATTGCAACGAAAACTGATTTCAAAAGCATTTTACACACTCAAACTATTACTTTAGTATTGAGTTTGTAGATAATTGATGTGCTTTTTCAAATTAGGTATTTGAATAAAGTTGTAAGTTTTGATAGATATTTGCGGAATTGATTATCATTTCGAAACGAAGATTTGAAGTGATCCGTCTTTAAAAATCAAAAAGTGTTTTTTGAAAAATATTGTTATGTGACATACTTACAAAGTTACAATCACTCTCTCATAAATAAGAGGCAATAATAGAACGCACTATATAGTATAATTTTTTTTTCAATTTTTTGGTTTTCAAAAGATTCTTCTACATTTACATGTTAAGGAGTATTTCGGTTTGTCTTGATGAGTGTTGTATGGGGTGTTTAGTTAGGATTAAAATTAAAATTAAAATTATTAACGGATTAATTTTAGAAATTTTAAAAACAAAAATCTTTTTTAGGGGAGAAAAGTGGAACTGGCGGAAGTCAAAGGGCTTGTTAGTTAAAGAACTGTTAGTGATCTGCACAAGCACGATACACGTGTCAGTAAGTGAACATTTCTCTTCTTCCCTCTCTCTCTCTCCTCTACTTCCTTCCCTCGATTCTCCTGATGACGACTCTCTCACATCCACTTCTGATTAACTCCAGATAAAACCTAAAATAGCTAAGCAAAGACTTGCCTTTTCAGTTTCTCCAGTGGCTCTACACACACAAAACTGGAAATTTATGCCTATTGGGTGGTTCTAGTCTGATAAAGTAAAAAAAGAGGCATTTGAAGAAATTTCTCAATCTTTCCATTATAGAAGATGACGGAATTGCAACCGGGTAACAACAATCAGCACCCAAACGGCGGCGCTCCTCCTCCCCTGCCGTCAACTTCAGCCGAAACGCTGGGTATCACCGCCGCCGGATCGAAACGATTGAGGAGACCAAGCGTTCGATTAGGCGAAATCGGCGGCGACAGTTACCAGCACCACCACGCGGCGTACGATTCGCAACAAGGTCGGAAACCGAAATGGACATCGACGGCGGCGGCGGCGGCGGGGAACAGAAAAGACTCGAGCAAATCGTCGAGGACTCGAGCCCTATCGAATTTGAGTTCTGGGTACGAGAATAGCGGAACCCTAGACGACGAAAGAGAAGGGAATGTGGATTCTTTTGGGGTTGGGAGTTGGCGGGTGAAGAAACGGGTCGGGTCATCGACCGGTGCGGTTACTACGGCGACGACAGCGGCGAAACGAGTCCGATCCAATTGGGTGTCGAAAGTTGGGGAAATCGACCATGGAGACGAGAAGATCAGCGGAGGGGAAGAATTGGAAGGTGGGTTTAGGGATTTCAGCAGAGAAGACTCAGAGAGTCCGATCAAAGAAGAGTCTTTGGTGAGAGACGGTGGGTTTTATCATGGTAGGAGAAGATACGAAAGCAACAATAGCAGTGGGAACAAGGAGTTCGAGTTATCAGAGCCGTCGAATATGGACGGAGTTGGTGGCGGAGGAGGAAGAGAAGGGGTTAAGATTTGGCTGCAAGAGTTAGGGTTAGGGAGATATTGGCCAATGTTTGAGATACATGAGGTTGATGAAGAGGTGTTGCCGTTGTTGACGTTGGAAGATTTGAAAGATATGGGGATCAATGCTGTTGGGTCGAGGAGGAAGATGTTCTGTGCGATCCAGAAGCTTGGTAGAGAGTTCTCATGAGTGAGAGATAAGAGTGAGAAGAATTTTGATCGGTTAAGAAGAAAACAAAACGGTTTTTTTGTTGTTGTTGTTTTTTGTCAGCCATGGCAATGTAAGCTTTGCAATGTCTGAAACCATGGAAGCCTTTTTCTTCCTTTTTTGATATATTTCATTCGTCATTTGTTTCTTCTTATCTTGGCTGTTTCTTGTTTGAATGTAGCATTAGGCACAGTAGCATTATATAGAAGTAGAAGTTGGTAAAGAATGCAGAAGAGGAAAGAAAGAAAGAAGAAGGTTTTCTTTTTGTAGACTCTTTATCTCTCTTTTCCTTATCGAGTAGGTGAAAAAATGAATGTGTTTAGTCTTAGCTTATGAACATTTTGAAGTGTTGAGCTATGTTTATATGTAGAAGCAGGAACATGTAGGAAAAGGAATTAGACTATTTGGGAGGCACAGAGTTAATGCGGAATATTGTGATTTGGGTTCCCTGTAATATCATCATGGATAAGCAAAGAATGAGGAGCGTCTAATAGAAAATAGAAGGTATCATTGTTTCCTTTAGATTCCAAAATGGTTTAGAAGAAGATATCCAAGGAGCCACAAAAGATCCTCCACGTACGTGACAGAGCAACACATTGTGCATATTCTAGTACATTTTGAATCTTGATGCCATCTTTCTCCTCTTCTTGCTTGTTTGGCGCTGCTGGAAAATATTTGATTCCAATAAGGTCACCTACCTTGCTTATAACCTGTGGTCTACATCAGTGTATCTTGACAAGAATCTATAGAAGGAAGTAGCATAATGGTAAGTTAAAGCCCATTTCTTATGAAAATGTCAGGATTTCGATTTACCAAAAAAATGAACCACATAAATGTTCATAGGATTTGCTGAAACCTTGGATCCGGCAATGTAACCACTACAAGACGCAAAAGACTTGGTGAAAGTTCCGAGGAGTTAGCAAACGCCTCTTCCTGTATTTCCAATTGCTCCAATGCTATGAGCTCCATCCAACATTGTTCTCTTCACGTTTACATTACACAACCAAATTTGCTTATAAATATATTTTGATATCTCGAATGATAAATTTAGTAACCTTTGTACTTCTTGCATATCGAGACAATCTCGGGCAGTTGACAAATCTCTCCTTTCATGCTATAAATACCTTCGACGATAACAATAATTTTCTTGCACGGTTTGTGTGTTTTGGCAGCAATCTCTTCTCTCAATCCTCTTTCTAAATGAGATGGTGCTGAGAAGTATATAGCAAGACAAAGTTAAAGATACATACTTCAACCAATTAATTTGATGCTACATCAAAAAGTTTGGTCACCAAATTAATAGGATTAAAGAAAATGGAAAAAAGGCATTACAAAAGCTTACTATTGTGTTGGAAAATGCGGATAGTGGCTCCGGAACTTCGAGCACCATTAACAATGAATCACTTATTATCAATTCTCCCTATATCAAGAGAGATATATACAACTAATCAAGCTATTTTAAACACTGGTTTTGCTAAAAACATACAATTTTATATACCTTTCCAATTGAAACAGGAATGGTAGACGAGTTTGTCACGTATCCCATGTCGAAAACAATAGCAGACTTCTTTCCGACGAATTTAGCAAAATCTACTAGAGGGGTCCCCTCTTCTCTGCATTTTCAAGATCCTAAAACATTAACTTTAGAAAAACAAAACCAAAAAACGTGAAAGAAGAGAATAGTCACAAGATTGACAACAAGAAACGCCACTATTAAGACATAGGCTTTGAATGGACATATGAAACATTTACAGATTAATTGCAGCCCGTATCCAATGCAGGCCCATCTGCAATTTTGCCCCATTCATCTTTTTAATACAAATTAATAAAAAAATAGAGCAAAAGCCTATCAACTGCATGCAGGAGAGAGACTACGAAAATGACAAGCTCTGCATTGAAGTAGCCAAAAAGTGGTCTTCAAGATGCAGCTCACCAATGCATGTAAAGAAACAGACATTTTTTTTCTTTTTTCTTTTTCTTGTTTTTCTTTTATCTCTCATTCTTTTCCTTATAAATCAACCCAAAATTCATTTCACTCATTATTCACTTTCAAAAAACGAAAATTTATAAATTCTCTCACACTTTTAAGAAATAAACTAAGTTTTTCTTGTGTATTTTTTTCATCTCTCATTTTTCTTACCAAATCCACCTAAAATATTTTTTTTTCACTATTCACTTAGAAAAACGAAAATCTACAAATTCTGTCAAAGGTATTATGTACTATCTCTTCTTTTTTTTCTGTAACAATTTTAGTTGAAGATAAGTTTTTTTTGTTTAGTGAGATATTAATACATTTTATATTGATTCTCTTATATAACAAAATTCTTACATAGAGGAAACTATATATGTTTATTGTACATTTATAAAAAATTATCTAGTATGTTTGTTATATAAAAGAAAATGTAAAAAATATTATTTAGATTAATATAGAACCATACATTTTTAGTATAATAAATTCATGTATGTTATTTTATAATATGTATTTTAGCTATCAATATTTATAACAAATAAATATTTCTATCATGTGAATTTCATTTGTTCTAAACATATACATAGACATGCATTATTTGTTTTTTGGACGAAATACATAGACATGCATTATACTCTCATCTTTTATTTGATATTTTTTTGTTTTATATGATTTTTCAGGTAATTTCGGAGCTCACAATTATATCCACCAAAAATATTCTCAAATCAAAGGTATGCTTTTCTTTCCATTTTTTTTTGCATATAGCAAGATATTTGAGAACAACATTAATTTTTCTTATAATGAGTAATATACCACAGATTTTCTAAATTAGTAATTTTTATAAAAGAAATATGAAATCTTTACTTGTTAAAATAAATAAATTTGAGGTTCAAAAGGTGGTGCCTTTTTTTATTTTATCATTTTAACCTTTTTAGTAGTTTCATGATTAATTGCAGTATTTAATATTTTTGGAAAGTAGAACAATAATATTAGAAGATTTTGTATAAACTAAATTAGAAAATATAATAGAATGATATATAAGAAGAAAACATAATTTATTTCACATGGTATATGTTTAAACATTAAAATATATAATTTGTTATATATCATCACACTAGAATAACTATTAATAAAACTAAATAATTTAAATAACTTTTCTTTTTCTTTCTAGTCAAGATTGGGTTTACAAAAAAAATCCAAATTTTGATAAGTAACATAGATTTCCTTTTTTATAAGTATGTAAATGAAAAAAGTTATTAAGTTTTTGAATATAACTAAAAGTTTATAATAAATTAAAATTAAATCACAATAATAATTACTGCTCCTATTATTTGGAAACCGTAATTTGAATTATTATATCAATAATGTCTAACTAAAAATAATATATTATTATGCAACATAAAAAAATTACTATAATATAATTAAAAGTTTATGTATAATTTGCAAGTAATGACCACTAAATCATGATATAATATGAAAACAGATTTGTTTATTATTTTTAAAATTTATATAATTTATATCTCTTTTTAGATATGGCGTCAAATCGTAGACAAAACAGAAACGTTTCTGCACAACCAGATACTATTCCTCCTACTGAAACATCATTACGAGTAAGTTTCTTACTTTTATATATTTGAAATTTTCTAGTTTAGTTGGAGTTTTAGGGAGTAATATAGTTATGAATTTTAAATTTTTTAGAACGAAGATGATATTCTTTGGACTCATAGACGAGAAAGAAAATTCATCGAGCTGTATGACGAAGCTCTTGCAATGAGCAATTACCGTTTAAAAGATCCTGCACCTGTTGGTAAAGAGTTTATAGTTGAAAAGTTCAACGAGGAGTTCGGTCTTAATATAGATTACAAGTTTTTCAGAAAAAAACTTGATCATATGAAAAGAAAGTACAAGAAATATTTGGGTCTTATACAAAATTCTACGGGAATCTCGGTTGATCCTGTCACATCCGTGATAACAGCATCAGACTCATGGTGGAAAGATCGTGAAGTAAGTACTTATAATTTTCTTACACTCAAAATTTATTAAATAACTTTACAAATATCAAAAATATATTAACTAAAAACTATATAACTTTATTGACAGGTATGTAAAGTTATAAAAGCATTTCACAGAAACCCTCCAGAGTTTTGGGATATTATGCAGCGTTGTTTTAGATTGTATGATGTCCATACACAATCACAATACTCTGTGAGTCAAAGAAGAGAAGAGATGATGAACGAGGATTTTGCTGACGATGAAGGTTATTTAAATTCGGAAATATATGGTGACGATATCCAAGGCACACAAGTTCCAAGACACAAGAAAATGAAGAGGGGTATGGTGTCGACATTGATGATCAAACACGTCATTCAAATGAGTTTCCTCGTGAATCCATGCGTCAAAGTACTGCCCCGGTTAATATGTTCCAGAATCAGGCTGGCAGAGTTTCACAACAAGGAAGAATAAGACGTGAAAACTCTACCAACAGAGTTGTTGGAAGCTCACAAGTCTCATCGAGGAATGGTTCACGAGGAGGTCGGAAAAAAGCAATCATTTCAGGCAACTCTAACAGATACAATGGCTGGTTTTAGAGAGTTTCAACGTCAAAGCTTACAACAAATGCGCCCAAATTCTTTTGATCAAGAAGATTATGATGAATGCGAGATGGCTATCAAGATATTTGAAGCAATGGAAGTTCAAAAGAATACTGGATTTTATTGGGCATGCATCCAAGCATTTAAGGATGAAAGATTTTGGCGTAAGTATTTCATTGGTAGAGCCGAATATTCTGACGATGATAAGCTACAATTTTTGCAAGCTTTAACAGGATATACACCAGACGGCGAATATGTTGGAAAACGGCTGGTCCCAAATCAGACATTACGGGAGCCCAAATTTTGGTGGTTTTACTTCTGGTAGTCCATCTTCTGGACAATGGAATCATGGTTATCAACAATGGGGCACACCTCCAAATGTTCAGCATTGGGGCACTCCTCCAAACGCTCAGCAATGGGGCCCTCCTCCTAACGCTCAACAATGGGGCACTCCTCCAACCACTCAGCAATGGGGCACTCCTCCAACCGCTCACCAATGGGGCACTCCTCCAAACGCTCACCAATGGGGTTCATCATCAAGTGTTCCACAATGGGGTACTCCTCCAAATACTCAGCAACGAACACTCCACCAAACGCCCCACAATGGAGCACTCCACCAAATGCTCAACAATGGGGTTCATCAGCAAATGTTCCACAATGGGGTACGGCACAAAATGTTCAGCAATGGGGTTCATCATCAAATGTGAACCAATGGGATTCATCATCAAGTGCTCAACGACAGTGGGAATCATCACCAAAGCAAATCAATGGATTCCCTCCAACAAATGTTCAGCGTGGATTTTCAACGATTGGTCAAGTAGAAGTTGCACGTGAATCAGAGGTTCGTACTTCAGAAAATGTTCAGAGGGGAGTATCACCTGAATTCGGTTTCACAAATTATTCTTCAGAAGCACAAATAGCAAGAACAAGATCCGTAGAGACTGGAGGATTATTCAATATTTGGGGAAATAAACAAGGACCAAATTTAAATGAAAGTCATCAAAGTGATTCAGGAACTGAAGATTAGTTAGTACCACTTGTAATTTGTTATTCGCAGTTATGTTATGTTTTAATAATATTTATGTTTTATGTATTTTCGAACATTGTATTTTCTGTCAATTTGATTTATGATTTATCTTGTTACAATATTAATTACTTATTATGATTTTTTGTTATGTTTTATAATATTATAAGTATTGTTTATTTTTGATTTTTTTTAATCAGTTTGATTTACGATTTTTTCATGCCTACATATTTTCAGGCTTTTCGTATATGTCAGTTACGATCACATGGTCTCCAAATTTGGAAAATGAGCAATTTGAAGAATTAATAATCCAACCATCATTAAGTTACTACAATCAATATTTTGAAAGAGGACCGGTCCAAACTGGTGGCGGTTTGGGATGGAGAAATATTTGGCGTCGGCTACAAGAAGATGATGCCGCTTGTCTTCAGTTATTACGGATGTCAATTGGTGCTTTCAGAACATTGTGCGATAAACTGCAAACGAGTTATGGTTTACAACCAACATTGAATGTAGGCATTGAAGAGAGTGTGGCCATGTTTCTACGGATATGTGGGCATAACGAAGTTCAAAGAGATGTTGGATTACGATTTGGACGGACGCAAGAGACTGTGAATCGAAAATTTTTTGAAGTGCTTAAAGCGACTGAGTTACTTGCTTGTGATTATATCAGGACTCCAACAACCCAAGAACTACGACAAATTCCTGAACGACTAGTAATGGATCAACGTATTGGCCATATTTTAGTGGATTTGTTGGCGCTATGGATGGAGTTCATGTTTGCGTTAAAGTGAAGCCTGAAGTTCAAGGAATGTACTGGAACCGGCACAATATAACTTCATTTAATATAATGGCGATATGTGATCTCAATATGTTATTCACATATGTTTGGAATGGAGCACCTGGCTCATGTCACGATACAGCAGTTTCACAATGGCGCAAGAAAGGGATTCCTGATTTTCCTTTACCTCCACCAGACAAGTATTATCTAGTCGATTCTGGCTATCCAAACAAACAAGGTTTTTTGGCTCCTTTAGATCTTCACGGAATGTGGTTGTTCGGTATCATATGTCACAATTTGAAAATGGTCCTCCTCCTAGAAACAAGCAAGAGTTGTTTAATCGATATCATGCATCTTTACGTTCTGTTATTGAAAGGACTTTTGGAGGTATGGAAGAAGAAATGGAGGATTCTTTGTGAATTTCCTAGATATGATAAGAAAGTTCAAAAAAGAGTGGTAATGGCGACAATGGGACTACATAATTTTATTAGAATTTCTAATTTTTCAGATGAAGATTTTGCTGATGTAAGAAGAGACACAGAGATTGGCAACACAAGTTCTATGGTAGAACCAAGTGAGATGGCAGAAATGGAAATAGAAGAAGGGAATTTTATGGTTAACATTAGGGAACACATTGCAAGTACATTATGGGCAAACAAAAACATTTCACGTTAATTTTTGAAAACAATTTTTGGTCTGTTGTAATCGAATTTAAATTTTATATAATGTTTTATTTTTTAAATTTCTTGTTTATATATTGAAATTTTTCTTTATTTTTTTCATTGCTCAATAAAATATAATATTTTATTATTATTTAATCTGTTTGATATGTATTTGTTCTGTATGCAGATCATGATCTGTATATGATCTGGATTTACTGTTTGATCTGCATTTTTTGATCTGTATCTCCATTCGAAGCCATAGTGAAGAGAGGACCATGAAATAACGTGCAAGTAAATGACAGCCTACGTGATTGCTAGACTTAGATCCGACAAATACATAGCCACCAGCTCACCACAGGCACAAGACCCAAAAGTTTTCGTAAAACGTTTCCATCAGTATATGTCCACATCAATCACCTCTTTAACGAATCTAGGAATTGCAATTTGCAAATGCTATCAGTTAGTTTGAAACGGTCCCCTCGACCATATGTAGCATCGAAACTAGATTTGGTTACCGATATTTTTATTTAATGACATACACATGTTTGGCTTGAACTTTGAAGTACTGTAATAAAAATGCTACTTTATGATATTTTCTGTTTGGTATGGAGTTTTAGTTATGTTTTTTTCTTAGAGCATAACAAAAATTCGGTAGACCAAACAAACTGAGCAACTAAGTATCGTGGAGCAATGCAGAAGCACAAATGTCATATATAGCATATGTAAATTTTCGCGCAGCAAATGTAAGAGGGACACTATACAATTAACTCTTCTGACAAAGCCAAATAAAAAAACAAAGTGAAAAGAGAAAGACGACGACCACAAGATTCACCAATCACCCACAAGTAGCATCACAAGGAAGACGAACCGCAAGGAAATTGTACACTAACGCTAATTAGTACTAACCAAAACCTCTTTTGGTATAAAACTGATGCATTACGGTTTTAATCCAGTTTGATGCTATCTTTATTCTCTTCTTGCTTCTTTGGAGCTGCCGGGAAATATTTGATTCCGGTGATGTCACCAGCTTTGCTTATAACCTGCCATAACACGGAGAAGGATTTATACATACAAAACTGTTTGCGGATAAACTATAAGCATACACACTCTTCATGGTAAATGATTAATGTTACCTGTAGGGCTTTAATAAGATCTTCTCTCGAGTGAGATGCGGATATGCAAATACGAGCTCTGGCTAGCAACAGAGGTGTAGCTGGGAAACCGACAACCACAACAGCCACCTGTTCACGGATTTAAATGTCCATTGAATATTAGAGGTGAATCTCTCTCGCGTGGGAAAGGAAATAAGTTACTGGCAGAAGCATAAGAGAAACTTACGTTTTCTCGCAAGCATTCCCTTGAGAAGGCTGGGATCTTTGCTGGATTGTAAAGCATTATTGGCATGACTGGGGAATCGTTGTCTCCGAGAACCTCAAATCCCATCTTCGTCAACTCGGCCCTGAAAAAGTTGCTGTTCTCCCTTATCCTTGCTAACTTTTGTGCACCTGCTCAGGTTTTTAGAAGAATTTTGAGACTATACTTGAGATTATGAAGCTCAAAGAGCGAGAAACTATAGAGATACCTCTGTTTGAACCGTCCTCTCCAAGGATAACTTTAATGGCTGATATGATTTGTTGTGCGGAAGGAGTTGAAATGGATGTTGCGTATAGGTGAGCAGGACAATGGTACTTCAAATATTGGATGAGGTCCTACAGAAATTAAAAACACAATGTGCTAAGCCTTTAGTTATTTATGATTTCCCCAAACAACATAAACCATGGAAATGTGCAGCGCAAACAAAAGATCAGTAAATGAAAACAAAAATATATATAATTGCTAACCTTGGATCCAGCAATATAGCCACCACAAGAGCCGAAAGATTTCGTGAAAGTGCCCATCATTATGTCCACATCAGCAGGGTCAACTCCCAGGAGTTCACAAACGCCCCTACCTGTTTTGCCAATTGCTCCAATGCTGTGAGCTTCATCCAAGTATACATAAGCCTGAAACAAGGATATACGAGAAGTTAGAGAAGTAAAGTTACACATCAAACAATCAAACTAGTCTAGAAAATTTTGATGTCGCAGATGATAATTCAGTTGATCGAGTTCCTCAATATCTCATCAATGTTGAACATTTAAGATAGTTTACCGTGTAACCTCACCTTATATTTCTTGCATATAGAGACAATCTCAGGCAGTTGACAGATTTCCCCTTCCATGCTGTAAATACCCTCAACAACAACAATAATTTTCTTCCAGGGTCTGTGTGTCCTGGGTTGTCCCTCAGCGATTTGTTCTTTCAATACTCTTTCCAAATGAGCAGGTGCTGAGAAGCAATCAACAAGAGACCATAAAGGTAAGTCACACACATTATTGGAAAAAAAAATCTGGAAAGTGAAGCATGAGAATTGCTTACTGTTGTGTTGGAAAACGCGGATAGTGGCTCCCGAACCTCGAGCACCATTGACAATTGAAGTATGGTTCAAAGAATCGCTTATTATCAACCCTCCCTGTAAACAACGCGTCAACTAAGCTACTAAAACATAGTTTCTGGGAGTAACATCAGCGCTGATCACAAGGTGTAGCAGAATACATACCTTTCCAATCAAGACAGGGATGATAGCTGAGTTTGTTGCGAAGCCCATGCCAGTGACAATGGCAGCAGGTTTCCCCACATAATTAGCAACACATTCCTCAAGTTCTGCATGTACAGATGTAGTTCCTGATGGCACAAACAAACGGATGTCAGGCAGGCAACAAAGAGAAGAGATTGGACGAGATCAAATACGCAAAGACACTGTACCTGCATCAACGCGGGAGCTGCATGTACTTGCTGAAAATTTCTTCAAAGACTCAATAACACGAGGCGTGCAATATTCGTCAAAAGAACCAAATCCAAGATAGTTGTAAGACCCCAAATTAAGACACCTTTTGCTCTTTGTTGTTCGCCTGCACGGAGTTGCAACCAAAGGGTTATTCTATGAACACCCTTCACGTAGGTGATAAGTGGAGTTGAACGTTTTCCAAATAAAACCAAATGGGTACAATTCCAACCGTCAAAATTTCAACCTTTACATTTCTCTCAATGTAAGCATATAAGCTATAATTTTTCAATAGAAAAGCAGAGGAAGAAAGACTCACTTTAGCGTTTTGTTGTTGTCATTGGAGTACCTCTCAACCACATCAACCCAAGCATCAGGTGCACTCGCTATGGGACGTCCAAAACAATCCTTCACACACATGAAAAAGAAAAGTTATTAGGAATCAAAGCACAAAATCTTTCGGCTTTCAAGGATTCATTTCGCCGGGATTCAACATTATATGAACACAGAAGAAACGAATTGAGAAAGAAACGAATTGAGAAGAAGTACCTGAATCCGATGGTACAATCGCCGGATGTAGAAATCCTCATGCGCCAAGCAGATCGGCGCGTATCCCTGTAAGAAATGTGAAATCAGGAAATTAACTTTCGGGAATTTGTAAGACGAAAAATCGAGACTTTATATGTGGAGGGAGAGAGACAACAAATGAACAAACCTGGAGATTGTTGGTGCTCCACCAATCGAAGATGAGGCGGGAGTAATCGCGAAGCTGGCCAAAGGCGAAGAGCAAGCCGTAGCTGAAGTACGTGGATACAGCGGTAAGGTATGGGATCGTAATCATTGTTCAGCTCCGCCTCGTCTTCTTCCTCCGAACGATTTTTTCTCTCCCTCTCTCCCTCTCCCTCTCTCTCTCTCTCTCGGTTCGAGATTGTAGGACAGAAATGGAAGAAAATTCAAAGATGAGATCTGGAAAAATCTTGCGCCTTTCTCACGGGAGAGATGGAGAGAGAAGAGAGAGATTTGAATTCAATCTCCTTTGTTGGCTTTCGTCAGAAAAGGAAAAGGATTCTCTCTTTCGGAGGATCATTAAACAAAAAAACCATTTTTCTTTCTTCGGTTTCGTCTTTTTCGCTTATTTTATGATTTTCTTTCTCATTATTTATGTGATTTTTGGACCTTCCGCGTCGGACTATTCAATAATTCGGTATAATTGTCGATTAGTACTTTCAAAATACTTAAAAAACAGGAGAATCTCTATGCTAAAAAGGTCTTTCTACGCTCATGAATTTTAATTTGTTCTCTAAAAATTTGTCCATGATACAAAGAGGAGACTACAACATGTAAATTTGTTTTTCTGGTCAACATGGGAATTAGAAAAGTCAAAGTAAGCATGAGACCATTGCTAGAAGATGAAGTTCCTTCCCTCGTTTAAAAGCAAGAACACAAATACTTAAATGTATACAATTATAGATTGCGTTAGAAACTTGTGAAGACATGTTCATGTATCATATCTGGAAAGAGTGTAACGACATCTTCAGAATTGACAATAAATGTTCATATATGGCCCAACCTAGCTTAGGAAGTGTATATCAAAGTATACGAGTGAACCAATAACTATCATATGAATCATATCATGCTAGTGTAAGAAATGAAGATTTGATACACTAAAGATGCTCTTGTTAGTTCAGGTTTCTAATATACAATATACACAAAATCCTCATCTCAAAGTTCCCGCCTCCGATTCGAGCGCCAAATAAGCTCTTGGCATAGCTCGTGCTCCAACCAATCTCACTCTAAAAAGATTTCCACTAGTAGGTTTCCCTCAAGTCCTATATTTAATCTAAAATTTTTAAACAATTACCACTCGTCCATGCCTGTCTTCGAAGCCAGGAACATGATTCTTATATAGTCCATTAAATTGTTCAGGTTTTTTAATGATAGGACCGGTCCCAAACACCGTTGAGGCGGATTCAGTGGACATAAAATAAAATTAATGTAGGGATAATTTCCATATATAACCCGAAATTTGTTTTTTTCTATAACCATAACCCGAAACTTGAAAGTATTGCAAAACTAACCTGTTTGGGTAGCGAAATTACAAAGGTCACCCTCATGAACAAACAAAAAAAATTTGCCGCGATTACCAAATTAACCCGGAGCGTAGGTCTACGCTTGCTGTCTACATATAGACTTTTATAGTCGGTCTACCTTGTATTTTAATTTTATATTTTAATTGGGAAAAACAAAAAAAACATTTTGATGAAACCATTTGCATACATAAATCATAAATAGTAATTTGCATCTTGGAAAATTATAATTGCATACAAATGAGTCAAATTAAACTAACATAGGCAAATTAGTTTGGAAAGCTGTAAAAACGTATCTACGGATGAGGTCTACGGTTTAATTAAATGAAACTTTTAATTTATAAAATAAATAGAAAATATTTAGATGAAAAATTTGTATTCATAAACAAGACAAAGACAATTAGAGTCCATATAAAATAAACATACATGTTAATAAGTGAATTTAGGTTGACAAAAACAAATTAGGTTAGAAACTTGTAAAACCGTGAGAGGTCTAGCAACGAGGTCTACAGGAAAATGAAATCTTAAAAATAAATTATAAAATTGATAAAAAATAATTTGATTAAAAACTTGTATGCATAATTAATTCTTATACATTTGACATTTATTAAAAATAAATCATACGAAAAATGAATCAATCTATAAATGTCATGAGTAAATGTTTCAAATTGATAAGAGTTTGGATAGATAGTTTAGGGTTTAGTTGTCCAATTCTTAGGGTTTAGATAGTTTCAATTTGAATTTTTGTTTTTGGTTGGTTTTTTTTACGTATATTTAATATTTTTGTTATCTTAACCATAAATATTGTAAATGACAAACAAAATTGATATTCGGTTCATGTTTTTTCAGAAAATTTGTAGTTTAGGGTTTTGTAGACCTCATCTGTAGACCGCACAAGAAGATGAAATTGAAATAAACCGGAATGGTTTAGTAATTAAATTTGCGGGAATTCCAAAATTTGAAATCCGAATGAGCGGGAACCAAATTCCCTAAATTAGTTAGACCGCAGTTGTAGATCGCATTTGTAAACCACACTCGTAAACCACGTTTGTAGATTACATTCGTAGACCTTAACAAATTATGGTTTAAGCTAAATCTTTTAGCTAAACCGAAAAAGAAAGTTCGGTTATCCGAAATTTTCTAATTAAACCGGGAAATTTATCTTCTCCTATAAAAGAAAAAAAACCCTAGGTTTTGTTAGAAAAAGAAAAAAGCCTCTTTCTTCAGACGGCGCTCTCTCTCTCTCCTTTCTCGCTTCCCTCTCGAACCTCAAACTCACTATCTCGCTTCCCTCTCGCCTTTGCCTTCTCGTTCTCGCCGTCACCATCTCGTTCTCGTTCTCTCATCAAACGGCGCGCTCTCTCGCTGTGAAATGTCGCCACTTTCTTATTTTCTTCTTCTTCCTCCATCTCCGTGCAGTTTCCGCCGCATCCACCTCCGTCGTTGCCGCATCCAGTGCCGTCTTCGCGTCGAGTCAGTTTCCATCACCATTGTCACCGGTAAACCATGTTCTTCTCTCTGTAACAGATCTGAGTTTAGATTTGAACAATAACATGTTAGATTATTTTCCAAGCAGGCTTTGAATCCGTTCGTTGATGCGTTTCAATGACCTAGGGGAGAAGTACATCCGCAGATGCATGAGGCTGATTTGTATTCATCACCGAAAAAGAGCCTGAAATTGTAAGAGGCGTGACCGCTTGTTTATCACTTATAACTTTGTGAGTTATCTAAATTTCTCTCTTTCATCATCTCTGCTCTTTTGCTTTGCTATTACTTTTGTTTTCTGGTTGAATTACATCTTTCACACACGTATTTTCTTTTTAGATTTAATAATTTTGCTCACACTGATATTGAAATCTCAAAGTTGTTTCTTTTTTTCTTCTTATAAATATAGTGTAAGAGAGGCGAAAGCTGATAGAACAAGAGCAGAAACATAGCTATAAGTCCTAATAAAAATGTTTGTTGATTGAAAACAGGAGCAGAAAGAGATGGTGGAGAAGGGTCTTGTTACCATGGAGGATGTCGAGATGGCTTCTGCTGAAGGTAAATTTTCATCCTCAGCTTCTGCTCTGCTAATTGATACTTCGACTTACCTAATTCTGTGATTATAAATCTAATATCAGCTAGAAATAAACTTTTAGTACTCAGAAATATAATCAGTTTGAGCTGTAACTTTATAATATCTTCTTGGAATTGTTCTTCTTGCTTAGTTTTCTGCTCATAACTCTTGTGAAAACATTGTGCCTTTCCCTGTTAGCATATTTATAGAATGTTTTCTTTTTGTTCTGTGTCTTCTCTTGTCTAATTGATATGCCCTCTTTTGTATATTGTTTTGCGTATTATTCATTACAATGGCCTGTTCAGATTCATTTTGCTCTTGTGACTTGTACTATGGTTTGCATTAATAGAAGCTGATCTCTTCTTTTTGGTCTCAGCTGCAACAGAAGACTCGAAGAAATCCCAAAGAAAATTTAGCGTAAAGAAGACAATGAAGCTCAATAAACTAGTTAATAAAGGTAACTAATCCTTGAGCGTTTGCAGAACTCTTATAGTTTCTTCTTACACATGGTACACAAACATTCAGTTACTTATCATAGATTTGTTGTTGTATTTAAATCGTATTTTTGATTTTTTATACTCATATATATGGAAGTGAAACTCTGAACGTCTGTGTTATGAATATGAATGTTCATACCCTTGATTTTGATACCCTTGATTTTTGATTTTCAAATGAATGTTCATGAGTAATGGAAGTTTGGAGAATCTTTTGTATGGCGGTGAGTTCATGAGTAACAGACTTAGCAAAAGATTGATTACTCTAGTATAGTGTTTCACAAGATTTACTATTTTGGTTTTCAGGTGAAGAATATCCCTCACGCAGAACATACCTCAAGAAAAAATGTTGGATCAGAGTCGAGACAAGATGTTGGAATCACGTTCTTGGAAATGTCGAGAAGCGTTCATGGCCATAGTTTTTTAATGTCAAAATGCTTCTAAATTATGTAAAAACATTGTCATAAAGGAAACAAAGTGTGTTTTAACGGAATGATTTCTGTAAACTCACCGGAACGTTTAGCCGGGGAGGAGGGTTTATCTTTTTTTTGGCCCCTCTTCACAACACTGATTTTGTATAACTATTTTGGATGCAACACAAACTGAAACGCAGTTATTAATGAAATCTGTCTTTAGTATTACTTAACTTCATGTAGAAAAAAGGTAGACGTCATTCACTCATTGTAACTGATGATATGAAAATAAAATTTAATGGATATAGTTGTAGACGTCTCATAGACCTCCACGAAATAAATAGTAGACTGCGCGTGAATGCTTCGTAGTCATCCGGGAGACTCCTTGTAGACCTCCGACCTTATTTCTGAGCAGGCTTGGACACCTAATGAAGAGCAAACAATTATAGCATTGTTGTAATGAAAACTAATGGAACTGCGAGACGCACAAAGCTTACACAGTACGGGCGAGTATGTCTGGTTGCTTGCATTTGGAGCAGTTGTATACTTTGGAGTTCCCCTGACAAATACTTGAGCGAATTTGAGAGCCCGGTATGACGTTGTATAGGTAAGATTCAAGCCAAACATGATCCTCATCGAATCTGCAATTTGTCGAGGGACAATTCCATCTATGAGTCCAGTCCGCTCCACAAACAATTGTCCAATATATCTTGGAGTAGCTCGTCTACGGTGAGCTACACGGTCCATAATTGAACAAGTGTGACCCTTTACGTACTTGGTAACCCAGAAGCAATCCGGTTCATTCTTCACAGCTGCTCTCAACTTCCATGCACATCCATTGACAACACATTTTGCCACAAACATAGGAGGTGAATCCGTTGGCAATTTCTCCATCATAGCAGCTGGTAATGGATATGACAACTCCAGCAGCTCGCCATTAACTTGCAACATGTAGTCGTTCACAACCATTTCAACCAGCTCTTCATGTTTACAATCATCCTGCAGGTAGAACATTCTACCTCCTCTCGTTTTATCAACCTCAAAATACCATTTTCTGTCTCTGATAGTCCACGCTCCATACACGGATGCCAAACAAACCATGATCTGCATGAAAACCAAAGGGAAAACACATTAATATATATTGATGGATGCCCTGTAGACGGAAACGTTAGACCTCCACACACGGCTGCGGTCTACAGAGTTTAACCAAGTTACCAAATTTAACCAAAAATCTAATACAACCTTCATTACATAACATTAGCATGCAAAACTCTCATAGGGACAAGTTATTAGGCTAATAGAAGTATTTATGAAAAAATATTAACAAAAACAATTTTAGTTTTCGCAGAAAATCGATTTTAAAAAACGGAAAAATGTAGACCTCCAAACTAGATCGTAGACGTAAACCTAGCAAAGAGGTCTAAAAAAGGTTAGTTTTGCAATTGACCAAGGGAAGACTTTTTTGAGATCTACAAATGCGGTCTACAAAAAAAGAGGTTAGTTTTGCAATTCATCCAAAAAATTTGGGTAGACCTCACGAACAAAATAGACCTCAACCTGTAGTCTAGAAAAATTATACGGTCTACGGGGAGGTCTACGAAATCTGTAGACCTCAGACAGGTTACTTTTGCAATTGTTTGAAATTTTTTTCCACCTGTAGACCACTATCGTAGACCTCCTATTATTTTGCGTTGACCAACTTTTTAAGGTAGACCTAAGACTGAGATCTAAAACCTATGTAGACCTCTGACGTAGACGTCAGCTTAAAATAGTTGTTATAGACCACATTAAGAGGTCTAAGGTAAAAACCAGAACTTCAGTCAATTGCAAAACTAACCTCTTTGACCAATAGACCTCATCTGTAGACCTCAAAAAAAAAGCCCTCCCTTGGTCAATTGCAAAACTAACCTGTTTTCAAAATAGACCTCTGCTTGAGGTTTACGATATTTTTTTTGTTTTCAAAGGGATTATGTAGAACTCTCTACGCGGTCTAACTCCACAGATTTGTCTTAGTCAATTGCAAAACTAACCTCTGCGTTGACCTATAGACCTAACCCTGAGATCTACGATATCGACTCAGATCTGAAAAAACGAAAATGGAGTAAACCACAACCTGGCCGTCGTCTTTAGGGCCGCCGAGGGATGAAACTTTGTCTTTAAGCCTTCACAACCGTTCGGCGGTGGTGAGGAAAGCCACAAACCCGATTTTGAGAAAATCAAGAACTTGAAATATGGAAAAGTAGAATTAGAGAGTTTTTGGGATGAAAATGTGGAGAAAATGATAGTGTTAGAGTTATGGGATGTGCAATTATGTTTGGAGTATCACAATTACTAGTATCAAGCATTAAAAGCTTGAAGTTAGTTGAAAATGGTGGTTGGGTTCATTGATGAGAGTGGCAGTTTCGTGAATAAGTGTAGAGGATGAGGTTCTGTTGGTCTTCTGGTCGACAACGTAGACCTCATTCGTAGACCACAAGAGATAAAAGTAATGGCATTTTCGTTATTATCTGGACAAAACTGGGTAAAGCTAAATGAAAAAAACAGCAGGTTACTTTTGCCATTGACTTCAAATTGTGGGTTAGAAGTGCAAGAATCCCATTAATGTACGACGGTACAAAGTCTACATATCCGTTAGATTTGTATCAGTTGATTTTAAACTTTTAATTAGTCCAGCCAATTATTATATTTTTATGGACTTTTTCTCATACGTAGGGTATATCTAATACGTACTGTGATTCTGAAATGGGAGTTCTTTACACGAAATCATATCTACTAGACATGGTAGACGTGATTTAATACTATATGATTTAGTTAGTGGGAGTTCTTTATATTTTTAACTTTCTTTATAGTTACAGTCAGTATGGTGGGGAATATCAATTCCAACTTTTTTTGTTTGACAATTAGTAAACACATTTAACGCCTACCATGTCTATGAGAGGTATGAGCCTTATTGCTGGTATGTACATTTCTATGGCGTGGAATATCACCTGCTTTAGTTTAGTAATATGTATAGACAAGAATAAAAATCAAATAACAAAGACTATACAAAAACTCGAAAACAATACTAAATGAGACTTCTTCAACAAAGAATAACAAAAAAAAAGACTTAAGCAAAGAAAACAATAAAGAACAAACAACTAGAAATATTAAATATATATCGATCAAGCTTCTTCACCTGTATTTCCAAGGAGTTGTGTAATATAGAAGAGGGAGAAGGATATCACAACCAACAACAACCCAAATAGTCAGAAATGGATTCAACGATCGTTAGATTGCGTGAGAAGAGATTTACAGGAAAGGAAAGTTTCACATTCCCTGATCCATCTCAAACACACAACCCATATTCCTTCTCCTCCTCCGTCGGTGAAGCAGCTATTGATTCAATCCGTGGATATCGTAAGGGGGAGATTGATGGAAAACCATTTTTCATATTCGTTTTCTTATCTGAAACTGAAACAGAAACCCCATCCTCCTCCTCCTCTTCCTTCTCCTCTTCTCCTCAACCTCTTTTCATATGTCCTTCTATACGTCTCAGAATCCAAAAGTCAAAGCGTAATACTCCAAACAAAACTTTTCGGTTCGAAACTACCCCTCTCTTCCCCACCATAGGAAGAAGCGTTGATCAAGAAGTCCAAGATATGCTTAATTCCGACATCCATGGTGATATATGTAAGTTCCCTGTAGTCCCTTTGGTTCATGATGACGAAGATGATGATGATGATGAATATGACTATGAAGATGATGACGAACATGATGATGATGATGATGATTTTGAGTGTTGCGATGCATGCAAACAGGAGATACTTGAGGGAGCATATTACTATATATGTGACACATGTGGTAAAATGTTCCACAAAGAATGCGTGGAGTCTCCACTTGAGATCAAACACCCCTCCTACCCTTTTCTTTCTTTCCAACTTTACAGTGTAAGACCATACGGTTTGAATTGCATAGTGTGTGACACAAGCCTCAACCACAACCCCATGATATATCTTTGCCCTACTTCTAATTTGGGTATGCATACGGTTTGTGCGATGAAGCCTGTACCCATTATCATAAACCACCCAAAAAGCCATCTCCACCCTCTCACTTTTTTCCCCAAACAAAACTTCTTACCTTGCAATGTTTGTGGCCTCATTGAAGAATCTGTTCCTGCCTATGTATGTCTTCCATGTGTCTTCGTGGTCCATCGAGATTGCATCTACTTCCCGAGTGTCATTCGAATGTCTCGTCACCACCACCGTATCTCTTTCACTTCATCTCTTCCATCCGGAAGATTGATATGCGGAGTATGTCGCAAAGAGGTTGACAATCATTATGGGGCCTACCGTTGCAACAAGTGTGAAGATTATTTTGTTCATTCAAGATGCGCGTTAAGGAGTGACCTGTGGGATGGAAAAGAACTCGAAGGAGTACCTGAAGAACCTGAGATAGAGATTGAGCCATTCGAGAGGATAGCTGATGGAATAATATCCCATTTTTCGCATGAGGACCATTATCTAAAACTCGAGAGCTTTGAAGTTTATGACCAAGACAAGTTTTGTCAAGCTTGCGTCCTTCCAATCTATCAAGGTAACTATTATTCATGTATAAATGAATGTGACTTCATCTTACATGAAACATGTGCGAGTTTGCCACGTAAGAAATATCATGCATTTCATCGTCATCAGCTTACGTTGGTGACTTCGAACGACGTCATTGACAAGTTGGTGACTTCGAAAGTCATTGACGCAATTTTTAGCAGGGTCAAAGGTTGCTTCACGTGTCGTGCTTGTGAGCGTATCAGTTGTGGTTTCGTCTATGAGTGTGTCGAAAGAAGATGTGGTTTTCAACTAGACGTACGTTGCGCCTCAGTTTCTGAACCATTTGAATATCAAGGCCATGAGCACCCCTTATTCCTAGCGCTAACGCCAGAAGAAGAACAATCGGCTTCATGTTATATTTGCTGTCGAAGTAATAGCCTAACACAGTTTTTCCGCAGAGGTATGCTTAATTGCATCGAGTGCAAGGATATTATTATATGTTTGACGTGTGCTACCTTACCTTACAAGGCAAGGTATAAGCATGACATACATTTTCTCACATTTAGAGAAAGAAAAGATGGAAGTGATCAATTAGACTGGTGTGATGTATGCGAAGGCAAAGTAATGCATTCAAAAGAAGGTGGGTTCTATTCGTGCGATGACTGCTGCACCACTCTTCATGTTGATTGTTTGTTTGGGAAACAGCCGTATATGAAACCTGGTCACACCATCGAGTTCTTTAATGAGGAGTTTCAAATTCTTCCCAACAATACCCAGTCTCGACCATTCTGCCGTGTTCATGATAAAGCTCGTTGTCAAGACAGAATAGTGTTTAAGAAGGAAGACATGATGTTATGTTCTTATGGTTGTTACATTGGTACACGTCCTATATAGCCACCAGTAAGATCTATCTTACCATCTTTGTCTCTGTTCTGTCTGGTTGACTACCTTTTGTAGTATTTTCTTACCTTCTTCCAGATTTGTAATATCACCTTTTTATTTGTTTTGGTCATCAATTATGTATGGAATTCTATGTTTTCTCAATTTTAGTTTGCGTTCTGTTTTATTATTTTCTTGTCTTTTAAATTTTGGAATGCTCCTTGTGGTTATGCTTTTTAAGGATGAGGAATTGAGAAAACGAAATGGTGTGCCGCTTTGGTTTTCACGATTCCATCTCTGATCTTTGTGTGTTTTAAAGAGCAAAAAGTTATTGTTGTGATGTTTTTATTCATACAGTATTTGAGTTACTACTATTTTACTTGTGTACTAAAAAGAGTACAAGAGAATTCTCGACATCGATGAATCCTTGTTCATATGATCTTTTAAGACTTAGCGAACCAATTCATCTTTTATCCTTTGTCGACTAAATGTGACATCATTATCCTTTCGAGAAAATTAGCAAAGCTTTTGTTCTAGTTTTAGCATGAAATGATCTAGTGTGGTCTCTCTTCTTGTATCTCTGAAATGTATTCTCAAAGTAAATTAAAAAGAAGATGAAGATACTGTAATTAAGAAAAACAAAGATACCATCAATTAATGTATAAAGTATGGAGTAAACTTAGCTGGACACTGATTTTTAAATATTAGGACTTGTGTTGAATGATTTGTCCTTCTGAGTGAGAATGTTAATCGTTTTATGCTTGTATCAGATGTGAGTCTAGGTAGCTAACTTGTGGTACAAGTAAGAAAGATAATAAAGTCTAGTCCGCTATCTAAAACAGAGCGTGTTTCTTGTAGTGATTATTAAGAAAGAAAATAACATTTATAGCTTTTTAACAACACTCCCATCATAACAACATGAAGTACATCGATGGCAGGATCCATAGCTTGGCTGGATTAAATGTAACTATGATGTCTCACATCATGAAGGTGATCGTCCTTCCGGATTAGGTTGGATTATACGAAATTCTCAAGGAACTTTCTTGGATTGTGGAATGGGGAAATATCAAGGAAGATCAACTACAGAGGAAGCAGAATGTTCTGCTTTGATTTGGCTAATGCAATCAACATGGTCACTCGGATACCAATCGGTGGAGTTTGAATGTGATAATCTAATCATTAACACCCTCATCAATGGCCAAGGCAAAAATCTACGGCTGGATCCTTTCTGGAATCTATTGAAAGGTGGAGACACATGTTTACGAGGGTGCGATTCTGTTTTCGCGGTCGCAACTCTAATAAATGTGCTGATTTATTAGCTAAGTACTCGATCTAATTGGCAATGGCATCTGTATGGTAATAATTGTGCGTCTTTTCTTTCTCACTTTGTAAACGATGAAGCCTCTCATGGTAATTAATAAATGCAATTTTAGTCGGAAAAAAAAAAAAACTAATTCGAGATATAATTGTTACCATTTCCACGATGATTTTCACTGATTCTATCAATATATTTTACTGTGTAATTATTTCCTTAAAAAAAAACTGATTTAGGGTATTCACTTTTTTTTTTTTGACCAAATGATTTTCTTAATTAAAGCAGAAAGGAAATAAAAACATTACAAGCCCCAGGCTTTAGTTACTTAATTCGCAGCCCAATGCGAAATATAGTTTTTAGTCACTTGAATCAGCCCAATTTAAAACCCACAAACAAGAAAGGGAGTTGAAAAGATCGTCTCCTCCGTTTAGTCACACCGATTGGAATGGTGGCGATCATCTTGTTGTCTCCGTCGACAACCAGAGTTGTAGTAAATTCGATGCTAGGATCGTGTTTCCGTCTCTGTAGCTTGCGATCCTGTTCTTGATCTGCCTATCAATCTGACCAAGAAGTGAGTCCTCCGACATGAAGATTTGCAGATGGAGTCGCCCATTTCTCTCATGCCAAAGCCAGTATATTGTCGCCTGCCACACTAGAGTCGTCAGCCTCTTCCTCGATTTCCCTCCCTGCAGCGATTGCATCTGTTCCACTGAATTCAGCCATCCACGCCTGGGCTGGATATTGCATCTTCTCGCCATTCTACTCCACACCGACCAGCTGAATCGACAATCAAACAGTAAATGGTCCCTCGATTCCAGTCCTACATTACATAGGAGGCAGTTGAGATCCGTTTGGAGCCCCCATCCCGCTATTCGATCCCTAGTTGGACAGCGATTAAGGACAAATAGCCATGCAAGGAAGCTGTGCTTCGGGATCCCTCCTACATTCCACACCACCTTAGCCCAAGGCACAACCGGACCCCCTTCAGTAAGTTTCCTATACACTTCTCCTGTTATAAGGAGACCAATTATCAGACCAGAATCTACTGTGACGGCCATTGCCAATTTTCAGCTTGATCCAAGGGTAAATGTCTTCTCTTATCTTTATGAGCTTATTTGCAAGCCAAGAATTATCTTTATGCGGCTTCACAGTCCAAAAATTGCTCATATTCCCTTGTAGGACTTCTGTTCTGTACCACGCCACCCACACTGAGCCAGATTGAAAGAATAGTAGCCAAATGAGTTTGAGACAGCACGCTTTGTTCCAGTAGGTAAGATCCCTTATCCCAAGACCTCCTGATTCTTTTGATTGTGTGACCGTGGCCCACGAGACTCTGGCTGAGTGGTGACCTTCAATGTTTCCTTTCCAGAGATAAGCACTGCATATGGAATTGATTCTCTGGATGCACGCTTTGGGGAGGATGAATGTGGAGCACCAAAAGTTTGAGATTCCCCCTATCACTGTCTTGATGAGAACCAGGCGGCCTGCAAATGAGAGAGATCTTGCATTCCAGGAGGTAACTTTCGACTTAACCTGCTGGATCAAGACTTCACAATTAACAAGGCTCAGTTTTTTGGTGCACAGAGGGACTCCTAAGTATCTAACTGGTAAGGTTCCCTGGGCATTCCAGTTGAGAACTTGATGATGTCACATTCCGGTTGGCTTAGACCTGAGGCAATGAAGCTTGACTTCTGCACACTCACAGCTAGACCTGAGCGAAGATGAAATTCTTGGAGGACTTGGAGGACGTTTTGTACCGACTCCAATGTTCCCTCCACAAAGATGAGAAGATCATCCGCGAAACAAAGGTGAGTTAATGTCGACGCTTCACACTTTTCATGGTAATTGAATTTTCCTTCATCTGCTGCCTTGTTTAACATGAGTGATAAACAGTTCATTGCTATCACGAATAGGTAGGGAGATAGAGGGTCCCCTTGTCGCAGTCCTCGCTTTCCTTTGAAGTAGCCATGGACCATACCATTATATCCCACCGTGAAGCTTGTAGTCCTGATGCAGGATTTAAGCCACTGTAAGTATTGGTCAGGGATATATAGTCCTTCTAGACAGTTGAAGAGGAACTCCCACGAGACACTGTCGAACGTTTTGGCTATGTCGACTTTAATAGTTATCTTTTTAGGACCTTTGTCTTTGTGATAGCCATTCACTATTTCACCTGCCAGAACCGTATTCTCAACTAATAGTCTGTCTTTGATGAAGACAGTTTGGTTGGGAAGGATCAGAGTCGGGAGGATGGGCTTTAAGCGAGTCACCAGCAATTTGGACACTACTTTGTAGAGAGTGTTGAGGCATGAGATGGGCCTGTAATCTGATATCTTAGAGGCTCCCGGGAACTTGGGAACAAGCGTGAGGATGGTAGAGTTTGTTGAAGTCGGCATAAAAGAGGTTAAGAAGATGTTCTTGATTGAAGCAATGACTTCCTCACCAAGGATCCCCCAAGCCGCCTTGTAGAATCCTGAGGTAAGTCCATCTGGGGCTGAAGACTTGTTCGGATTCAGACGGAACAAGACCCTTTTTATGTCATCGGCTTGAGGAAACGTGACCATTGCTCTTTGTTGGTCAGGGGAACATCGGAAAGGGATAAGGGAGGCAAACCAACTCGGAGGCGAGGCAAGCGTTGGTGGAGGCAGAATCGAGGGTCCGAGGATCGATTTGAAGTGGTTGACTGCATGAAGGCTCATATCTTGAGGGTCCTCGAGGATGTGACCATTAGGCAACAGGAAGGATCTGATCGAGTTATAACTGGCTCTGGTCTGAGCTATCCTTTGAAAGTAAGTGGTATTCTGGTCCCCTTCTTTAAGCCAGTTGATTCTTGATTTTTGTTTGAAGTAACTTTCCTCAATTTGTCTCAGGTAATTCCATCTCTCATGCAGCGTCTTCTCCTGGTCAAATAGGGTTTGAGATGGTGTTTGGAGCGCTTGTACCTGCACAGCTTGTAACAAACAGTTAGCCTCACTAACCCTCTTTTGTATTTGTGAGAAATTCTCTCTATTCAATTCTCTCAAAGATCTCTTAATGGTCTTTTGTTTCCAGCACAATTGAGAGAGTGTGGAACCAAAGCTTCCAGCCTGAATCCAAGCGTCTGTGACCACATGATGAAAGTCAGGGTGTTTGGATAGGTAGTTAAAGAATTTAAAGGGACGGGATCCGGCTTTAGGGAGGGTATGGGCTAGGTCAATGAAGCAGGGGGTATGGTCCGAGGTAAGAGGGGGAAGGAAGTTGGCTATACTGTTAGGGAACAGGTTGATTAGGTGGTTGTTGACTAGTAGGCGGTCAAGTTTCTTTGCCACTGGAGAGTCAGGTTGGTTGTTGGTCCAGGTATGGAGAGGGCCTTGGAATCGAAGATCAAACATGCCCAGTTGAGTAAGACAGTCCCTAAATTCTGTCATTCTTGAGGTTAGAACATCAACTGCTGGGTTTGAGTGTTCTGCATGATGCAGGATTTGGTTAAAGTCCCCCCAATCATCCAGGGAGAGGAGCCAAGTGACAGCGACTGGTAAACATTGAGGAGCTCAACCCACAGGTCTGTCCAATCACTGCTCAAGTTCGAGGCGTATATAGCTGTGTAAGTGAACTGCTGTGAGTTAGGGATAATGATCTGACAGGTTAAGCTTTGAGCTGTTTGATGCAGGACTCTTACAGCTACAGGATCTCGCCAGATAAGGATGATTCTTCCATCATCGTCTGATCGGTGATTAGAGGTAAATTTCCATCCTTGGCAGAGCTTAGTTATAAGATGGTTCAAGTTGGAATCTTTAATATGAGATTCCAGGATAGATCCAAAAAGGGGCTGATGGCTACTAAGCCAATCACAAAAGGATCTATGCTTGTTCGGGTCATTTAGGCCTCAAACGTTCCAAAAAAAAGAGTTTCGTATCCATTAAAATGAGGGGTTAAGCTCCCCCTTTTAGGGAGGAACTTCAAAAGAGGGACCAGAAGTAGTTAGAGAGGAGAAGGCATTCTTTAGAGGGATAGGAGCAAAAAGGGAGGGCAAGGGGGTAAAAGCAGGGCGAGCAACAGAGGTGGGATGGTGAAAAGAGGAGTTAAGGGAAGGGTTTGAGCGAGATCTTTTGAGGCCAGATAAATTAGGTAAGGGAGGTGGACTGTATTGAAAGGGTTCACCGGAGGGGGTTATAGTAGCAGGGAGCGCTATTATAACTGAGGGGTTAGTTTTAGGGAGGATAGTGGAAGAGGAGGGTGGGAGGGCTAAAGATGCGTTTCGAGGGACAGGGTTAACCTCTAGAGGTGGAGTAGATTCGGGGGCTTGAGGTTGAGGGACACAGGGCGGGGGTTCCTTTTCAGGTACCACTTCTGGAGAGGAAGAGCTTTGCGGGGCTGAGATTTTTCCAGGATCAACAGGAACCTTTTTCTTCTGATACTCTTTTTTAGTTTTTTCTTTATCAGGCTTGTTTGGAGCCTCTTTAGGGGGAACAGGAAGGAGTAGACAATTCTTCATGATATGTCCCAGCTCCTGGCAATGGCTGCATTTTGGAGGGAGCCAAGGATAAGCAACTTGAACTTGGACTACCTCGCCACTATCTCTTTCGTACTCTACTACATCCGGGAGCGCCTTTGTCAAGTCCACCTCCACCTTGACATGAGCTAAGGTTAGGCTCACCAGGTTTTTTGTAAAATCATCTGTCTCTTTTGGCTCTCCAACTAAGCCCGCGATAAGACTTAGACCTTTTTGGTGACGTAGGTCCAAAGGAACACCTGTCAAGTGAGCCCATAATTGGATCGATACTATTGGCTTATCACCGGTAGAGTGAGCCGCTGTCCATTGCGCAGTGTGAAACATGGAATCTCCCACGTACCAGAATCCTTTTTCAAGAATCTTAGTCCTCAGGTAGCCACTTGGGATCCTCACTATCATGGATCGAGTGAGGGGGTTATTATGAATTTCCAATCTCCTTCCTTTTCCCCACATATGGTTAAGGACGCTTTATATTTGGCTGTAGGGTGAAGCTCTTCCATTGAAGTAGCAGACTATAAAATCCTTATGGAGTTCCGCATCTTGTTGGAAAACTTCATCTGGGATTCGGACTCTAGGAGTACCTTTGTTAGAATAAGATACAAGGGCTACACGCTTAAGAGATCCAGACTCTAGGGTATTCACTTTTGCTTCTACGAGAGTCTCTGCAATTGTCGGGACTGACGACTCACGACTCTTTACCTCTCGGCTCTCGCAAAGTCAAAAGTCAAGGCAGAGTCAAGTTTCTAGGTAAAACGATCTTTCGGAAGCCATGAAATACGGATTTGAAGGTTTTATTTTTTTTTTTTATTTTTTTTTTATTTTTTTTATTTTTTTTTTCCAAGTTAACCATTTTATTAAGCCATGATTTTAGTCATGCAGTCTAAAAACGTTACAAGCAGTGATAAAGTTTAAAGTTCAAGAGATGAACTACAAAATATCGAATCTTCCGCTTCGATATACTTTGAGCTAAAGATAAGAAGACTTAGCCTCGACTTCCCCGTCCACGGTTCCCACGTCCGCGAGCGGTTGCTTGCCAATGCATTTCTTTAGCCTTTGCTGATGGTTTAACCGGTCTCTCTCGAAGGATTCTTTTCCCGGAAGGTGTCATGACATCCATCTCATCCGACTCTCTGTCTGATTCCGACGAACCTCCTTCTTCTTCCAGTAAAGCCAATGAGGAAAACTTATTTGAACCAAAGTCAGGCTCAATCAATCTCTCGCTTTCCAAATGGGCAGAAGAGTTTTCTTGAGCAATAATATTTGTTGCAGCTGATAAAGAACGAGCAGCCCCTGAAATAGGAGACTCCATAACTTTCTCATTAATGGTAGTTGCCTGAGTAGTAGGTTGTGCTGTAGACACTGTCACCTTCTCAAGAGTTGAGGCTGATAGCATATTAGGACCCTCTACAATTGTTTTTCATTTTCTGGTATAAGTATGTCTTCATCTTCACCAAATCTATGTCGTCATCATCTCCTTCACTCACACGAATCCATGGATCATGATAACCGATACATGATTGATGATGCCATAGGTTATTATCACAAAGCATATCGTTCATCATCAGCTCCATTATCACGCATGCTATGCTCGATTCCAAGAAATTTGATTTTTCTGTTCGTTTTGTTTAGTCATTATAACAACAATAATGGAGTGTATGTTTACCCTTTTTTGTAGTTTACTCATCAATATGAAGAAGAATGATCCGGAAAAAGCATTTTCACCAAAGACAAGCAATATAAAACAAGAGAAATATACTCAAGGCTCCGGATCCATTCGTAGTCAACAGAAACAAGACTTGACGTGGAACTATGTTAGTGAAACTGTTGATTCAAGAGGGAAAAACGTTACAGCTTGTGATTTTTGTGGAAAGCAATACGTTGGAATCAGCAGAATGAAGCAACATTTGGCTGGACTGAATCCAAATACAACTGCATGCAAGGAGGTTTCTTCAGAGGTTCGAGATTCGATTAGAAAATCATTGAAAGAAAATGAAGAGAAAACGAAGGATAAAATCGTTGTGGATCTTGAAATGGAAGATTGTGAAGTAAAGGCTGGTCAAAGTTCTCATCAATCTTGCAATTCCCAAAGTCTAAAAAGAAAGGTTAGTATCGGCTTAACATTTGTACTTTAAAAAGAGATCAAAATATAAAGTCATAAAACACATTCTACTTCAAAAGCATACACTACTACATGCACTTAAGTGATGCAGCAGCATTTAACTTCTCCTAATCGTTTGGTTTAGGATATTACTGGCTTTATGATTTTATTTTTCTCCAATTGGTGTTTGATCGTTTTTCTTAATGTGTTTTGGAACTTTTTCTTCTTTTCTATTTTCTTTTTCTTATGTTGTTTGTAACCTAAGCTGAGACTTACTTGTAGCTATCCATTGTCAAGGTGTTTTGAAGTTTTTTTTAACGAGAGTTTCTCTTCTTCCTTGTCTAAAAAGTTTCTTGTTACTTGAGAATTGAGATTGAAGTAAACTAGTTGAGGTGAAATCAGGACTTACGTTGTAAGACCTACCATGTGAAGTTTCCTACATTCTCTTCTTTGAAATTCTCACGCTATCTTTCTCTGTCTTGTTTCCCTACACGCAGAGAGAAACCAAACCAAGAAGAGAAACTATGGCGGAATCACCAAAGCAGCACATTGATCGAGTTCGGAGGACTAAGTTTTCAATCGGTGGAGCTGATAATCCGTTGACGGAGGATCTTCATCAGGCCGTAAAGAATCTCTCCGCTGAGCTCTATGCAAAAGATGTTCACTTCCTCATGGAGCTTATCCAAGTAAGTTTTAACTCTCTCGCTATAATGCACTAACATCTCTGCTTTTCTACTCATTTTTACGAGTCTATTCTCCGTATCAAAAGCTAAGTACGTAATGATTGTGCATGTTCCTGTTTCACGAATATGTTTAGCTTATGCATTAAATATTCCTTTGATTTCAGAACGCTGAGGATAACGAGTACGTCGAAGGTGTGAATCCATCACTTGAATTTGTCATCACATCTGAAGACATCACAGCCACCGGAGCTCCAGCCACTCTCCTTATCTTCAACAACGAGAAAGGTTTCTCTGAGAAGAACATTGAGTCCATTTGTAGTGTTGGAAGGTTCACCAAGAAAGGCAATCGCAAACGTGGTTACATTGGAGAGAAAGGTATGCCTTAATTTGCCTTCTTAAGTCAAACTCGAATTGATCCAAAGACCCTTGTTCTTACATGTGTGTTCTGTTTTCAAAATTTACAGGAATCGGATTCAAGAGTGTGTTCTTGATTACTTCTCAGCCCTATATTTTCAGCAATGGTTATCAGATTAGATTCAACGAGGCACCTTGCAGTCACTGCAGCCTTGGCTACATTGTTCCTGAGTGGGTTGAGAAACATCCTTCTCTTGTCGACATACAAAGAATCTACGGTTCTGCTTCTGTTCTCCCGACCACAACCATAATCTTGCCATTAAAGAGTGACAAAGTTAAACCGGTGAAAGAACAGCTCTCTAATGTCCATCCCGAAGTTCTCTTGTTTCTCTCCAAGATCAAACGCCTCTCCATCAGAGAACACTGCCAAAGATCCTAAGCTCAGCACAGTGAACTCCATCGGGATCGTAAGCGAGACTGATTTCATGACGAGGAAGAGCATTGACGCTGAGTCTTACACAATCCATCTCTCTGCCAGTGAAACTGATTCCGAGAAACAATGCAGTTACTACATGTGGAGGCAAAAGTTTACTGTAAAACTTGAGAACCGTGTGGAAAGAAGAAGCGAAGTCGACGACTGGATGATAACTTTAGCGTTCCCATACGGAGAGCGTCTTGTCTGTGGAAATACCTCTCCTGGTATCTATGCGTTTCTTCCCACAGAGATGGTAACAAACTTTCCTTTCATCATTCAAGCTGATTTCATTCTTTCATCGTCGAGAGAAACTATACTTCTTGATGATATATGGAACCAAGGGATTCTCAGTTGAGTTCCGTTGGCTTTTGTGAATGCATTCACCACCATGGTGAAGAAGAATGATGCTCCGGTGTCTAGCTTGCTGCATTCTTTTAGTTTCTTGCCTGTGAAGCAATCTTCTTACGAAAAGCTGAACGTTGTTAGAGAAACCATCAGGGCAAGAATCTGTACAGAGGAAATTGTGCCAAGCGTGTCACATTTAGGACAAAAGTTCTTTCACAGGCCGTGCGAAGTTGGTCGTTTGATTTCTTCTTTCTGGGATATCTTGGAGAAAGCGAGAAGAGAAGGTGCGAGTTTGCATAATATATCATCACATGGGATGTATATTCTTGATTCTTCCTTTGATAGACCTGAAAACGATAATGTTCTCAGTTTCTTGGGGTTGAAGCAAGTAAGCAACGAATGGTATGCGAAATGCATACAAGGCTGCGATCTCGTGACAAGTGTATCGGAAGAGACTTATGTGGAGATTCTGTTTTTCATAGCTGAGAATTGGGAATCAAGATTTCAGAACACAAACATGGATAAAGTCCCTCTTATCAAGTACCTTGTTCAGAAAGGAACGAGTTATGTAAGCAGCTTGTCAGATTTGAGTTCTCTGACGCTATGTCTCTCTTCAGATAAGAACCATGCATGGCTTCTTGATTGGAACAGTGAGTTTCTTAGATGCATGCCTAAGTTTGTTTTCTTGCCGCAAATAACGCGAACAGCGTTGAAAGCTTCCTCCAACAGACAAACGATATATGATTGGCTTAAACTGAAGGTTAAAGTCATCGATCTTAGCGTATCTGATTACGCAAAACGTCTCCGAGAGAGTCTTAACGGAGACAAGAGGCTTGTGGTTGCGTATGCACACTTCTTGCATCACTCAATCTCGCAGGGCTTTTTATCCATAGGAGAGGCTGAGAAATGCTGCAGCAATGGCATGCCTCTTGTGGACAACTATGGGGATGTTAACACAAACAGGCACGGTGTTCTTGTTCCCGCTAGTGTTGGTAAATGGGTTAGCTTAACCGGTTCGAATCCTTGGACGCAGGACGGTTATATAGAGCTCTGGGAAGAGTACATGTCGTCTGGAAAGTTCGCTGGTGTAAGGTCTGGTCATAGAGAGCTTCTAGGGTTCTTGGAAACTTATGTTAAAGCTGGAGATATACCTGAGATACAACCACCAGATGCTGCTATACCTGCGTTATCTGGTTCTCTAATAAAAGAGAATGCTTTGTTGCTTTTGGAGTGGATAAAGAATAAAAGAAACTCTCTTCCTCCCAAGTTTCTTGATTCTGTTAAAAGGGGAAGCTGGTTGAGAACGAAGATGAATAATTCCTCTGATTATAGGCCACCGTCTCAGTCTTTTTACCATACTTCATCATGGGGAAAAATTCTGAAAAGCGGATCGATTCTTGTTGATATGCCACTTGTTGATCGAAGATTCTACGGGAAGAAGATTGAGAGTTACCAAGAAGAGCTGAAACTTGCTGGTGTCATGTTTGAGTTTAGTCAAGCTTCTAGGTTTGTTGGCGAACATCTTATGAGTTTAGCTGGGAGCTCGTCTCTGTCAAGAGCCAGCGTTATTTCGATTCTGAAATTTATCAGACACTTGAGAGAGAAGCTTCTCCCACCTGACGACTTCATCAGAGCCATCAAGAATATACCTTGGCTTAGGACAAGTTCCGGTGACAGACCACCACATGGAGCTGTTCTGTTCAGCCAAGACTGGAAAGCTGCGTCGCTGATCTGTGACATTCCGTTCATTGATATAGATGTCTACGGTGAGTCTGATCTCAGCGGCTTCAAGGAAGAGCTTAAGTTGCTTGGCGTTGTGGTTGAGTTTCCCGGTAACCACAGCCTCGTTTTCTCTCATTTGAATCTGACCAAGCTTAATCATATGACGTCCGATGCAATGCTCTTAGTTCTTGATTGCATGCGTCAATTGATACCTCCTCCAACGCTGATGCATGTCATGAGAACTTCTCAATGCTTTAAGACGAGAAGTGGATACAAAGCTCCTGCGGATTGTTTCTTACCTGATGAGGAATGGAGTTGTCTCCTCTCTGTTTCCGATTGCTTCCCTCTGATCGACGAGGGTTTCTACGGAGACAAAATCTTAACGTACAAAGACGTGCTGAAGAAGATTGGTGTTGTGGTTGAGCTTGAAGATGCTGTGAAAGTCTTTGTACAAACCTTTAAGAAGAAAGCTACTTCCGTTGGTCTAACTCGAAACTGCGCCTTGTCTCTCCTGTCTTGCTACAAGAAACTGATGGCAAGTACACACAAGTTTCCTGAAGATCTTATGAAACTCTACAAAGAGTTACAGTGGCTGCCTACAAAGCTCGGCGACTTTCGTGCACCAAAGGACTGCATCCTCTATGAACCAGAATGGGAACCTCTCCGGCTCATAGCGAATCTACCCTTTATCAATGACGTCTCAGACAGCATAAGCG